CCTGGTATCTCAGATTTGAATTTAACGGTTTTCGGCCATTTGGGCGGTGGAAAGTGGAGGCAGAAAATGGGAAAAATGAGAGCGAAAAAAGAGAGCAACGAAATACAAAGAGAAACAAGAAAAAAAGAGAATTAAAAAAAGCAGCGACCTTCTGCTGATTTCTGTGCGCCTGGTATCTCAGATTTGAATTTAACGGTTTTCGGCCATTTGGGCGGTGGAAAGTGGAGGCAGAAAATGGAAAAATGAGAGCGAAAAAAGAGAGCAACGAAATACAAAGAGAAACAAGAAAAAAAGAGAATTTAAAAAAAGCAGCGACCTTCTGCTGATTTCTGTGCGCCTGGTATCTAGATTTGAATTTAACGGTTTTCTGCCATTCAAGCGGTGGAAAGTGGAGGCAGAAAATGGGAAAAATGAGAGCGAAAAAAGAGAGCAACGAAATAAAGAGAAACAAGAAAAAAGAGAATTTAAAAAAAGCAGCGACCTTCTGCTGATTTCTGTGCGCCTGGTATCAGATTTGAATTTAACGGTTTTCGGCCATTTGGGCGGTGGAAAGTGGAGGCAGAAAATGGGAAAAATGAGAGCGAAAAAAGAGAGCAACGAAATACAAAGAGAAACAAGAAAAAAAGAGAATTTAAAAAAAGCAGCGACCTTCTGCTGATTTCTGTGCGCCTGGTATCTCAGATTTGAATTTAACGGTTTTCTGCCATTTGAGCGGTGGAAAGTGGAGGCAGAAAATGGGAAAAATGAGAGCGAAAAAAGAGAGCAACGAAATACAAAGAGAAACAAGAAAAAAAGAGAATTTAAAAAAAGCAGCGACCTTCTGCTGATTTCTGTGCGCCTGGTATCTCAGATTTGAATTTAACGGTTTCGGCCATTTGGGCGGTGGAAAGTGGAGGCAGAAAATGGGAAAAATGAGAGCGAAAAAAGAGAGCAACGAAATACAAAGAGAAACAAGAAAAAAAGAGAATTAAAAAAAGCAGCGACCTTCTGCTGATTTCTGTGCGCCTGGTATCTCAGATTTGAATTTAACGGTTTTCGGCCATTTGGGCGGTGGAAAGTGGAGGCAGAAAATGGGAAAAATGAGAGCGAAAAAAGAGAGCAACGAAATACAAAGAGAAACAAGAAAAAAAGAGAATTTAAAAAAAGCAGCGACCTTCTGCTGATTTCTGTGCGCCTGGTATCTCAGATTTGAATTTAACGGTTTTCGGCCATTCGGGCGGTGGAAAGTGGAGGCAGAAAATGGGAAAAATGAGAGCGAAAAAAGAGAGCAACGAAATACAAAGAGAAACAAGAAAAAAAGAGAATTTAAAAAAAGCAGCGACCTTCTGCTGATTTCTGTGCGCCTGGTATCTCAGATTTGAATTTAACGGTTTTCGGCCATTTGGGCGGTGGAAAGTGGAGGCAGAAAATGGGAAAAATGAGAGCGAAAAAAGAGAGCAACGAAATACAAAGAGAAACAAGAAAAAAAGAGAATTTAAAAAAAGCAGCGACCTTCTGCTGATTTCTGTGCGCCTGGTATCTCAGATTTGAATTTAACGGTTTTCGGCCATTTGGGCGGTGGAAAGTGGAGGCAGAAAATGGGAAAAATGAGAGCGAAAAAAGAGAGCAACGAAATACAAAGAGAAACAAGAAAAAAAGAGAATTTAAAAAAAGCAGCGACCTTCTGCTGATTTCTGTGCGCCTGGTATCTCAGATTTGAATTTAACGGTTTTCGGCCATTTGGGCGGTGGAAAATGGAGGAAGAAAATGGGAAAAATGAGAGCGAAAAAAGAGAGCAACGAAATAAAAGAGAAACAAGAAAAAAAAGAGAATTTAAAAAAAGCAGCGACCTTCTGCTGATTTCTGTGCGCCTGGTATCTCAGATTTGAATTTAACGGTTTTCGGCCATTTGGGCGGTGGAAAGTGGAGGCAGAAAATGGGAAAAATGAGAGCGAAAAAAGAGAGCAACGAAATACAAAGAGAAACAAGAAAAAATGAGAATTTAAAAAAAGCAGCGACCTTCTGCTGATTTCTGTGCGCCTGGTATCTCAGATTTGAATTTAACGGTTTTCGGCCATTTGGGCGGTGGAAAGTGGAGGAAGAAAATGGGAAAAATGAGAGCGAAAAAAGAGAGCAACGAAATACAAAGAGAAACAAGAAAAAAAGAAAATTTAAAAAAAGCAGCGACCTTCTGCTGATTTCTGTGCGCCTGGTATCTCAGATTTGAATTTAACGGTTTTCGGCCATTTGGGCGGTGGAAAGTGGAGGAAGAAAATGGGAAAAATGAGAGCGAAAAAAGAGAGCAACGAAATACAAAGAGAAACAAGAAAAAAAGAGAATTTAAAAAAAGCAGCGACCTTCTGCTGATTTCTGTGCGCCTGGTATCTCAGATTTGAATTTAACGGTTTTCGGCCATTTGAGCGGTGGAAAGTGGAGGCAGAAAATGGGAAAAATGAGAGCGAAAAAAGAGAGCAACGAAATACAAAGAGAAACAAGAAAAAAAGAGAATTTAAAAAAAGCAGCGACCTTCTGCTGATTTCTGTGCGCCTGGTATCTCAGATTTGAATTTAACGGTTTTCGGCCATTTGAGCGGTGGAAAGTGGAGGCGGAAAATGGGAAAAATGAGAGCGAAAAAAGAGAGCAACGAAATACAAAGAGAAACAAGAAAAAAAGAGAATTTAAAAAAAGCAGCGACCTTCTGCTGATTTCTGTGCGCCTGGTATCTCAGATTTGAATTTAACGGTTTTCGGCCATTTGAGCGGTGGAAAGTGGAGGCGGAAAATGGGAAAAATGAGAGCGAAAAAAGAGAGCAACGAAATACAAAGAGAAACAAGAAAAAAAAGAGAATTTAAAAAAAGCAGCGACCTTCTCTGATTTCTGTGCGCCTGGTATCTCAGATTTGAATTTAACGGTTTTCGGCCATTTGGCGGTGGAAAGTGGAGGCAGAAAATGGGAAAAATGAGAGCGAAAAAAGAGAGCAACGAAATACAAAGAGAAACAAGAAAAAAAGAGAATTTAAAAAAAGCAGCGACCTTCTGCTGATTTCTGTGCGCCTGGTATCTCAGATTTGAATTTAACGGTTTTCGGCCATTTGGGCGGTGGAAAGTGGAGGCAGAAAATGGGAAAAATGAGAGCGAAAAAAGAGAGCAACGAAATACAAAGAGAAACAAGAAAAAAAGAGAATTTAAAAAAAGCAGCGACCCTGCTGATTTCTGTGCGCCTGGTATCTCAGATTTGAATTTAACGGTTTTCGGCCATTTGAGCGGTGGAAAGTGGAGGCGGAAAATGGGAAAAATGAGAGCGAAAAAAGAGAGCAACGAAATACAAGGAGAAACAAGAAAAAAAGAGAATTTAAAAAAAGCAGCGACCTTCTGCTGATTTGTGTGCGCCTGGTATCTCAGATTTGAATTTAACGGTTTTCGGCCATTTGAGCGGTGGAAAGTGGAGGCGAATGGGAAAATGAGAGCGAAAAAAGAGAGCAACGAAATACAAAGAGAAACAAGAAAAAAAGAGAATTTAAAAAAAGCAGCGACCTGCTGATTTCTGTGCGCCTGGTATCTCAGTTTTGAATTTAACGGTTTTCGGCCATTTGGGCGGTGGAAAGTGGAGGCAGAAAATGGGAAAAATGAGAGCGAAAAAAGAGAGCAACGAAATACAAAGAGAAACAAGAAAAAAAAGAGAATTTAAAAAAAGCAGCGACCTTCTGCTGATTTCTGTGCGCCTGGTATCTCAGTTTTGAATTTAACGGTTTTCGGCCATTTGGGCGGTGGAAAGTGGAGGCGGAAAATGGGAAAAATGAGAGCGAAAAAAGAGAGCAACGAAATACAAAGAGAAACAAGAAAAAAAGAGAATTTAAAAAAAGCAGCGACCTTCTGCTGATTTCTGTGCGCCTGGTATCTCAGTTTTGAATTTAACGGTTTTCGGCCATTTGAGCGGTGGAAAGTGGAGGCGGAAAATGGGAAAAATGAGAGCGAAAAAAGAGAGCAACGAAATACAAAGAGAAACAAGAAAAAAAAGAGAATTTAAAAAAAGCAGCGACCTTCTGCTGATTTCTGTGCGCCTGGTATCTCAGATTTGAATTTAACGGTTTTCGGCCATTTGGCGGTGGAAAGTGGAGGCGGAAAATGGGAAAAATGAGAGCGAAAAAAGAGAGCAACGAAATACAAAGAGAAACAAGAAAAAAAAGAGAATTTAAAAAAAGCAGCGACCTTCTTCTGATTTCTGTGCGCCTGGTATCTCAGATTTGAATTTAACGGTTTTCGGCCATTTGGGCGGTGGAAAGTGGAGGCAGAAAATGGGAAAAATGAGAGCGAAAAAAGAGAGCAACGAAATACAAAGAGAAACAAGAAAAAAAGAGAATTTAAAAAAAGCAGCGACCTTCTGCTGATTTCTGTGCGCCTGGTATCTCAGATTTGAATTTAACGGTTTTCGGCCATTTGGGCGGTGGAAAGTGGAGGCAGAAAATGGGAAAAATGAGAGCGAAAAAAGAGAGCAACGAAATACAAAGAGAAACAAGAAAAAAAGAGAATTTAAAAAAAGCAGCGACCTGCTGATTTCTGTGCGCCTGGTATCTCAGTTTTGAATTTAACGGTTTTCGGCCATTGGGCGGTGGAAAGTGGAGGCAGAAAATGGGAAAAAATGAGAGCGAAATAAAGAGGAGAAGAGAAAGCAACGAAATACAAAGAGAAAAAGAAAAAAAGAGAATTTAAAAAAAGCAGCGACCTTCTGCTGATTTCTGTGCGCCTGGTATCTCAGATTTGAATTTAACGGTTTTCTGCCATTTGGGCGGTGGAAAGTGGAGGCAGAAAAGGAAGTTTAAGATCTGGGATGAACTAAATTTTCTCTGGTGGCTGTTTCGTTTCTGATCGTTTGGTAGAATGGACCGCTAGTCACGAATTTTTGTCATATAGCGAATAATTATGATTACTACGCTTCTTCTTCGTTGAGGGCCCGCAGCGTCACAAATGCGCCGTGGAAACACTCCTCGAAGCTTACGAATTCCAATTTGGATTTGCGTTCGATTATTCTTGTCTGCAATGTCGCTACGAAAGGTTCTTTTTATGTTCATCTGCTCTTCAGCCCTCTTCGTGATGATCATGGGTGAGGAGGAGAAAAAGGTTGTGATATATACAATATCCATCCGGGCACTTGGGGAACTGAGGAATATTGAAAATTCCTACGTGGAACACCTGACTAGCTATGTAAGGGCTCTCCAGAAAAAGGTGGACACTCTACAAAAGTGAGTGGATATTAATGATTCGTTACAAAGGTAAGAAATTAATTGAATCGACTTCCTCAGATACCTGCTGTCTGTGACCCATGAGAATCTGGATAGTAACATGAGCCGCGTTCAATACGTGGCAAATCCTCTGAATTCGCTGGCACTGATGCGACGTGCTCATGAAGACTGGCCCAAGTGGTTGTCCTACATCAAAGATCAGGAAGGTATCCAGCAATTGGATACACTTGCGGCACAAATGCCCAATGCCGTGGATATGAATGAAGCCTTGATGGGTATGGAGCGTATAGAGCGTTTCTATGACTTGAGGGCATTTGATATGGCCAATGGGCTAGTGGCGGGACGCCATCTTGAGTAAGTACTTGGCCCAATATTTCCCATTTGAATACAGCCATCCAATGAAACTTCAGTACCCGCATGCTCGCACCAGAATGCCTTATCCTAGCGGACTTTATGTACAACCGATCGGAATACACCAGAGCCGCTGAATGGTACAGACTGGCATGGAATAACCTTGAGCTACCACTCAATCCGGTTGCCCGAGAGTTCTATCGCCCCAATCCAGAGGAAGTTCGGAAAAGATTTCTCATCAGCAGACTGCATGAGGGTTGGGTGAATCCAAGCATTTGGATGCTGCTTTGCTCAAACTGATTTATCTCTTGCAGGCTCCATCGACCAAATAAAGGAGTATCTGGACGAGCTGGAGCAGGATCCGTCAGTCCCTTTGGTATATCTAAAGCCAAAGCGCGCAGCGACTGACATTGAACGGGGCTGCAGGGGCGATTTTCCGCCTCCTCCACAGTTGGTCTGTCGCTACAATCACACCACAACACCATTCCTGCGCCTGGCTCCCCTCAAGGAGGAGGAAATCAGTCGGGATCCACTCATATGGCTGTATCACGATGTCGTCTACGACAGCGAGATCGCAGAGCTGACCGCCAACCTCACCAGAGAGGAAATGTCACAGGGCTACACGGACAACTACACCACGACAGAGAAGGAGCGTATTTTCCATGTGAAGACATTTGAAGGTAGTGGCGAGAAGTTGGACAGAGATTTGGTGAATCGCATGGCGGACATTTCGGGACTGCTTGCGGGCAATCACACACATCTGGCCAGAATCAACTATGGCCTGGGTAGCCATTTCCCGGAGCACGCAGATTACTCAGACATTAAGGCCAATCCGGTGGGTTAGCTGCAATGGAAAACAAACAATTACTTTACTAACGAATTCCTCAACTGATAAATTAGGAACTGGTGGAAGAGGGCGACCGTTTAATTACGTTTCTGTTTTATGTGAGTATCCCCAACGACTAGGCTATCCTCTGGACAATCCATCGTTTATCCCACTCAGCTGACCGATGTCCCACTGGGCGGTGCCACCATATTTCCGAAAGTAAATCTCACCATCCAGCCGAAGAAAGGATCCGCCTTGTTCTGGTACAACATTCACAACGACTGGGAGCCACATCTGCTGACACGGCATGCAGTGTGTCCCATGATCGAAGGCAACCGATGGAGTGAGACAATCCCCAGCTGCTGCTTTCTATTCTATTGATTCCATTGTTTTCTCCATTCAGTTTTAACCAAGAGCCTGCTGGCCTACGATCAGATGTTTGTCAAACTCTGCTACAAGTAGAGGCCCCCTCTACAATGGGTATAAAATGGCATTTTATTTAAAAATATCTTAAAGTTTTTACGAGTATTTAGTTAGTCTAATACTTTCTTAGAACGGTTATAAATACTACTGAGAATTGTAAGTTATTTCGTATGGGATCTTGGCTTGATTCCTATTATATATTACTTCATTTCTAAATGCTAATGCTAAACCAGACAATACGTAATGTGCCCAATATGAGCCACAGGTCTGGTGGGATTGGTAATTAAATCCCATCTGGATATCAATGTATGATAGTTTCAGTTCAAATATCTTCCTTGCCATTGGCAGTCACTGGCTTGCTGGGTGGCACATAGAACCACCAGGCACACAGAAAGAACACCACGGATCCCAGCTTGCAGATCAAGGCCAAAAGCCACATGTAGCTGTCAGAGAAGAAGAATAGTTAATAGGCCATGGGTAATCCAGCATTCTACAGCATTCTACAGCTTACCGGCTTATGTAGAAATTATCGTAGACGAGACAGGCTCCTCCTGCCTGCTCGTCGCAGGACTCGTGCCACAAAATGCAGGACTCGTCAATGAGAGCTCCGAATATAAGAGGCGCGGGTATGGTGCCCAGCAGGCGTACCTTGATCCACTGCAGGCCCAGCGCAAAGGAACGCTGTTCATCCTGAACGCATCTACAAGGAGCAGAGACAAATATTTATAGAATACTACACAAGATATATATATGTGTAAGGGGATTACCTCAATGTGGCTGACAAAGCTGGCATTGTGGCCAGGAAGGTGAAAATCATCAAGACAAAACAGAGGCCCACAAAGTACGGCAGACTGTGGCACGTGGAATCGCACTTCAAGTTGGTGGCATCCGGATGGAGAGCGCCACCATCGTCCACCCATCCGACACTCGCGATGCAGCTGCAGTTGTGATAGCGCTTCAGGCTCTCCACATGCTCCTCCTGGCCACAGCCGGCGAAGCAGGGACTGTAGTACATGACGCCATTGGTGCCGCAAATGGGATCGTAATTGCTGCGACTGCAGCCACAGTTGGCATTGCAGTTGGCCAGCAGCTCTGGTGGGCCGCTTCTCGCCTCCAGACTGTACGAGGTGGTGACGCCCGAAAATTTCGGATTGGGACAGGACACCAAAAAGCAGAAGGTGAAGAATGCCGCCACCGTGGTGGCCAGCAGACACATTTTGATGATGCCACTGCAGGCCAGGTTCCACTTCTTCACCAGATAGCCGCCCAGGAATGTGCCACCGCCGCCAGCTGGCACCGTAATGAGTCCCATGACCAGGGCGGACAGCATGGGCGAGATGCTGAACTGGTTCTCGATTTGCTTGGGCAGAAAGGCGGCGAATCCGGCTATAACCAGACCCTCTGTGGCCCCGGCCAGATTCAGAAAGAAGAACGTGGGATTCTTCAGGAGACTGAGCACAGCGCGAGACAGCTGTCCCCCCAGTCGCCGACGACCATCGGCCAGGCTGCATGCAGCCTCCGATCCGTCCTGCTCCACCACCGTTCTGGCTTCGTGCGCCTCCGAGACCTTCTCCAGCTGCAGCTTATCCGCGCCCGGCAGTGATTTCGGATAGCCAAAGATGGGTATGGCTATGAGCAGGCACATAGCCGCGGCGAATATGAAGCCCAGCCACCAGGCACCAATCCACACCTTGCTGTCGCTGGTCAGGCTCAACCTGCACGAGAATGGGAAATCGATTAGAATCTGTGCTGGAAAGCCGTGGGGGGGGGGCGAGCCCTCAGCACTTGTAAATTAACTGTTAACTGAAATGGGAAATGCGAATTTATATTTTCCACGCCGCACCGCCAACAAAAGGTCGCCAAAAAATACGCGTATTTGTTTTAGCCCTAACCTCTCGTAAACAGGCGAAAAAATCATAAACAAAATTTTACATGTTTTCCACATAATTTACGGACTTGCTGGAGTTGGAGGTGTAGCGGCTGCTGGTGGGTGGGCTGGCTGGTGGAGCAGACATTATGACTTATGGCATCACCTTGACAATAAGCCCTGCGGTCGACTCTACTCGACTCGACTCTTTTGTATCCATGTAGCTACCTCTGCCCTCTGGCTTGGCTGCTTGTTGCTTTAGCTTTGGCTTCCATCCACTCTTTGTGCTCCACATCCCACTCCCACATTCTGCTCCAGGGGATGTGAATCAAACAAATGCTCATTCTCATTCGCACCTTATTTCCTTGTTGTCAGCACGAAATGTTGTTTTATTACTCTCCAGAGATATTAGCTGTGTGTGCTGCCACCGTGCTTTGTGTGTGGCATTTGCCCCGTTGCCAGAGTAACAAATAAGCCCCGCAGTACCCTGGGAGCAGCTTGGGAGTCACCATTGCCAGAGCCACACAAACACGCCTCCACCTGCTGCCAAGTCGCGCGCGATTAATAACAATCATTACAAGCTTAACCAGAGATGCACACTTACTGGACCGGGTCCACGGTCATCCAGTCCGTGTAGATGAGCAGCAATTGTCCGCCCAGTACGTAGCCAATGGCAGGTCCCACCGTGGCCATTGTATAGTAGATGCCTGTCGAATAAAAGGAAACACATCAGAAACTCTTCAGTTAAACTTCAATTCGAAACACTTCGAATTGTCATCGCAGCTATGTAGAATGGTGCCCCAGCCCTTTCCGCCAGCTGGTCTTATCATCTGACTGCATCTTAATTTGCATGACAAAAGTCTTCAACGGCGACCTTCGTTGACAGTGCGTTTCGGCATTTTAAGGCACTTCAACTTGCATATATTCTTCTTTAATTTTGCTTATACGATAATCTGCCAAAGCTATTGACGGATTTATCCTATGTAAATATATAAAACCAGTGAGAAATAGGATCACGCGGGGAATAGTTATACCGAAAGTTAATGTTAGCAAAAATCGAACATAAACCAGTAATAGATTTGGGTTTATCTTGCTCTGAGTTAAGGTTTAACTACCGATTTGATATGGTTAACTATTCCTATGCAGCACCTCTGGGCAGTCGCTGGAAATGCTGCCTTTGGGGCTTATGCTTATGCGCCTCCCAATAAACTCTCAATAAAGGCAAAACGCCTCAGCCAAAGCGAATTTCAATTGTCTCAGAGCCAGACAGACAGATAGACAGACAGAAGCGAGGCTGGACGGGTTTTGATAATTTCAGTGTCGTCTTGCGGATGGCACGATAAACTTAACTAAGAGGCAATAAATTTGCGCTGGCGTTGCTTGTCTACCCAGGACTCGGCGCGAGTCTAAGTCTGAGCTGAGTCAGCAACAAACAGCCCGAAGCCGCCTGCTCTTTAAAATTGGGTCAACAAGGGGTAGGATGGCTGGCTGGGACGGCAGGGCACGAGACCTCCGTCACAGGATTGGGATCGAAAGATTTGCTGGAAGCTGGGAACTGGGCTTGGGGCTTGGGGCGCAAACAGTAAATACTATTTGCTTCCCTTTGTGGCCGACGACGTCGCATCGTTTGCCAATATGGCAAATAAAAATAAATATGCATGTGTGAGAGCCAGCAACTAGCAGATACTTTGGATACTTTCCACCCACCACCCACCCCTCCAGGGGGGTATGGGTGTGGGTATTTGTGCATAGTCCTTCATTTGTTGTGCGACTCCAGACAAAAGTTTTTGCGCGTCTTATCAATGAGAGTTGCCGCCGCCGCTGCCGTTGCCTGCGTCGTTTGAAACTTACCCAAGTAAACAGATGACATCTTCTTTGAGACATTCTCATCGATGTATGTGACGCCCAGTGTGAAGAGGGGCGCAGCGCCGGCACCGTGCAGCAGCTGAGCCCCAAAGAACAGCCACACGGTCCACGTTAAACTGTCGTACTGCTCGCGCTCCCCATGCCCAGCATTCAGCACCTCGCAGGAGTATTGCTGCAAAGGATATCAGAGATTTAGTCTCCATGACAGCACCTCCGCTGCTAAGTACATGTGGAACTGCTACTGCACCATTGTCTGATTCTGATTCTGATTGGGGCTGCTGCTGCTGCTCCCCAGCTCACAGACGTTCGCCTCGGCAATGGTGGCACGATAGGGCGCCACCAGAAAGTTGGGCAGCAGGAACATCAGCGAGCCGAGACCCATCACCATCAGTCCGATGGCAATGAAGCGCGGCTTGGAGGCACCCTTCCGGCCGCCATAGTAGGTGACGGGCACCAGGCAGGCGAACGAGGCCAAATCGTAGCCACTGGCCACGAGGCCCATCTGTCGGGAGCGCAGTCCGAACCGCCGCTCAATCGTTGAGATTGAGACATTGATCAATCCGTTGACAATCAGACCTGAAAGAGAACGTAGAAGTCTATTAATACAGTGCCATTTCCACTTCCGCTTGCCTTTCATCATCCCCCGGCTGGGATCATCCCCGAGAATATGATTTTATGACTCTCAAAGGCAGCCGTTTAACAGATTGTCCTACAATATAGGACACAACAGGACACAACAGGATGCGGCAGGATGGCACACGAGGGCGGAAGCTAGTGGTGTGTGTTTTTTTTTTGCTGATGTTGGAGGTGTTACCGGACGCGGGGGGCGGCTCATAAATTAAATATCTGTACGACAAATTGATTTTGAGCTTAGACGAATTTCTGCCTTTATAAATAAATATCTGTTAGTGCGCTCCCCGCTTGACGCCCGCCCACACTGCCCCCCCATTGTATTGCTTAGAATATTATTTTTTTTTTTGTGGGTCCCCCCCGCCAGGAACAACAAATTCAATTTATTTTCCAATAATCGTGTTGAGCTTGAAGGAGGTCCTGGTCCTTTGCTGGTCATCTCCTTTGCGGGTTGGCAAAGGTGTCGAGAGTTGGGAGCGGGGCAGACGACGACACTTACGAGTCATTTACCCCACTAAGTGCAATCATTTAATATTTCCCTGAGACTTCGAAGGGAGCGACACGGGAGGGAAACGCTGGAGCGAGACTTAAGAGCAAAGGAGACTCTGAAGTGCGTGTGTGACCTTTGGCGAGGGAAGTGAAGTGCCGACGGCTGCTATGACTACGTGACAATCTCCTATTTAGCATGGACATCGATTGATAGAACTCCCTCTGTGGCCATGTGAAGATATTGATGCAAACTGTTTGCCTAATTAGCACATGTCGGGCTTTAAGATGCGAAAATCCACATTGAATATACAAATAAATAATCCCTGGGCGTAGAGCTGCCTCTACTCGTGCCAACATTTGAGAGTCTCTTGGCTAGAAGAAAATACTCCCAGGAGAGCTCTAAATTGCATAGCCGACAAGCAAAATCATTTGAGATATAGTTTTAGCGTAGATTAAATGAATAAAGAAACTAATTAATTCTCTGCCTTGAGGCCCACTGGACATACGCGCAACCCCTGGGTAAAATCTATTGTAGTTTTAGCATAAATATTCGCATATTCCACTCAAAACACTCGCATGCGTGCGCTGGAACTGGCGGCGATTGAGCGTCTCTCCCCCATTATCAGAGTCCGAGTTTGGTTCGTTGCATTGCTCATTTCCATAGAAAGATACTCGGGCAACAACAATAAAACCATTTGAACTTGCTGCATGGCAGGCGAACGCGACAATCCAAAATTGTTGCGGATGATTTATGTTAATTCCGTGTCAACTGATTAATATTTTCGGTCACGTGCCGCCCGAAACCGTATCCGAAACCGTCCTGTGGGCAAGTCCAGCAAACAGAGCAGGCACCCGAGAGCAGCGGGTGTGCCACGGGCGTACGATGCTTCTGTGTGACGCCCAAAAGCCGGAAACGGAAGCATTCTCACGTCGAGGGTCAGTGGCAGTGCCAGTGGCAGTGGGCAGCAATGTGCAACAGATGCCGGCAGTCCATCCATGCAGCAGCAGAGGCTGCAAGAATCCAGTTTGCTTACAGCACACGGCCAAGACATAAATACGGGCCGTGCAAAATTTCGACAAGAGATGCCCTCGTGATGAACGAGATCAAAACGAGATCATACCTAAGAATTTTTATCTCAACTGTTAATACAAAATATTAAAAATTTAGATGTAGTAAAAAATAATACTTAATACTTAAATAATAATAATAATAAAAAAAAAAAAAAAAATAAAAATAATAATAATAAATAATAATAATAAATAACAATAATAATAGTAAAAATAAATAATAATAATAAATAATAATACTAACAAATAAAAAGAAGTCTTTGAATTCAACCCGAAAAAAAGCTGCACAATTTTTAGTAGCTCTTAAGCTTAATGCGATTTTATAGAAAACTTTGCTGAAAAATGTAGAACTATTTTGGCAGTTTTAAAGCTAAATAAAACTGTATTTTGATAGAGAAATATGTTAAGAAATAATGTACAAGAATATAAAATAAATTCAATTTACAATTTGTCCGAAAATTCATGAGAAAACCCCTAGTTATAATAGAAACCAAAATAGGATTGAAAAATAAACCAAAAAGACCTTTCTAAAGTTGAATTAACTAAAATTATAATAAGAGTAGGCACTTTTCTGATCAGGCAATAAATCTTGTTTTGCCATAGGCACGTACCCGTATATATTGCACAAAAGATACATAGAACTGGTAGCTACCACTCACGCGCTCATCGCCGAGTGTCCTTTTGGCAGGCACCCAAAAATGCCCAAAACTGGACACCATCCAGCGAATGCACTTTTGCAAATTTCATCGCATCTAATCCCTGGAACACAGCCTAATCCCCCGAAGCAGGCATAAACGTGTCGACAGTTTTGGGGAAATTGGCGAATTTTAATTAACCGCGTGAACCCATCAGCATCAGTGGAACCCGAAGCTGAAGCTGAGGCTAAAGCTGAAGCAACCCGTAGCCATGGACACCATGGTCTCTCTGTTCAGTGAAGGATGGCCGGTGGGTGGTTGGGTAAACAGCGATTAACATTGTTTTGATTTATGCCGCCTCCCCCTACCCGGCAGCAGCATCCACTGGACTCACGCCCATGAGTAGCGCCCATCCCACCAATAATGCCTATGACAACGTCAAGCGAACCCATTCCACTCCGCCGCTTTGGTTGCTTGTGGCGAACCATTTACACTTCAACGGGGGGCCTTTCAAACTATTCAAAGTGAGTGGATTTTTTGAGGTTAATGCATCCTCGGGCTAGAAAAGCCAACTCCCTCGCCTGCTGCAGGCTGATATTAATTTTTAATTTGCGTCTATTCATTGCAACTTCAACCTGCTGGCTGGCCCCAGTTACAGCTCCAGCTTCAGCTCCAGCCTCAAACCCTTTTGGGGGCGAAGCGAATTCTTATCTGTTGCACACAGACTTGAGTCGGGCCGTGCTGGGGCTCAGGATTTGCTCAGGATGCTAATGAAGCGATGCGGATGTGCTCTCCGTCTTTTGCGTGGCATTGTCTTGCGGTGTACAGAGGCCAGGAGTACAGAGACTCCTGGTTCAAAGTTTGGCCCCAGCTCTGCCCAGGAAAGTTTTCCTTTATTTGTGTGATAATCCAAGGAAATATGTTTGCCTGGCTACAAAATACCCCAAGAGTCCCCCTCTTCAACTGTGCTGGCATATCCTATAAATATTATTGCATTAAATTACAAATTTCACGAGTAAATATATCTTAGTCCGGTTGGTGGTTAATTTTTTGGGATGCTTCAAGTGTAACCTTCAGTAAGTGCCACAAAAAATGAATAAATAAAATCGCGCGTGGGTGGAAAATTCGCGCGAGACAAACCATTTAAGCGAATTAAGTGGCGAGCCCCCACAAGTAACGATTCTCTGGACAACTACTCACCCTGCAAGGCACCGCCCCAGCAGAGCCAGAAGAGCGCCCACTTGGCGGTGCAGAAGCGTTGCAGCCACTGCGGCTGGAAGCTGCACCATCCGAATCGCTGGTCCAGCAGCAACGCCGCATCCGTATCCGCATCCGCATCCGTGTCCGTGTCCAGGTCAGCCCCAGAAGCACTGCCCAACCGGCTGGAGCGGGCACTATTGTTGTTGTTCACATTGGCGCACTTGGGATTAACGTTAACGGCGGACTCCAATGCCAAAGGAGCAGGTGGAGCAGCAGCAGCAGCATCAGCATCCGCATTAGTTGCCACAGTTGCCATCGTTTCACTTTCCTCTTCACTCAATGTACCAACGAGGGAGAATATTGCGACTGCTGCGATCCGCACCGAACGACGCTCGAAGTGGAACTGAACGCAGATATTCTGCCGCATCTGCCACAGAATGAAGCTCGGCCTGCCTTCTGTGTGCGTGTGCCTGTGTGTGTGTGTGTGCGGGCGGGGGGCCCAACAGCACAAGGACTTGCCACAAACAGAGCTCTGTTAAGAAGCCACCCCCACAGTGGCAGCAGCCACCCACACCAGCAGCACATTAACAGCGCGCGACATTTTCATGAATGAAATTTGTACGCCACACCACACTGCCACACTCAGCCACACAGCCACTCCGCCACTCGTACCTCCTTTCAGCTGTCATCCGTGCAACATAGCACAGCTCATATATCGGACACATATCAACAGTTGTCATGACGTTTTCCCATCATTTTCTAGGTGACTTATGAAAGAGCAGGATATAAGAGAACAAGTCAAAGTAGCGCTACGAAATAGCGTCGAAATTCTCCAGGGATAATTATCTTACACAATTTAAATATAAATATAAATTAGGAATATTTTCATTACAACTTTCAAAAGTTTATTCAGTAAATTTTTCGGTTTAGTATGGGTTTTGTTTTTGTTTTCTTTACTAATTTATAAACTTAGATTATGAAAAATACGATACGTTTAACTCGCCAATATGCATTCAGAAATCATAGGGTAATATGTATGTGCACTTGCAATTCAAACAAAGTATACAAAGTATCGAAAGAATAGATCAATCATTTAAATGGGTTTAAGTTTAAATTGCCGAAAATGGAGGGGAGCAGGAGCTGTGTCCTGCTGTCTAGCTATTAAGGCATGAGAGCACCAACAGAAATCGTTTCTTCTTTTATGCTTGCTGTTCCCGGTTCTTTTGTAAATTAAGTACGTTACGATGATCAAATGTTGCAGTTAGAGGAGAAGAGAACGTGTTTCGGTCGATTGGTGCCTTTTGGAAAATAGTATTTGCATAAAAACTTGCTCGCTTTTGACTACTTAATGCATAGAGATATACGATATACGACGATATACATATACATATACATACATATCTATATAGTTACATTTATAGTTTTAAACAATAATATATGTGTAAACAAAAACAAAAATCATTAACAAAGAGCAAAAAAAAATATATATATATATTTATATAAAATGAACTGAAAGTTTTTTTTTTTGGGTGTGTAGCTCCCCATCTAGAGGCGTTTCTTTTTTTCGTCCCCCTTCCAACACATTCTATAATAGAGAGTACCCGAGTACACACACACACACACACACACGCGCGCGCGGTATTTACAATATCTGTGGCTGGGCATTGAATCGATATATCCATGCAATAATTATTTATGGATCTATATGGGGCTTAAGGTTTATCTGTTTGGTGTCGCCTCATCGAGTGCTGGCATTGCTGAAAAGTTGCATTCTCTCAAATAGTTGCTGCTGCTTAAAGGGATATGTTTCAGAGGGGGGTTTTGATTGGGTTTTGATTTTTTGAGTTAGTTTACTTAGAGCAAAAAGTGTTTCCACCATGTACTTAACTCGTATTGTATGTTTTGGTTATATGTGTGTGTGTGTGTCAGTTACACGTACTACAGTGAACGCTTTGGGCACTACGACAAATATCACATAATGAGATCAATTGGATTTGTTTTGGGTACTTGTTTTGTTTTGTTTTGTTTCGTTTTGTATCGTTTGCTTTTTTGTTTTGTTTTTTATTTTTATTATTTTTTATTTTTTGTTTAGTTTTTTTGTTTGCGCTTCCATTTCCGTTTTGTGTTTTGTATGTGTGTGTGTGTGTGTGTATGCATAAGAATGTACGATTAATTGCACAATGTCATTGAACTTAAGATTGTCTACAGGATATTGGTAGGGCGGGTGGGGTGTTGGGTGGTTTCAGTAGATATTTCCTTTAGTTATGCTGATTAAGTACCTAATTTAAGTGTTCTTTGAAAGTTATTCCAATGCATAATACTTGGGCAGACGCCCTGCCCTGCGGGCGCGGGTGGTGCCATTCCATATATGGTGGGAGGATTTCCCTAATTAAGTTTCGTTTCGTTCTCTGCTAAAATTAACTTAAGTAATGTGTTTTCAACAATGGTGTGTGTGTTTTTGTGGCTCTGTCTCTTGTTTGATGGGGCTAGCTTGGGTGGATATGTTTTCAAATTAAATGTCATTTCATTTGATTTTTCCCTAGATGAGATCTATGCAACTTTTCAATAGCCAGCAATCGACACTCGGCGACACTTTGCTATGCCAATGGGGGGATATCCTTGTTCCATTTTGTTTGGGGAATTGGGTTTTGTGGTTTCTGTGTGTGTGTGTGTGTGTGTGTGTGTACAGGTTGGTTTTCTATTTGTTTTTATACATTCATAGAAGTTTTATCCAGTTTAGTTTTCGCATTTCATATGCCATACACATGTATCATATATAGTTTTCATGGTTTCATAATTAAAATATATTTATATTTTCTCTCTTCTCTTGTGTGTGTGTGTGTAATTTGTTTTCTGGTCGATAAGTATTTCTTTTCTTTTCTTTTTCTTTTTTTTAAACTTAAAACGAATTTAACCAAAAATAAAACAAAGTTAGCTAATAACTTGTGTACATACTTCTTCTTCTTCATCATCTTCATCATCATATTTGTTGTTTTTTCTGTTAACAGTTACAGTGGGGTCTCGTGGGGAGGCCCCCCGTCCACATTCAAGGCGGGTGGGGTGGTTTCGGTTCAAAGGAGCGCCATGGGAATGCTGGGTGGGTGGTTATTTAGTTCTTTAGTCGGTTTTCCTTTCCATTTTCCATTTTCTCTGCCGCTCAACATTGTCAATTGCACACGATTAATTTGCTTAGGTCCTATATGTTGGTTTGTAAGTAGCCGATCACGATCACGATCATCATCCTACTCAGTTCTGTGCGTTTCCTCCTAAACGAGGCTGGAGGCCTCCTGTTCCGACGCCTCCGAATTCGGCTTTTGCTCCTCTGGCAGGCAATGCACCACCTCGCTGTACATCACAATCTCAATGTCGCCCAAGTCTGCGGGTGGCACATCCTCCACTCGCGACAGCTTCTGCAGCGTGTGCAGCGTCTCCTCGTTGATGGTGTGCTCCGGGGAGATGTTCTCCTTCAGCTGGCGCTTCAGGCTGGTCGGCATATGAGCCGCATTGCATTCGGGCGGCGAGGCCGACTCTGTGCTACTCGATGACGATGTGGTCGTCGTTGTTGTCGTCGTCGTCGGCGTACCTGTTGCTCCGTTCCCATCCAACTGGACGGCGGCTGGCCCTGAGCTGGCTGCACCATCGCCGCTGTTGTTGAACGAAATGTTCTGCCGAAAGACCTGCTTGCTGAAGTCACGCAACTGACGCGAGGCCGTGTCCAGGAATGAGGAGCTGCCTGTGCCAGCAACGCTGTCCAAATTGGAATTGGAGTTGGAGGTGGAGTTAGAGTTGGAGTTGGAGTTGGAGTTAGAGATGGAGCAGTGACTGCCGCCGGTCAGAGAGGTCCAGGAGGAGGGCGAATTCTTGCGCGTGACCGACAGAATGGTTGTTTGGGTTGTCGCATTGCCATCGTCTGCTGCTGTCAATGGAAAGGATAATAATAAATGCATTAAAACCATGTATCAACTGCTGTAATCCTTGTGGATCTGAATGACTAACTCTGTGCGTTGTTCGGGGCGGTGTTGGGCACTGAAACCTGCTGCTGACTGGCCTTTGGCTCTGGCGAGGAGCTGCGCTGGAATATCGTGCCCGGACTGAACAGGGTCAGCAGCTTGTCCACCGCCGAGGGATTGGCTATCCACGAGGTCTTGCGGGAACGCGCTGCTGCTGGCTGTGGATTGCTGACCGGCGCCGGCTCCGGTTCTGGTGCTGTCTCTGCATCTGCCTCTGCCTCTGGCACTGCCACTGGAACTGACACTGGCACAGCGGCGGAGAGTGCAACCACAGCAGCCGACTCCTTGGTCAGGGTTATATCATTGTCGCCAAATACGGCCAACGGACAGGTCCGGGGCACAGCAGATTCCGTGCATCCGGATGGTGGGCCCGAGCTAATGGAGTCTGTAATGTCGGTGGAGGTGCTGCTGCTGCTGCTGCTGCTGATGCTGGCACAAGCGTTGGTGCTGATGCTGCTGCTGCTGGTGCTGCTGCCACTGCTTATGCTGCTGCCGGGCGATGTGGAGCACGAATTGGATGAAATGGGGGAGTTGTGGGAGAAATGCGGAGAGAGTTTCTGTCCCGCAGCCTCGTCGGCATTTGTACTGTTTCGCTGTGCGTCGCTCTCCTCTGGCTCGTCTACGGCTGGCTCCACAATCACTACGCTGCTGATGCACACTGCAGTGGTGCTCGGGGCAGTGGCAGCAGCAGCAGCTTCTGCTGCCTCGAGCGCCACGGACAGCTGCACCGCCTTCCGGGACGACTTTAGCATCGGTGTGGGCGGCAGATCGATGGGAGGCGTGTGCGGCGTAATGGGTGGCAGCTGGCGATTGGCCATGGGCACCTGCGGATCCTCGTAGATGCGCGACACATGGAAGCGGGACCGGGGCGAAACCGACAGCCGCTTTACGGTCTGCGTCGAGGACGTTACCGAGGCCATGGCCGGCAGCGAGCTCGACGTGGGCAGCGTGCCCACACCCACCGCATTGAGACTGCTCTGGCTGCCGCTGGGCGAACAGCCACCGATGGTCGGTATGGACATGCAGCTGCTGGCCGTGCGCGGCGTGGGCGGATGCGGGGGTGGCATCTGGGCGAGCGGCGAGATTAGCGGACTGCTGATGCTGTTGCTGTTGCTGCTGCCGCTGCCGCTGCTGCTGACCTCCGCCACACGGGACACATGAAAGCGGCTGCGATTGGGCGAGGACGACGGCGAGATCGTGGGCGGACTGGGACCCGGCGAACGGAGACGGGTGCCCGTCTTCCGTTTCACCTCCAGTAGGGCGGCGGCCGATGTTGGCATGGCGACGGTTGCTGCCACGGACGTCACAGTGCCTGTCTTGGCGTCCACAAACGGCCTGCTCTGGCAGGTGAGTGAGATCTTCCGCGAGCCCAAGTAGTAACCGCCGCGACACCGAATGCCGCTGATGAAGCTGCTGCTGCTGCCGTTGCCGCTGTTGCTGCCAGTGCTGTTGATGCCGGCGCCGCCCACAATCGCCGCCCTCTCCGCCGCCAGCTCCTGGGCCTGCATCTTCTCATTCCTGGAGCACATGGACCGCACTGTACCCAGTACTCGCGTGTAGTCCAAATGTGCATCGCTGCCAATCTGCAAAAACAGAGAGAGAGAGAGAGAAAGAAAACAAAATCAGTTTGGGGGGGGATCCTTTAGCAAAAATTAATACAAATAAAAATCCTAAAAGTACTTGGTGCCAGTCACACGGTTAGCTTGTGTTTTTAGTTCTGGAAAGGGAGTCGGAACCAGGCAGCGAATGTGTGCGATTTGGTGGCTTTGTTAATGGCAGAATTGTTGAGGCCAAGCATTTAAGTGTGGCAGAAAGGAGAGGAACAGCAACAGAAGCAGCAGGCAGCAGCAAGAGAGAGGAGCATTTATTTTGATGTGGGTTTCTACTTACGCACTCCTGGGGCAATGGCGATGCCGGTATAACATTTACTATCGGCACTATGGGCAACTTTAACAGAGAGATGATGAGAGAGAGAGAGAGAGATAGAGAGGAGAGAGCGTGGCGACAGCGACACGATGACACGGTGTCCACAAATGAAAATGATTCAATTAAAAGTCCCAAACACATGATCCAACCAACGCAATCGGCCATCCAACACAATACAAAAACAGTTAGGAGTTAAATGCTAGAGATTCGGGCTGGCCGAAACTTAAAATATCCTTGCAAATTTACTGTTGCAAGGATACAGCTAATAAATGTACCATAAAAGTGTACAGAACAATGTCCACAAATCAAATTGTAAAGCAAATTTAAGCGAGAAAACAATGCAGCTAGAAACTATACGCCTATGTTCAAACCAGTGGACAGCACGCACACATTCACATGTCTTGCAGTGTGTCAGCAGACAAAACGGAACATTGGATTGGTGCCAATCACTGTAATACAGGGCCGCGCCGACAGCTGGTTTAAACTAAGCCTGGGACATGGATAAATGGAAACCCAATGTAAATTACATATTTATTATAGACAAAGCCTTGCCAAAGGATTCATGGCTTCAAGGACTCATGTAAACGCTTGATATACTATATAGTTAAATGTTCTACTGAATCTCTAAAGAATCGCATTCATATTTGCTTTACAACAATTGAGAGACTGAAACCAAGGCAACACGTAACAAAACTCAACTTCTACTTTGCTTTCGGATGAGCGCTGAACACATGAGTAATTCTTTGGCCATGTGAGGAATGGTACAGAGAGAGAGAGTGAGAGAGAGAGTGAGCCGAGATTAAAGTGAACCTACCGTCAGACGCTTGGGCTCGTCATTGATGTCGATCTGTGTGAGGGTCTTGTTGGACTTGAGCACCTCGGCGATTATGTTCAGACTTTCGACCTCTAGTTTATTGTCGCGTATATCGATGCGCTGCAGCTTGCTGTTGCCCCCAAAGCTGAGTATGGAGGCCAGTGTCTCGATGCCCTTGGCACTCAGATGGGCGCTCTGCAGTCCCAGCGTTGTGAGGGTCGTGTTCTTGGTGAGGCTCTCCTTGATGGTGCTCACAAAATCATTGGACAGACAGTTCTTGCCAATGTTGAGCAGCTCCAGCGAAATGGTCTTCTCCAGCAGCTCCGCCACGCTGCCCGCACAATCCTTGGTGAGGTTATTGTTCCACATGGTGAGTGCTTTCAGGCCGCTGGGCGGCCGATTGGCTGCCTCGAGGTTGGCCGCCTCCGCCAGCTGACGCCTGGACAGTGTGTCGTTCTTCGTAATCTTCTCCGCGTAATCGGGATCGTTGGCGGTGCTGTTGTTGCTGTTGTTGCCATCCAGCGATGTATCGCTGCACAGACTCTCCGCGCTGTGCGACCAGTTGCGCGTGGACTGATTGAGGTACGCGCAACTGGACTCGGTGCGTCGCATTCCGATGCTTGCCCCGCCCGGCGATGTTGAAGGCGGTGGCGGCGTGGGCGTGGGACTGGGCCCGGTATAGCAGTATGTGCTTGGACGGCACTCCTCGGCAATGGTCACCTTCGGCTGCTGGAATGAATCATTGATGGCCGGCGTGGGTGTGATGGCCGCAATCGCAGCCGCAGCCGTTGTCGCCGTCGCCGCCGCCTCCTCTGCCACCAGCAGACACTCTGTAGACTCTGTGGCAATGGTGGCCGTCTCAATGCCACCCAATTCCTTGGCCATATCGTCCAGTCGCGTGCTCTCGAGCGACACGGACAAACGGCTAAACTCCTCTGGCAGATGGCGGCTAATATCGCCCTCGGACGCGCTCTCAAACGCCGAGTCCATGCTGTGCGTGTCCTCAAAGTCATCGCCTGCACTCTTGGCGTTCTTGTTCACATCGAGAGGTCGCGATCCGCTCACCGCCACTCCATTGCCGCCGCCATTGATGCAGCAATCGCTCTCCTCGGCGGTTACCTCAAAGATGGCTGCTGGTGGCGTGGAGCTGCCGTTTGGACTGGGCCTGGGACTGGGACTGGTCCCCGTTATTTCAGCATTTTGTGGCGCAGCAACTGCTGCTTGGTTAGTGCTGCTGCTGTTGTTGTTGTTGTTGTTGTTCTGTACACAGGATTCATTGGGTTTCGGTTCAACGGTTTTAGCCTCTGTTGAGGGAGTAATATCTGGCAGAAAAAGAAGAATAAAACTTTAATGGAGAATTTATAAATTAGAATTGGATTCCTCTGTAGTTACCACATAAGTTGCGTTCATTTTGGGAACTTTGCTGCTGCTGCTGCTGCTGCTGTTGTTGTTGTTGCATCTCCTCTGTGCTCTGCTCAGCTGCAGAAGCCATCGCTGTGGCATCCACAACTGTCGAGCTTTCTGCTGCTGCTCCTTCATTAATTTCTTTTGCTTCTGCCGACTGTTGCTGCTGCTGCTGCTGCTGCTGCAGGTGCTGCTGCTGTTGCTGTTGCTTACCGCTGCTTGCCTCAAATATCTCATTGCTGATCTCGCTTATGTCCTCAGAGCAACAGGCAGCCAGTGTGTCGGTGGATGGCGCCTCCTCCATGCTGCTGCTGCTGTCGCTATTCATCGATAGCAGCTTGTCCAGCATTGATTGGCCGCCGCCGCTGCTGCTGCAGTTCTTCAGAGTGCGCACAGTATCGTCTTCGGTGTTGTCGTCCTCATTGTCGTTCTCCACCTCCACGAGGATACCCACAGCTGGCTCGCTGGTGCTCGCGGATGCAAATGGCTGTTCCACAGCTCCAGATGGCTCGCCAGCACCAGTCGACTCCCCGCCGCCCCTGGCCTTGTCGACGACATCTTTCACATGGTCACAGAAGCCAAAGTTCGTCTCTGTTTGGGACACTGACGACGGACTGTAGTCCGCCGTCTCCAGGGACTCGTCCACCTCGATGGCTCGCGCACGCTTCAGGGCGCCCAGTCGACGTTCCAGCTCTGTGGATTGCAGGATCAGATCTTGCACCAGATACTTGCAGCCCTCGTCCCGAATGTTGTTGTTGCTTATGTCGATGAGCTCCAGGCTGTGGTTGTAGCGCAGCATATCGGCTATGTGCTTGGCATCCGTACAGTCCAGATCGTTGTAGCCCATCCACAGCTCTTTCAGCATCTTGTTCTTGTGTAGCCCACGGCCTGTAACAATTCAAGGGGAAGGTTAGGTAAGAAATGGTAGCCAAAACCATCATTCATTTGCTTACAGAGTTCGGTGAGTGGCGGTCCCCTCAGGCCGCAGTGTTCCAGCTTGAGCGTGTGCACATTGGAGGATTCCAAAGCGCGTCCCAGGCTTTCGGCGCCCAGTCGGGTGATCTGGTTGCTCTCGGCATTGAGCAGCCGCAGCTCTTGGCTGCGCTCCACCATGTAGGCGCACAGCTCCCAGCAGCGCTTGGTCATCGTCTCCTTGTTGTACGATATGTCCAGTTCGAAGGCCGCCTCATAGTACTCGATCATCTGGAAGAGCGGGCTCAAACAGCTCTCGTCCAGCTTGCATTCCGACAGATCGATGGTCTTATATTGTATCTGGGAATGTGGAGTAAAACAATAAATCTACCTCGAATGAAATTCAATCTATAGGGTTTTTCCACCCCCTTACCCTTTTGAATATCTCCTCGAGGGCCTCGCAATCGTTGGGCTCCAGTTGATTGCCCTTGAGGGAGAGCAGAGGCTGGCGCGCCTGCAGCGTCAGATCCAGGCCATGCAGGTGATCCAATATACTCTTTAGCGGCTTTCTGCTATGCTTTTGACACGACTGCTCATACTCATCCACGATCTCGGCAATGCTCCTCACTAGGCAGGCTGCAAAAATGCAATGGATTTTTGTAGAAATCTAAGATCAAAATATCTGAAAGATGAATTACTTGTAGCATCTATGATCTGGCATTTTTTTTGTGGGGGGGGAATTGAAATGAATTGAAAATTCATGTTTCAAAATGTAAGTCAAAGAGTAGGTGGCACATTTGGTCATCATTTTGGTTAGATTTCCCATAAGCGTAGGGGATAGCAAGCAGTCGGAAGACTGCTCCTATTGCTGTGAGAATTATGCTCGGACGCACAAGCAAAAAAATCGAAAAGAGAATGTACGAGAATGCAAAAACCTATTAAATTGCTGTAATTGCTATTGCTATTATTGCTGTGAGAATTATGCTCGGACGCACAAGCGAAAAAACCGAAAAGAGAATGTACGAGAATGCGAAAACCTATTACATTGCTGTGATTGCTATTGCTGTGAGAATTATGCTCGGACGCACAAGCGAAAAAACCGAAAAGAGAATGTACGAGAATGTGAAAACCTATTGCATGTCATGTGCATGACGCAGCATTTGAATGCTCGTAAGCCCAAAGCGTACCGTAATTGATCAAAAAGTTGTCTCCCTCTGATGATTACGTACACATCAAAAAAGAGCGCTTAAAAATTGCAAAGATGATATCTGTATCGATTCGACGAATGCCACACAACAATTTATACAAATTGTTGTTGAGTCAATAAACTTGTAGACGTCGTCGGACTCTTCCGATTCTTACGTTGCCGCCCAATCAAGTCTCATACGAGATATGTTCATATATTATATGTACTCGTATTCTATGGTCAAATAATGACAAATAACTGGAACTTATGGCGCGTGCGAGTGTGTTTGATTCCATGCACCCCCCCCCCACCCAGGCACTACTCCTCCTCCTCCTCCTCCTCATCCTCTTCCATTGTGAGCCATAGTCGTCATCAACAATTTGCCGCCGTCGGGCATCAAACATATAGCGACGGACGACATAGACAAATTGTCCACACAAAAAAATAAAATTAAATGAAATTGCGGCGGCAATTTCCAAACGATTTTGTTGCCTGTTACTGGGTCTGCGGCTGGAACTGAAACTGAAACTGGCGGGGGGTTGGATGACATGAAATCGTGAACTTGTAATTTGCAACTCATTCGCGTTAGACGCTTCTTGCGGCGGGGGCGGGGGGCTGACTGTCTGTCTATCATTTGGTGGCAACTAAATATAGAAACTACAATATACAGAAGATAGGCTCCAATTTTATGGGAGTGGGGTATGGGGGGGTGGCACTTTTTGAGAGAAGTCTTTTAAAGGGACAACGATCGATTTTAGTTTTTTTTTCTTCATGTAATTACTGCCTGATCATTATTAAAGTTAAAAAATGAATAGAAAGACCTTGATTTTTGGAGACCTTTATTAATTAATTACCTTTGAGCGCCCAGCGAGCAAAAATGGGTTGAGCTTTAAAGAGTTTGCTCAGCCACGGTTATAAATGCGAGACAATAATGATAATAGCGAATCTCAACAAGCGAGAAACTGATCTTGAATAAACCTACCAATAAGAATACCCAAAGAACACGAAACCCCCAAAACGAGATGTGTGCCAAATGCCAAGTGCACTTTTTTTTTATAAATAGTACCACACACACTCACACACACACGGGCACGGGCACGAACACGAACACAAATACGGCAGGGACACCGATACGCCCGTAAAATTCATTCGAATTCGAATTCGAAAAACGTAAACAAATTAATCTATCATTGCATTATCTAGTCACATCGGTGTTAGAGGGAATTAAACGATTCGTTTTAGATCTGCCACAAAGTTTGATGCTGCCAACACACACACGGGCACACACACTCGTAGTAGAACGGGCAATTTTTTGTCAAGAAAATCTCTTTGTGACTTCAAAATGCAAAAAAGATTTTCTTTTCGTTTCGTCGTTTCGTTTTCTTGGCAAGAGCTCAAAAGTGTTTTTCGAATCTATTCCATCTATATAATAGTTCCGCTGCTCACACACACACCCCATTCCTCCCCCAATGGTGCCTTGGGATTGAACATCTGTTAAGTGATTCATTAGCGTTGAGTCGAATATTTCAGAATATTCAGAGATTTATGAAGAATTCACACAGCGACACGAATCGGGGCAGACAATGTGACGACCAAGTGACATTTTCTTTGGGTTGCTTTCCTTTTTTTTTTTTGCGGGGTTAAAAATCATTTCAAATAATTTCAATTTATTAAATTATTTATTATTGTAGATTGGCATTTATCGGAAGAGGAGAAAAAGAAAAAAGGTATTACCAGATTAGAAAGAACTATGGAAAATAAACAAATTTGAAATGAAAAATAAACTACATTCGATTGCGCGTGGATAATGTAAAAAGTATAAGGTGATCGATCTGAAAGATAGTGAAAAATATACCATTCATAGATCCCCAAATGAATTATGTTTGAACGACATGGGGAACAATAAAGGCAGTTTAAATTCCTGTCAAATAAATCCACTTCCTATCAATAAATATTGTTCCATAATTTGCTGCCTTTATCAGAAAAGAAACGAAATCCTTTCCGTCCGTACAAATTGTTTACACTCGTCGCACGTATGCCTTGTGGGGGAAACTATAATTTCTTTTTGTTTCGCTTCTGCCTCTTGGTGGTTCATTCTTGTTAGGTAAAGTAAAGGTGGTTTTGGTGCGGTACCGCGACCAGTTTTATAATGTACCTAAAATGTTATGCAAACACAGGCACTTATTTATTATTAAAAATTGTTGTTTGCGATCTATTTTTAATGATTTCGTTTTGGGCAATGACACAAAATATAAACAAAAACAAGCCACAATCCCCACCTGAGAATTTTATGCAAAAAGAAACCTAAATTTAATTTATTTGTCATCGCTGAGCTGACTATTCCCACTGGCTTCTGTTTGCTCTTTGCTGTCTGGCATTAGAGAAATGAAGAATTGCCGTCCGATAATACATAGTAAGTAGGTAATAATGCGTTGGTATTATTTTCAGGCATCATGTGTGGGTGGTGTATCCTTTCGCTTCGGGAGAAATTTTTGCTGCAGCAGAAGCAACGTCATTCGCAGTGTAACAGAAGGACTGGGGCGGGGGGTACTTGTAAGTCATTCTCTGTAGACATTGTTGAATCGCGTGCCACTGTCCTACGTCTACGTTTGCGTCTATTAAATGCCTTTTCAATTTTTTATTATTCTATTGATTTTTGTGCCATTTCTGGGGCTCTGTGCTGACGTCGTCTCTCACGCAAAGTCAAAGCTAAAGTCAAATGTACGAGAAAATGCAAAGGTGGGCAAAAAAAAAAAGCAAAAAAAAACTAGAAACAACAAGCAGCAAAATTGTTCAATTAAATTGCTGTTAATTTACTGCTAAACATTTACAATGTCGGAAACTTGTTCTTGCCGCCTGTGTACGGGTGTGTTTTTGTGTGTTGATTTTGGACTGGCAACACAAGTAAATACAAAAAAAAAACGCTCAAATGATCGCCACAAACAGGAGAGAGGAACCCCAAAAGACAATCGACCACAAAAGCTGGCATTAAGCTGTTAATTTGTTTAGCAAAAAAAAAAGGCTGGAAAAAACACGCACATCCAAATGATACTATGCCTGATTGGATATGGTATTTAAAAGGGGTTTAGACTCCTGCAAGAATCATCATTAGGCGGATTCGGAACGAAGGGTAGCCTGATGGAGAATTAAAGAACGATGTATTTTGTATTGAATCCATTTCGCTGGTTCCAAAGATTTTTCCCAAATTGAAATCAGAATTGAGTGCAGGGTATTCAATTAGCGAATTACCTTCGTTGTTCTTCTCTGCATTTCCAACCTGTTTTCGAAAACGTATCGCGTATCATTCCTCTTATCTCATTAATGATATCGAACGGCGGTGCTGCCGCTGTTGCTGCTGCTGCTGCTGTTGACTTGAATTGACAAATTGGCTGACGGCATGACCGACGCTCGTTTGTCATTATCGAAGCCTAAACTTAGAGCCGAATCGAGAGGCAGGGTATTACGGGCCAAGAAGATAAGCGTCTCGGGTCTATAGCCAGACAAATAAATATATAAATTCGGTCGCGCCTCAAGCCAGAACTCACGCACTCAATAATTGTCATTAAACATATTTTGATGGGGCGACTGACATTTCAATTCGAAATGAAATTATTTGCTTTATTTGCAAAAATATAAAAGCTTGCTCCATGCATCAGAAAATATATGTATTTATGTATGTATGTTCTTTTCTGTATCCGTAAGTCTGTTATGTCGGATCTGGCTCTATTTCCCTTTCTTTGCTTCGCTTTGCTTTGTTTTTGGATTTGGAATTGGAATTGCATAAATTAATTTGTATCGGGAAACAAGCGAGCAAGCATTAATCGAGCTCGTGACATTTTTGCACTGCAAGTGTTGCTATAATTATTAACTTTTATGTAAGAGGGTTTTTGTTCATACCAGGAACACGAAGAATATACGGCGGGGTATACGCGTATTTCAGCTAACCAAGGTTAGTTTTTCAACCATAAAATAACCCTAACACAAGCCCAGAAATTGTTATCGATTGGTCCCCGCCAAACAACAGAAATGCACGGAATTTGTGTATTTGCACAAACGTAAATTTATAGTTATTTGTTTTCTTCCCTTCATTATCTGTCTGTCATAATGTCTTCTCCTAAATGAGGCGGGGGGAGGTGGGCTTTTGTGCTTTTGTTTAAATGACAAACGATGACATCACATACTCGTAGTGGGGCGCACACGAACGAATGGACAGAGTAAGAACAAACCAAAGGCAAAATAAAAAACACAAAAACATAGACACACAGACACAAAGATATGTATAAAAACAAAGACAAGAAACGAATCGAATCGAATCGAATCGAAATAAGCAAACAATTGTACAAGAAAAACATAAATATATATCATTTACATACATATGCTTCTGTATGTGTGTGTGTCCACTCACAGGTAAATATGGAGACAAACAAAAAGACAAGCCAGTAGCTAGATATTTCGCGATATTTGGACTAGCTTATACCCTATACTCGGATTTACTTAAAACAAAAATTAACCTAATTTTAATTGCATAATTTTAGGTAGATTATTGGTTATTATGCACTCCGATCGAAATGATTTTAGTTGGTTTGGGAGATAGTCAGCATCTTAAAATTGTCAAGCTCTATTTTTTTTCTTACAAACACATAATATACCCCTTGATGTCGACGCGTACCGAGGGTACTTTAACAACCGTAATCGTTTCAACAATTCAAAGACAATTCGACGTGAGGCGGGCAAATGACGAGCACAAAGCGAGCCTAAGATTGCCGTAGGCAGAGCGTCAAAGCAGAGCGCAAAAGCAATGCCGGCTAAAAGCAGCACAAATACAAATACAAATGCGAATGCGAATGCGAATGCAAATACAATAAGAAATCAAAGGAAGAGGAGGAGGAATGTGAAGAGTGCGCAAAAGCAAATGCACACACAGTACAACTGGAAATGAACCGAAAAAGAAAAACAAAAGCAAAGCAAAGCAAAGCAAAGCAATAAAAGCAAATACGAACTGAACCGTAATCTTATCAGCGATTTCTTTCCCTTATCGCTGACGTGAAAATAACAAATAACAAAATCAGAGAAAACTAAAAAGCAATAACTAAAATCCTATACACATAAAATGTGGCGGTGGGGGTGGGCCAGAACAATATATGTATAATCGTATAAAAAGGTGCTTTTTTAAGAGCTTTATCGAAATGGATCCAGACATAGGATGATCTATACCATATGATCCCAAGCACTAGTATTTATTTTTTGCACCTATTTCCAAGCGTATTTCTTGCAGGCCTCCCCCCCTCTCTCGCTCGCAAAGCGCAACCCAAGAATGAGGTTTTCAGGAAGGAATCAGAATCACTGTCAGGTTCTTTGCATGTCCCATACACGTGTATGATTGTGTTTTTGCTCTTCCTGAATGGGCAGAGAACAGAACAAACAACAAATGGCGCCTTTGTGCATAGCAACAGTTTGTTGTGGCATCTACACGTAAGTATGTATGTATGTATGTATGTGTGTGGGATGTGCAAGTATTTATCGACTGCAGCAGCGCCATAACCATCCCCCATCCCCATCCCCCATTCACAACTCACTCAAAAGCAAATAAATATTTTGCGCACTTTATCGACTTGGCAGCCCCGTACCCACCCACCCACAGGCCGACAAGTATGCGGTGGGGTGGGTATACACCATTCTTTCCTCTGCCCACCTCCCATACTATCTCTCTGATCTCTCGCAATGAAATCTGTCTTCTGCTTTTGCTTTTCCTTCTGCTGCTGCTGCTGCTCTTGAATTGTATCTCAATTAGCTGTCGGATGATCTGTATCTCCTCTTCGTCTTGCATTGCATTTCAATTAGCAATCAAATCCATCGCTTTAATTGAATTAAATCACAGGAAGTGTGTAATAAATGAGAAGTGCTAACAAAGTGTCTCGCAATTGGCTTCCGTGTTTGTACGATCGATCGTTGTATCGTTAGCAGCGATAAGATCCCCGGGGCACGGTTACGTTCCTGTGTGTCCGCGACTCGATTGTACAATGACAAATTGCTCATAGAAGTGGGAAATTTAATGGGGAACCGGAAATGGGCAGCGCTGTCTACGGACATTTATCGATTAACGAAGAATCGGGGCTGCTCCCTCGCATCTTACACTATCCTACAATTAGAGTACTTTTCACTCACCTTGTTTCCATGGATTGGCTGGCTCCAGATAGCCGGTGACCAGCGCGTTGTCCGGAAACGAGACCCGCCGCGGTATGGAAGCCGCCAACGAGCTGTCCGACGATTTGCGCTGCAATATACTGGGCGCCGTCGACAGGACGACACCTCTCATGGGCAGCCCCACCACCACCCCGGCCGCTGCCGGTGTCAGGGCGGAGTCCGGGCACATGGTCGAGCTGGGATTGGAGACCAGTGAGTCGGTGCGCCATACCGCTGTCTGCTTTGCATCGTGATAGCTCTTTATTTTTTGTCTTTGGTGCGTACGCATCTGAACGTCGAATGCGGGCTCCGTTCGCGGTGCCACCGATGACAATGGCTGCTGAGCAGCCGCCGCCGCAGCTGCAGCTGCAGCGCCATCAGCTGTTTCGGCTAATTCGGTTCTCTCGGCCACTGGGGACAGCAGCAACAGCGATGTCGATGGTGGAGCTGTCACAGCTTGACCCTCGGCTGCCGCTTCTGGCGATGCTGCTGGTGCGGCGGGAGGCGGCGGCGAGGAAACCTCTGCCTCTGCCTCTGCTGCCACTGTCACTGTTTCCGTTACACGGGCCACCACAGATGTGGCGGTGGCGGTGGCCGCGGCGGCGACGGCGACGGCGGCTGCTTCTGTTGGCGCAAAGTGCGTTGAATTTGTTGGCTCCGTTTCATGGCCCGTAATCATCTTCTGAGCAGAGAATAGATTACAGGGTATGCTTCAAGTGGTCGTCGAATTATGTGGAGAGGCAAAAGGTATTATTCTGCCTCGGCTCTGTTTCGATTCTCTGTAGTCGTCGGCGTTGCTCTTTTTTTATCAAAATTATTGCAGTTGGTTGTTCTACTCGATGGCTCGAACTTGTTGTAGTTTTCCGATGTCTATCATCAAAATCACTTTATTTATTTACAGTGTGTGTGTGTGTATGTGTGTGTGCGGCACCACCTTTAGTGTCCTCCGTGTGTCTGTGTGCGTGCGCTTCTCCTCTGTGTCGTTTTAGTTTTTACATTTTTGGGGGTTTGTTTTGAATGAAATTTGATGGCTTATGTGAAACACACTGCGAAATGAATATAAAATCAACACACAATTCTGTATTCTACGCACGATTCCGGATCCAAGTCAGGGCGACATTATTTTGCTCGCTTAATCAGGAGAACTTTACAGAAAACAAAAAACACTAAAAATTTTCCGCTCAAAAAATTTCCACCGCTACAGGCACAGTGGAACTAGTGGCAAGAATATTGGTCACAATTTTGAATAATTTAGCTTTTAAGATATTTTCTTATTTTCTTCTTTGTATTTGCTTATTAGCTTATAATATTATTTTTTTTTTTTTATTAGTCGCGACACTCTACATTGCACGCTTTATCGCCCACTGTCCAATGTAATTTTTCAAAACAAAAGGCAAACGAATACAATAGAAAGAGACAAAGAGAGCATGAGTGAGAGAGCGTAAACGTTAGCTGTCCTCTCCCTCTCTCCGCTCAAAAATGCAAAAAAAAAAATTACCTAATTGTTATTGTATTTGTTTGCTTTTACATTTGCGGAGAGAGCCGTGCGATTTCTTGCATTTTCCCGTATTTTTTTGTTTTCACGCGTTTGTTTTTATTTGCGTGTGTGTGTGTGTGTAGTGTGGCTATGTGTGTGTGTGTAACACGCGCCCTGTTGCATGCAAAACTCAATTTATAAGGCAGTATTTAAGAATAAATACGAAAATTACGTCACTGTTTGCGTGGGAAACTTCATGGAGTTTTCGATTTTCAATTGTGATAGATAGTATTTTATCAGCAGTCGATTGATGGATAGGATATAGTATATATATATCTTCGATTTGCATACATACTTTCTCACAGCACATTTTCAGTGCATTTGCTTTTCTACACTTTGGCATTTAATGGCCAACTCAGAGTTTGGCGCATTTTTATACACAAACTCGTCGACTCTCTATCCCTCCCCCCACTTTGTTACACAATTGTGGCCAGCTTTCGGGCCGAAAGGATGGGATTTTTAATTTCTATTGGCCTGCATACCACGAGATTATCAGTTATCAACACAGCTTGCATTTCATTTAACCATTTAACTTTTAGGCATCCGCGACCCGAATCACATTTTATAAATCCATTTTTCGAACTGGCTCATTTTAGCGTTACGTTCATGAGTGATGAGTGAGCGAACTTAACCCATTAAACACCCCTCTATTTAAACAGGTAAACAACTTGATTTAAACCGCGGAAATTAGTGCTGCTTGTAATTTACTATTGCAAAACCTCTTTATTTAAAATAAATAATTTCTGTCACCTATCTGATAGCTAGGTGGTTATCGTTAAAGGAAATAATAACTTTAATCAGACTTCGTCTGTTTCCATAACAAGATCAGGGCGACGTATAAACCACTCTTAAGACCCATTCCAGTCTGGCAACCTTTCCACGTGTGCTCCCTTAAATAACATACAACATCAAAACAATAAGTATATACATATAAAATTATACATAATATACAAGTGCACACATACACACACACACACACTCCACACTGAATATTAATTTGTTTGTTATTACAAGAAGAACTATTTTTTTAAACACAATTTCGGGCAAACAACAACAACTGCATGCGGTTCCCTCTCCCGCTCTCTCCCACTCCTCTCTCTGCACTGTACTCTGTAGGCTACTAAACACACAATAATGTTGAGTTTGATTTGAGAACGAGCCGCCTCGAATATTGGGGATATTGCGGCAGAGTTTGGCACGTTCTGCGAGTTATTTTGTACAGTGGAGTGCGTACACACATCCAAACAAAACTTCGACTTCAAGGTCACTGTTGATATTCTCCCCCGCAGAATGTTCATTGTTTTTTTTTCACATACACACAGGTAGTACAATTATTATCAGATAATTGTTATTCAATTGACATTTATGCTCGCTTACTTAGCACTAAATTTGCGTTGGGGTTTTAAAAAAAAAAGTTACGTCCGAGCCGCGAAACTCCCCGTTTGACCAGTGTGACCGCGGTTTTATTGATAAAATATACCACCAGCACTAAATTTGCTTTGATGAGCAAAAAGTATTTTATTTTATCATGGTATATAAAGGTATTTTTCGGCTTGGTCACTTTGTTCGGGGCTGGTGAATTCCCCTCTTTTTTCGTGGTGTGAGCCACATTTATCTTACGGAAACCGTAGCAACAATGATTCTACTTCATCGTGTGAATAATAATCATCGTGTGCCTGTAAGTTAAAAACTCGTAAGTTAAACCGTTACTTTTGTAACGGATTTTATATCGAAAAGTATTTTTTTGGTACAAAAAGATATATTTATTACGGTATATTTCTGAGATAAATCCACGGTCACACTAATAAGCAGCTGGAAAAGCCAACTCAGCTAAAACAAAAAAAAAATTGTATAGAAAAAATAGCTGTGCAGCAGGAATTAAGATCAATTTTCCACACTAAAGTGCGCCCCACACACAATGCAAAATGCGGCTGACAAACGAGAACGTGAAACTCCACCCAATGCTGAGAGATTTGTGCATTTTCCTCGGCCTAACAATCTGCATCTGTCTTCCAACGACGTGGGCCGCAGAGACGACGACGACTCTCTCAGACAAGAGACTCTGCGCTGACCCAAAATGTGAACGTAAGTAGACAATAAGCGAGTGGCCTTTGATCTGATTTTGTAATCTGCTGGAAGGTGCCCTGCCAACTGGAAATTGCATAATTAACATGTTTTTCGTTATCCGGCTTTTGTTTTAGGTATTATCTCCATGGGCAAAACCAAGATAATGTACAGCTCAGGCGGCAAGGGACTGCTATCCTTCAAGATCAACACCCCAGTGCGCATTCTGTCCAAAAGTGCTGGCACGAATAAGCAGCTCTGGGGCGTGGATATCGGCGGACGTCGTGGCTATGCCAACAAGGAGTTCATATTGGAGGAGAGGATCCTTGTCAGCGAGAAGGAATTGCAGCATGAAGTGCCAGTGGTTGGGCCAGGTAGTCCACTACCCGCTGCAGCACCTGCCATCACACCACCAGAAGCCCCCCTGAAGGCAACCGAGGTAGAGCCGCCCGTTCCCAATGCCTCTCAGTCAGCCGATGACTTGGCAACGACTACAACCAGCCCGCTGGATGTAAAAGGCGATGCCATTGTCACGAAAAAGGACACGGTGAACGACCAACAGGTGCCCGACGTTCCAACAGCGTCGTCACAGGTTGTGCAGATGGTAGATGGCACTCGGCTGCCCATGGAGGCGATTCCAGCTGTCACCGAGAGGACACAGGATCAACAGGTCGTCCCACACGCAGAGAAATCTCAAACAGCCTCAGCAGCGGTTGACACGAAAGAGCCACAACCGGTGGCACCAACGACTGAATCGAATGAGTCACATCAACAGCAACAGCAGCAGCAGCAGCAGCAACCAGAGAAAGTAGTAGCTGCCCAAAAAGAGCCAGCGCCAGCAGTGACGGAACCTCAGAAGCTACAACAGGTGGAGAATGAACCCAATGACCCACAGCAGGCGGCAACCACTGGAGCAGCGTCTGCAGTTAAGCAGCCAGAGCCAGTGACAGTTGCACCGGTGGCCATCAACGCTGATATTGACGACGACACTGATGATTTCGACTACGAGGAGGACGACATCGAAGAAGTCGATCAGTACGATGAACTGAAAATAGATAGCAAAGATAACGAAACGTTGAACGAGCAAGTAGCAAACGATAAAAAGCCAATTAATGTGAGCGAAACATCCGAACTGAAGCCCAATTTGGTTGAGCAAACGATAGATAAGAGTGCACCCCCCAGTAGTGTAGAAGAAGTGCCAAAAACTGAAGAGCAAACGACAGTGGAGCCACAGGCCGAGGCACCCGCAACGGAGCAGCCAATTCCATCTATACTTCAAGGGATTGCGTCCTCCAAGGAAGCCCCAAGGGAAGCCACAACTGAAAGACAGTTGGAGGAGATTGCTGCACCAAAGGAGGTGCCCGAAACAACGACACCCACAGTGCAGGAGATTGCTGCACCAAAGGAGGTGCCCGAAACAACGACGCCATCAGTGGAGGTGGTAGCCGAAAGGTTGGAAGTGCCAACGATTCCAGAAACATTCAGGGAAAATGTAGAAAATGTTGTACCACAACAAGCAGGGATCCCAGTCCAAAGCGAGCCAGAGACAGCCAAGGTTGAGGATGCCACAGAAGCACAGCCTCTGGTGGATGTCGATGCCAGCGCCACGGCCAGTCGCCTCGAGGACGTGCCTGCAGTCGCAACAGAGCCCTCAGTTGGCCTGCCGCCACTTTTCGATAAGCAAAACTTTGCCAATCCAAACGAGTATTATAAACAGTTGCAGGAGCAGCAGGAGGCAGTGCAGCAGCGGCAACCGAGAGAAGCGGAGAAACCGCGAGATAATCCAAATGATTATTACAATCAGCAGAAGGAGCAGCAGGCTACATTTGAGGAGCAACTGAAGCAGCAGCAGAAGAAATTGAAGGAGGAACTGAGGCAGCAGCAGGAGCAAGTCTACGAGCAACTGAGACAGCAGCAGCAGGAGAAAGTGGAGCAGCAGCAGCAGCAGGAGAAAGCGGTGGAGCAGCAGCAGCAGGAGAAAGTGGAGGAGCAGCAGCAGCAGGAGAAAGCGGAGGAGCAGCAGCAGCAGGAGAAAGCGGAGGAGCAGCAGCAGCAGCAGCAGGAATCCAATCATCAACAGCCAGAGCAAACTACACCCACACCCTCCTACGAAGCACCCTACGCCGCTGTCGATGATGAACCCACGGCAGCACCACACAGCGGAGAAGTATCTTCGGAGAGCGCGGCAGTTGGTTCGGTGGAACCACTGGCCCTGCCCTCGACAACAAGTCCCGCCATAAAGGATGATGGCGGCGGTGGACTCTTTGCCACCATTGTCGACACTGTCAACACATTCATCTCTAGTCAGGGATCCAAATCGAAGGATAATGTGCCATCGGATGAGCGCCGCAGCGATGAACTGCAGCGAATTCTGTACCCGGGCATGGGCGAAAAGCCCACCAAAGGTGAGTGTGCGCGGCCAACTCTGTCTCCTTTCCAGTGATTTTCATTGGTTGCCTTTTGCAGAAGTGCCCCCTGCCGATGTGAATGGTCATTGTGCTCGGCACCAGGCCAACGATAATGAGCACTGCCATCGCACCATTTCGTTGGACAACGTTGTGGAGGTGCTGGCCGCTAAGCTGGTGGACAACAGCCAGCTGCTGTTGTGCGTGGTCATTGCGGCCGCCTCGTCGCTGTTCTTCATCTTTGGCTACTACTGCTTCTGCAACAGCAGCCAGGAGGGTGCTCTGCTCTCGAAACTGAACCACTTGGAGCGCAGCCTGCTGACGTCGCACAAGGAGAATCTAATCATTAAGAACGACCTGATGACGACACGCACCAAGCTGGCCAGCATTGAGGACAACTCCTTTGGCTCCAATGACATGGTGGCCGCACTCAAGCGGCAGCTGGAGACGGAGCTGTACGAGAAGGGCAAGCTGCAGGAGCAGGTTGTCTCCCTGGAGAGGGTATGACTGCATCCGCAAGGTGTTTATTTCCCATTGAATGTCTTAACCGTTGGTTTTTCGATTTTAAAGGACGTGGATAAAGCCGCCGAGGCTGGGCTAGAGCTAAACCGAATGCTATCGGAGGTGTTGGGCAACCAAAATGGCAATGATGCCATACTGAGCACCGCCGATGAGCTGCAGCGGCAGCTAAACGAACAGGAAAGTGAGTATCTGCTGGGAGTTGGGAGCGCCGCCTGCTCCTTAGACTAATGTCCTTGCAATTCCCCGTGCACAGAGATCATTGATGACATCAACTCGAGCCTCGCGGAGAAGAGCCGGGAGAACAGTGAGCTGCAGTATTCGTACACCGAGGCCACGGCGCGTCTGACGAGCGAACTGAAGGCCCTGCAGGAGGATAACTACGAGCTGGATATGGAAAAGTCCAAGCTGCAGACGCGTCTCCACGAAATCCAAGCCGAGAACGAGCAGGAGCTGGCCAAGGCCCTGGAGACACGCAACTATGAGATGCAGCGTCTGCAGAACCAGATCCTCGATCTGACCAGCAAGTGGGAGAAGGAGCACGGCGATCTGCAGACCAGTCTGGCCAAGATCGAGGCCCTCGAGGACTGCCTGAAGGCTGTGAAGAAGGATGCCAGCCTGAATGTGAACGAGCTGATCAGCTCGGCCAAGACGCGCGGCGAGCTGAATGCGGCCCAGAAGAAGTTTGCCAATCTGCAGTCAAAGCTGGAGCAGGAGCAGGTCCACAAGGGCCGGCTGGAGAGTCAGCTGAAGCAATCGAATGCCGATGTGGAGCAGCTGAAGCAGGACTTCAATCAATCGGAGCGCGACAAGCTGGAGGCGCAAACGCGTCTCGAAGTGCTCTCCGGATACTTTCGGGAAAAGGAAAACGAACTGAAAACGTAGCTCAATCGAAGGGGTGGGAGATGGCGGGACAGATATCATTAATTTACTTCCGTTTTTGCAGGGAACTCAGCTTGCAGGAGACCAAGTGGCTGCAGCATCAGGGTGAGAATGCCAGCACCGTGGAGACGCAGACGCTGATGAAGAACGACATTCAGACACTCAAGTGAGTCGCGGCACAGTCCACTGTGATGCTCGCTAACGTGTTCCTTCTGTAGATCTCAAAACGATGAGCTGCGCGCGGAGATTGAGGCACAGATTGCCTCACACAAGGCCCAGATGGGCACACTGGAGAATCGGGCGCACGAGTCCTGGCTGGCGGCGCGTCAGTCGGAGCGACGCTGTGAAGAGGCGCTGGCCGAGGCCGCCGGCTTGCGACGCAAGCTGACCACCATGGCCGCCAGTGGTGATCCAGCGGCAGCCGATTCCATCTCTTCGAATGGGGGCGAGTCGAAGGCAACCACAGCACCGTCGCCATTGCCGCTGCCGTTGCCGGGCTCGCCATTGTTAAACATGCCAAATCCACTGCCATTCCTGGCGGCTCCCTTCTCACCATTTATGGGCCTGCCGCCGCCATTCCTGCCGCCAGCAGCAGCTGGTGGGGCGCGTCCACCGCCGCTGGGTCGCATGCGCTCGCCGCCGCCGGCTGCGTCTGGACCGCGCGGCCATCGGGATCGTGACCGTGAAAGGTACTCGGACTACAGCGATTACGATGACTATGACGACGATGAGGAGGATGATCGCCGTCGCCGGCATAGCGGCAGCTGGGGCCGGGGACGACGCGACTCCTACTCGAGGGACTCGCCTCGCACATATCGCTCGCTCTCCCCCTCGGACAGTCGGTACAACTACCGGCACGACACAGAGACGGACTACAGTCCGCCGCCCAGTCCCCGCCCGGTGGCGTCGGGACACCGCAACGGACCGGGAACAGGCACGGGAACGGGCACGGGAACGGGGGCTGGTTCGCGGACATACAGCGAAGTATGAGAGATGCGGATTTTTGTACTTCACGGCGGGGTGTACCGACCAAATCCTACCATCCTACCAAGTATATTATGTACGAGTAGTTGCTTAAACTCAAAACTAGTTCAAATATATTTATTAATCAACGACTACCGAAAAGTGGGGGCGGCCCGACTGGCTCCTCCGAACCCGAACGTGAGTCCACAAAGCGAACTTGAGGGGAGACCACAACAACAACAACAGCAACAGCAATTTACTGGCTCAATGGTGAATGATATTCGAAGAAAATTCAAGCAAATTAAACAGAATGACAAAAACCACAAGAGGTGATCTTTTTTCTTGTAACCAATTCCCTGAGTTTGCGCACAAACGAATGCAGCAGAAGAGAATGCTCAGGAATCTAGCAGCCAAAATCAAAAGCCCACTTAAAATACATATTTTGGGCGCTGGATAAAAGAATAAAGTCGCTGCGATGGTTGCTATAAATAATGCAATTTTAGATTTTCAGAAGCTATCACAATTATGTTATGTTATGTTTATGTTTCTCCACTTGCAGTTCATTTTATCAAAGGTTTATGTACATTCACCATTACGTAGCTGAGCAAAATCCATGACTAATACTGCTGCTACTCACGCATCCAGCGGCAGAAACTCTAGCTCGATGGCTTCCGGAGCAACGGGACTATATTCTAGAGCCTCAAAGGAAATCTTCAATTTGGGATGTTTGAAAAGCTGCAGAACCTAAAGGGGGGGGCGAGAGGACAGTGTGTGCAATCGTTAGGGCCAAGATATATATATATTCCAGGCTTGATTTACTTACCATATCTTCAGCGCTGGTTTCAAAGCATTGCAGCAGCAGGGGCTGTTTCCGTTTGTCCAGGACGGCCACCATTCTGGCCGCATCGAACTTGAAAAATATGTTGTATAGAATGTAGTGGGACATGGCCAGTCGCTTGAGGTGTGGACAAATGGACACCAGGTCCCAGAGTTCGTCGGCTGTGTCGAAAATACGCGAATTCTCCAGATGCACCTGCTCCAAGAGCGGAAAGCAGAGAATAACCTTTCTGAACTTTGCCCAGCTGCAGCCCTCGTCATCGATGATAGTTAGCTTGCGCAGATTACGACACGGCGTCCAGGTACTGGTTGTCCACAGCCAGATGCTGTCATTGAAGGACGCGGACACAATGTCCCTGCCACGCAACTGTGCAATATTCATAACCAGTTCACACTCGTGATTGGTAATGATGCGCAACTTTCGCAGCTTGGGCAGACGCATCAGCTGGGGAATGGATTCTTGCTGTACCACCTCCACCTCCAGCTCCTCCAGTTCCTTTAGTTTGCTAATGGCGCCCACGTACGTCTTCTCCTCCGACCGGCGCCACTGGACGCACAGCACACGCAGGCGAAGATGCTCGCAGACGTTCTCAATGGATTCGCAGCTCAAGTTCCAGCACTGAGCAATGTCCAAGTGCCGAATGTGCTTCATCTTGTAGAGGTCGTGGCCTTTGCACATGCCAGTCAATTTGAGCGACTCCAGCTGGGGAAAACAATTCACAAGAATCTTGATGTCCGAGTCGTCGACCCAGTCGTCAGTCTCGTCTGCCATATAGTCCAGGACGCGCATGTTGGGGAACACGTGCCTGCTAAATCGCTCCATCTGATCCTCGGGCAGGTAGGTGATTGTCAGATGCTTCAATGTGCCCTTCATGCTCTCCAGAAAGCCATCCAGAGTGTGCAATCGGCCCTCGAACGTTTCCCTGTACAAGCAGTTTTGGAACTTGCGAGACCAGGTATAGGCCACCGCCGAGCATAGGCGGGTTGTGTCCTCGGTGGCCTCCCACAGATCCATCTGCTCATTAAAGTCCAGGTACCCTATAATTTTTCTAAAAGCAAATGTTATTCTGGCGATCTGACCGCGGGAGGAAGAGGATTCCATTCCCAAACTCACAACAGGCAGTCGTCGTTTAATCGTATAATGCTCATCCTTCTTATGTTTGTGGCTCACTCAGACATAACTAGAACACTCTAAATCATAGATGTCTTTTTTTATTACTTCAGCTGATGAAAAACAAAACAAAAAGCTCTTTTGACAGCGCAATCAGTGCAGCGAAATCCGCATTTTTCCCGTCAAATCTGGCTGATGGAAGCGAGGATTCTTCGTTTGGCTTTTTTCCCCGCTTTTTTTTATGTTTGCAGGTTTGTTTTGCCAAAAAACAATAAGCAAAATTTCCAGGTCTATCTGGTTAAGTCTTAATTAAATTACTAGCCCATATTATTATATAAATATTTTATATTATTATTAAGCCCATAAATTACGCATTTTTTTTCTTTTTTCGGGAATGTTTCAGTCCAAGTTAGAAACGGCTTTTTTCCTGATGAAAAGTTGGCAGCACTGAGCGCAATGTTCGTAGCCGTCTCCAAATGTGACAAAATTATGTTTTCCAGCACTGTCACCGTCAGTTTTATCTCTCTCCCTCTCTCTCACTCGCACGCAGTAGAGCTCCATAATTTATGTAGATTTGATCAGGAACTGATAACGTCTGTTTACTCCCAAAGCTGTCTCAGGGAAATGTGGTCATAGTTTTCTTTAACTAATAGCCAAATCATTTTTCGGAATCTGTCACATTAATTTGTTAAGATTAAACAAGCTTTATCAAATTATATGGTCAAATTGAATTTTTAATCTATGTACATAAGCGCCAATCCCAATTAATCCCTTTAAATCGATTCAGATTCAGTCGATTTCTAGTTTACGGAATGACCCAACAGCTCCGAAGGAGGAGCGATGGCTGTGCCGAACGCGATCCCCGAATTCACGCAACTTCTCATCGGTGCCAAAGTGCTGGGAGGCTTCGAAATAAAGGCCATAGCTGGATAGCTTCGCTTCCATGGCCTCGCTTATGTCGCGCATGGTGCCGCGTGTTCCACCGTACTCCTTGGGTAGGTATTCGGGACGAACTATTTGGAATATGGCCTCCGGATCAGAGCTAACAGAAATCTGCAAGTAATTTTGGGAGCAGTCAATCCAAGCAATGGGTAGTGGTGACTGCTACGCCTTACCCTTGACTTGATCTTTGAGGGAAAGAAGGATCGCAGTGAGTTGAAGCCCGTTTCAAAGGCCGAGGGCACGTTGATAAAGTGAATGCCCTTCTGGCGCGTCGGCATGGCTTCATCCGCATAGGTCGAGAATTTGCTGAGCAACTGCGGCTGGAGGGCAAACAGATGGGATCCCGTGACGCCGGTCATGTCCATGATCTCCACGTAGCCACTAATCGTGGCGTTCTCGTCCTCGAACATCATAATCTCCCCGAACATGGAGCCCAGCCGTATGATGTCCTGGAACTTGTACTTGCTGGTGTCATAGGAGCCGGCCCGTATGATGGTCACGCATGGCCCTGGATCGTCCGCATCCAGCGGCAGTCGCAGCAGCACCCTGCAACAAATCTCTCAGACCAGTGCCACCAGGTTCTTCACACGATACTGAAACTCACCCCATTCTCAGGATGTCGAGCACCAGAGGATCTGTGGCCAGGCGCCGCTCATTGAACACCTCGGGTATGGAGGACTGCAGCGTGTAGAAGCGATCGAATTTCTCCTTGGCTCGCTGCAGGCTGAATTTCGTGCCGCGCAGAAAGGCCAAGAGGAAGCGATCGTCGGTGCAGGCACGCAAATGCGGTTGCTTCAGCACCCACTCCCTGAGCGCCTCAATGTCGTCCGGCACCCGCTGCGGCACTTCATTCAGCTCCTCGATGGCAATCGCCTGCAATGCTGGTTTCAGGGGTCGCAGCGCACTCATCGATCGCTGGTAGAGTGCCAATCTATATATAAGAGTATAAAATGTGGTCTAGAATTCGCCTCGATGGTCCCCCGTATATATTACGGCTGCTAATGAAAACGCTGTAAGGTGGAAAAATCGTTAATTTTCCCTCCGCTATACATTTCCTGTCGTCCACATACTCCCACGCACACGTGCGAAAACTGCTGTGGTTTCCTGTTGTTCCAACTGTGAGCGGAAAATGCAATATGTTTACCGATTGAAAATACCTCATCGACTGCCAAACAAAGCTGATATAACATGCAGATGGATGGATGGATGGATGGATGGATGGGGGAATCAACGAACTTCATCGAGTTTTGCTTTGGCTTTTTCTTTTGCTTTTCTTTCGGCCCGGCCCGGCCGCTGATCATAAGCCGATTAAACAATTGCACGAAGACATTTTATTCAGAAGCGGCGCTAAGGTGGAAATGCGACTGAGGGTGGGAAATGGGGGGGGTGGAACCCGCCGGCGCTTGTTTTTCATTATTATTTTTGTGCTTTTTTTTCGTTGTACGTTATGGGTGGCTTTTGCGATTGATTGTCTTAATTGGCTTTGGATTTATTTTTTGAGTGCATGCGGCTGCGGTTCGGTTGAGGTTTTGCGCTGGCTGGCTGTCCCAGATATGAGAGCATTGTAATCCCCATTGATAAAGAAGGTTAATCGAGTGCAATTAATTAAACAAATATGTTCGCATCGTAAAATTGATAACATTCATGGCCTGCCCGCTGGGAAATTTGAGAGCTTGTAATATGAGAATTAAGTGCGAGATGTACAATAGATTTAAAGGCGGGCTCCTCACTATAATTATTCAAATTAAATTAAACTCAAATTAAAATTCAAATTAAATGAGAATTTCCTAACGTCTAATATACTTTTCTAGATATTTTGATGGTATATTTTTAAAGATTCAGTAAGTTTTGAAAAAAACAATCGATACTATCGTGATAGTATCGGGCTAAAAATATTTCATGGTGGCAGCCCGAAACTACGAATTGCACGAGTCTGGCAGCGCCACAATACGACGTCACATTCGTTTTATGTTCTTTTTGTTTGAACCTTAATATGTAAACAATCCAATGAAAAAGAGTTCTGAAAACTAGCCAATTCTCAACAAAATTCATTGAGGAATTGGATAAAACAATTTTTTTAGGGCTGAGAGGGCCAACTAGCTAGTAATATTAAACGGAATAGCAAAATCGAGGAATATCAACGTTGAATGTTTTGAAAAAAACAATCGATACTATCGTGATAGTATCGGGCTCAAATAATTCATAAAAAGTGGGAAGTGGGAATAAAAATAAAAAATATTTTGGGGCCTGAAACTTCAACGCAATTGTCACTGGAACTGGTGCTTTAACATCAAAAAATTCTGCTACAACTGTTCGGCAGGATGACGAGCGTTCAGAACCCGTTCGCAGCACTGCTGCAAGAGGGCAGTGCGACGGCCGATGGCGTGTCACACAAATTAGTCGAGGAGATTCTGCTGTTTACGCTGAATAAGGAAGGCGGCGGCCAGCAGTCTCTGGCCTGCCTGGCTGACGTGGTCGTGGAAACCAGCGAGGAGAGGCTCGGCGAGGATCTGGTGGCCCACGCCCTGTTCGAGCGACTGATGCTGAGCGACACCTCCGACTGCCTGCTGGCTGGTGGCGGTGGCAAAGGCAGTGGCGAGGCGTGGGAGCCGCACGCCATCACTTATCTGCATGGAGCGTTTGTCAGGTGTCAGCGTATGGAGGGCGCCAAGAAGGCGGGCAGTGCCAAGATCCAGGAACTGATTTTGAACAATGCCAGCACCTGCATGCGCCAGCCGGATCTGTTTGCGCCCCAATCCTTTGCCTCTCAGTGGCTGGAGCTGTTCGAGCAGGCGAGTGAGCATGAAACCAGCACCCAGGAGTTTCTGGTCCTTGTGGCCTGCAAGGTGGTCGAGGAGGATGAGCCGATCGAAGCTCTCGGTGCCCTAAAGGCCATATTCTATCCATTGCTGACGGAGCTGCAGAAGCGCATTGCCAAGGAGAACTTGATAACGATAAAGAAGAATATCTTCTGGGTTCTGGGCTTCTTTGTGAAGGACAAACGGGCAGCTGTGCTGGGGGAGATCCTGATTGACTACACCACACCCAATCCCAAGGCAAAGGGTTTGTTTTAATTCGCTTTCTTGGTTTTTTTTGTAATACCTTAACGCTCTCTGTTCTGCTGCAGGCGGCGAGTACATGGACACACTTCTGGGCCACCTGCTGTGCATATCGATCCTGCCCAAGACCCAGACCGGCAAATACGAGTTCTTCCAGCAGTTGTCGTTGAATCAAACGGACCCTGCCCTCTGGGGCCTGCTGTCGCATCATCAGCAATCGACTTTTCAGCTCGTCAAGCAGCTGCTCGTCCTGTCGCCCGAAACCAAGAGGAAGACCCTGCAGTGGATCGCCAACTGCCTGGATGCGAATGTGTCGCGTGGCCATCTCTGGAGCAGCATGAACTTGAACCTCGAGCAGACGATGTACAGCACAGCCAGCGATGCTTTTATGACCAGCCTCTGTGCGGTTCTCACGCGTCTTTGCTCGCCCCTCTGTGTGCCCTCGCTGAAGGTAAAGGCGTTTGCTTTCACCTCTAAAGGTTGCCCTTCCCTGACTAATGCATCGCTTGCAGGTGCTGCTGGTGGATCCCACGTACTGTGCTGTGGCCGACAAGGATCGCCAGGCGAAGGGTGTGAGCCTGCTCAAGGCGCACGATGAGACCTGTCTGCTGCCCACCGTCGAGGGCGAGGAGCGACTGACAGCTGAGAAATATAACTTTGTCACCGAGATCTTTTACATGACCCACAAATGCTTCGAGCTGGCGAATCGCCCCTGCATTGAGCGACTCGGTCGCGTGATGCGCGAACTGCAGAACACCCAGACGGCCTACGAGGATGTCCTACGCAGTGACCCGAACAACGATCTGACCAAGAATCTGTTCCGCATGCTGGTGGAACAAATGCAGCAGGTGCTGTCCATCAGGAACACCCTTTCGGAGCCCACAAACGACACCGAAATGCTCAAGTTCTTGGAGGCATCGGCCATTTGGCTTACAGAGGTGGCCCTGATGCCGCGCGAGAGCTACGAGCAGGCGCTGGACAAGCGCGACTTTGCCCCGCAGATCCATCGGAATCTGGAACTGCTCTCGGACACGCCACCCTTCGTGGCACCCTACATGCAGTCGGTGCCGGAGAGCATCATTGACAATATTTCGGCCTACTTGAATTTCTGCCGCCGCTTGAATGGCGATCAGTTCATACACATCTATTACTCGGCCCACGACGCCTTCTTCAAGATGATACTGCTGTTCATGGGCAGCTCCGGCCTGGTCAAGAATCCCCATTTGCGGGCGAAGCTGGCGGAGGCCCTGGAGTTTCTGCTGCCCACGCAAATCGTCAACAGCAATCGGCAGACGTTCGTGACGCATGTCTTTGACAACCATCCGGATCGCTTGAAGGTGGTGCGCAGTCTGCTGAATGTCTTTGTCAGCATCGAGATGACCGGCCAGTCGGTGCAGTTCGAGCAAAAGTTCAACTATCGCCGACCCATGTATGCCATCATGGAGTTCCTCTGGACGAAGCCGGAGCATGTGCAATGCTTTCGGGAGCTGGCCATCGAGGCGGAGGAGAATATGGAGGCGATTGAGCCTCCCATATTCTTGCGCTTCATCAATCTGCTGATCAACGATGCCATCTTTCTGCTGGACGAGTCGCTGTCCAATCTGGAGCAGATCAAGCAGCTGCAGCAGGCGCAGGACAATGGCGAGTGGAACAGTCTCTCGCAAAATGAACGCCAGCAGCAGGTCACCAATCTGCATCACCTGGGCATGCTGGCACGATTCGACAACATACTGGGACGGGACACCATCAATCTGCTGAAGCTCCTCACCACGGAGATCAAGAGCATATTCTGCCACAACAGCATGGTGGATCGCATTGCGGCCATGCTGAACTACTTTCTGTTGCATTTGGTGGGGCCGCGCAAGGAGCGCTTCAAGGTCAAGGACAAGAAGGAGTTTGACTTTGATCCGGCACAGACGGTGCTGGAAATCTCGCACATCTACATCAATCTGAGCACCGACGACAGCTTCTGTCTGGCCGTCTCCCAGGACGGTCGCTCCTACAGCGACCAGCTCTTTGGCTTCGCCGAGAACATTCTCATACGCATCGGCGGCGGCCAGCTGATCGGCGACGTGTCCGAGTTTGCGGCCAAGGTCAAGAAAATGGGGGACGCGTACAAGGAGGAGCAAGAGCTGCTGGCCGATGCCCCCGAAGAGTATCTGGATCCGATTATATCCAGCCTGATGACAGATCCCGTCATTCTGCCCAGCTCAAAGGTCACCGTCGATCGTTCCACCATCGCGCGCCACCTGCTCAGCGATCAGACGGACCCGTTCAATCGTGAGCCCCTTACCATGGACAAAGTGAAGTCCAATGTGGCCCTCAAGCAGGAGATTGACCAATGGATCGAGGGCAAGCGCAGTGCGGCACGCTGCAAGAGCTGAACGCAATATTCCAACTAGATAAAAGTGCAGGCACAACCAAAGAGTGTGCTCGCTCCAAGGGGACAAGGGGACAGGACAGGACAGGATCGGGCTATAGTCAATGTTAAATATTTCCCATAAGATACGATTATGTAATTCCATTATTCGCACACATTCTCGTCGTGTGTGTGTGTCGTGTGTCTGTGTGTATGTTAATCTGTGTACAGTTTAGTGGTTCTTGAAATTTTAATTATTATTCGCTTTTCTCTCACTTCTTTTCGGTTGCATAAATGTTTCTATAATCCCAAGAACTCTAATACCGTCTCTGTGTCTGTCTCTACTTTCTCTGCTGGAAGCTCTGAAAATGCCGACGACCGATTATGTGCCACACTGTCTCCTGGTAGCTGTGCGGCAGTACCTCCTTCACCTTGTGATCGCTGCGATACGTGAGATGGAAGGCATTCGTCTGCATCTCCGTGAAGCTGTTGGCATCGAGCACCTTGGCCACGGCCATCAGTTGCATATAGTTGTCGGAGGTGTACACGACATAGGCCTCCAGCTTGAGTATGCAACTGATGTGAACGGGCTGGAAGAAGGCCACGTCCGAGAGGTACTGCAGCATGGGTCTTCGGCCGGCATAGAAGCTGGCTGTTATGTAGCAAATCTCGATGGCATTCCGCATAATGTAGCCGCCGTAGATGGTGTTGTGGTTGTTGCGATTCTCCGGAAAGGCCAGCAACACTTTGGACCGCTGTGTGCTCGAGATCCAGCGAGAGTCTAGCTTCACCACACTCCCCGTTTCCGACAGAATATTCGTGCCCCTGGTGCGCATGAACAGCTCGTACATGAGCTGCTGTTCCTCTTTGTTGAGCGGCGTTTGATCCAGACAGGGGGAGGACGTGGATTTCTTTTTTTGACGCTCCTTGGCTCCCGCCCAGTAGAGCTTCTCCTGCTCGATGGTCGGCTTCAGTGGGTTGACGGGAGCAGGGGCGGTATTGGTGGCATTACGGGCAACCATCAGGAAGATGGCCTTGGCTATGGACTGCTCTTGTTGTCGCGCATAGATGCAGATCTCCATGGAACTGGTGCCCGTCCAGGAAACGTGGCCCGACAGCTCCAGATCTATGTCCGCCTTGGCCTGGGCGAGCAGCTCCACGCTGTCCACCAGCAGAGTCACAAAGGTATACGGCAGCGGGGTGTTCCTTGGCAGCGTTGGCAGCTTGACATGACAGTGGCATATCCAAACTGCACTCGACCGCAAAATTAGCTAAAATATTGGATTCAAAATGGGATTTTGGGATTTACTTACTGGCCAGTGTGTCCATCTCTTCGATTAGGCGCCCCGCACGCACCATTCCCACATGGTTGACATGGCGCTCGCGCACTCTCTCATCAGAGCCCAGCGGCAGGATCGCCTTTCTGTACGAGTCCTTCATGCTGCGCTCGGGCAAATCCTCCAGCTTTGGATGGTACTTGAGCAAGCCAGCGCGGCACTTGGGTATCGTGTGGTACCCAATTTCCACGCCAACCTGCTTCTTGATCTTCTCGGAGACTGTAAACAGACAGATGTTGAAATTATGCTGCTAGCTTTGGCCATCGGTGCTTACTTTCAGCCATGGTTCCCGAGGAGTGGTCACCCGAGTCCAGATGCAGCTGCCGCAGTCGCCACGGCCCTCGAGAGCGCATGGCGCCAATTGACTTTGCGTAACGAGAGAGGAAATTCATGTTAGATCTATCTCGAGTTTAGTTTCAATGCCGATATGATTTGAAACTGCCGTTTTTCAAATCGAAGCTTTATTATCCCGCCATTCTCAAGCGATGGTACCGATGATTGTGCCATATATCGATGTCACACAAACAGCTGCGCAGAAGCTCTGTCATTTTTAAACACACTGCGCCCGGTCACACTGAAAGTAGCATACGGTTGTTTTTTACGTAGAAAGTGCAAAAAATTTAAATGTGTTATTGTTTGAGAACAAATTGGCAATAAATACCACAGAATAGCGACAGATATTCCAGCTGCGGCCTGGCCTAAGTGTGGCCTGTAGCCAGCCCCTGCTCCAAGTCCCTTTCCCCCTCGCACGGTCGGTTGTGTTGTGTTGTGCGCGAAATCAATTACAGCCGCGGGGCCAACGTCGTAACGTGAAAATCGATTTCGGTTTTCTCGGCGCTGTGCAAGCAGCTGCGCCTCAAAATGTCCGAGTGCAATGATGTTACAGAAATAGAAATGGCATCGCTAGCCGCTGGGAGTGAAACTGCGATCCGTGGTCGTCATCCCATTCACACATCATCCCGGCTACAGGATCGCTGGAGGAATATGTTCCTGCTGGTTGCCGTGGTGGCAACAATATGCGCCCTAATAACCGGCTGCAGTGCCACGGACACGGACATTGCGCTGGACGCCAAGGCTACGCTGAACCATCGCATCCAAAGTCTCGATCTGTTGGTGTTTGTGTTCCTATTGGCGCTGACAGTCCTTACCATTTGGCTGTTTAAACATCATCGCGTCTCCTGGCTGCACGAGACCGGCCTAGCCGTCATCTACGGTGAGTCAGTGGGGTGGAGGAGGGGTGGAGGCGGGAACGGGAACGGGCTCCTTCCAGAACTATTTTGAATGTGTGTCACCCGTTTGTCTGTATCGTATCCCCACTCACACCCATATGCAGCGACGGAGCTTTCATTGCCACCTCTTTGTGTCGCTTGTCGTTCGTAATTACGCTTTTGTGTGCACCGTAGTCGTGCCATTACGTGCATATGGCAGGGCAGGCAACCAGGCGGCATTAATTAAAGGGGCCCCAAAGTAAAATCCCCAGTTAAACCAAACTAACGTACGTACGTATGTCTACAGACAACAGACAGCAATACGTTTGTTGGATAGAACGAAAACAAAGCAATGAAAACAGAATTTCTTATTTATTTATTTATTTAGAGACGCGCACGTGACCTTGGCGTGTTTAGTCATGCATTATCATTGGATTGGGGTTTTCCGCAGAATAAATTTCATTTCTCATAGCGCTGGCACACCATCGCATCGATGGAATGGGGGCCAAAGAGCTTTCTCAATTCTCTGAACATCTATTTGTATTTAAACAAGATTTCTTTGAACTAATTGAAGCTAATGAAACAATTCAATAAAACGGGTTGGAGCAACAATGACAAAACCCCAGAGACACGTACTACGACGAGTATTATTTTCATGAAATTTGATTATTAAGTGTGAGTTATATGCCCGCCCCGACAGACCCCGGGAGCGGTCGGTCCCTATCTAAATTGACAACGTTTTTTCCTCTCCCATATAAAAAAATAAAAACAAGTGTAGAACACAGATTTCGTGTGCAAATTATTTAAAAAAAAAAAACCAGTCATCATTATAATGATAAGAGGTTGTGCCGCGCCTAAGCACTTGTTGAGCGTGGGTTCTGCGCTGATAAGGAGGCGCTGCTGTTTATGGCATGCTGGCACCCATAGGGTTCTTATCAGCCATTCGTCTAATTAGTCACTTTCGCTTTTGTGATAGGTCAGGCAGCATATACATGCATACAGCAGACGGCAAATAAATCTTTACTCAAACCCCATTTTATCTGAATTTTAGGCCTGATTGTGGGTGCCATTATACGCTATGCGGGCAACTCCACGCCCCTGGTCCACATACAGGTCGAGCCACAGGGCACACCAGCGTACAGCGATAAACTTCCACCCGATACGCTCTGGTTTAAGGTAAGTTCTTCATTGTCCTTGCGCTACGCTGATAAAATTGTCGTGTTTCTATCCATTTCAGTATCCTGTTAATCAGACGAACAGCACCAAGCCGCCGGAGGGCATTAAGACGTATGCGTATGTGTTCCGTGGGCAGGTCCACGATGTGGATGAGAATGAAATCGACTTGAAGGCCACCTTCGATCCGGAGGTGTTCTTCAACATTATCCTACCGCCCATTATATTCTATGCGGGCTACAGCTTGAAGAAGGTCGTTACTATTTTTAGATTAGATTCAATGTTATTTTATGCGACACTCAAACGTGTGTGCTTTGTCCTTGCAGAAATATTTCTTTCGCAATTTGGGCGCCATACTGACATTTGCCATTGTGGGCACCACTTTGTCGTCCTTTCTGATTGGCGGCCTCATGTACGGCTGTGTGAAACTGATGCCAAAGTACTTGAGTAGCAGTTTCACATTCCTGGACACGCTATATTTTGGAGCCCTCATCTCGCCCACAGATCCGCTCACCATACTAGCCATATTCAACGATCTACGGGTCGATGTTAATCTCTATGCGCTGGTGCTGGGCGAATCTGTGTTGAACGATGCGGTGGCCATAGTGCTTAGCGGGTAAAACAATCAACTGAAAACCGATTTAAATAGTTAATTAACATTTATGGTATTCCCTTTGCAGAGCCATTCAGAACTATGGCGAGCATTACTCCAATACGGGGGAGTTTGAGACCACAGCCTTTCTACGCGCAATGAGCGATTTCTTTTCGATATTCTTCCTGTCGCTGCTGATTGGCGCCGCCATGGGCTGCTTACGGCTTTGATATCCTTTTGAAACAATAATTTAGATTTATTATTATTTATTATTAGCATTTATTAGCGGTTTGTTTCTTTAACTCCTGCCACACTTGACCAAGTTCACGCGCGTACGTGACTTTCCACTGCTGGAGTCTGCGCTCTTTGTGCTGATGAGCTACAGCACCTTTTTGCTGGCCGAGGCCACCGAGCTGACGGGCGTGGTGGCCGTACTGTTCTGCGGCATTTGTCAGGCGCACTACACGTACAACAACCTGTCCGAGGATTCACGGCAGCGCACCAAACAGATCTTCGAGCTGCTCAACTTTCTGGCAGAGAACTTCATCTTCTCCTACATTGGCGTGTCGATGTTCACGTTCCCCAAGCATCACTTTGATGCTGGATTCATCATCACCGCTTTCGTGAGTCTATTGAATTATCCTGTGACATCTTTTTGTAATGGAAAATTCTTTTGATTTATGCAGATCTGTGCCGCCTTGGGACGGGCCGTCAACGTGTATCCCCTGTCCTGGGTGCTCAACATCAAGCGAAAGCCAAAAATCTCATCGAACTTCCAGCATTTGCTGTTCTTTGCGGGTAAGCTTGTGGTTGTTCCCGGCAAGGTCTAAGCCAAATTAATGTCTCCTTGTCGACATAGGGCTACGTGGCGCCATGTCCTTTGCTTTGGCCATACGGAATACGGTTTCGGATGCACGACAGACCATGTTGACAGCCACATCGTTGATTGTCATCTTTACGGTCATCATACAGGGCGGTGCAGCCAATTTTCTGCTCAATTGGTTTAAAATACCGTGAGTACTGCCCCTTAAAGCAAATAAATAAATTTGAGCATTAATTTAAATTTGATTCTCTCCCTTTCTGGATTGGTAGGGTTGGCGTTGATGATGAGACTGAACAATTAAATAATTACCAGGTGCACAGTGTGAGTATTAAGGGATAGCATTTGTTTGGTTTAAGCTTATTGTAATTTAAACAAAAAAACCAACTTTCAAGACAACAATTTCCTTATGCAGATCTTCCCTATAAATCTACTGAATCAAACTGATCTTTACTCAAAAATCTTCAGAGTAAACTCTTCTAATAACGTTGCAATCCATAAATTAATTGAATTATAATCATTCCACATTGGGAAATACAATTAGCAGGCCAAACATTGGTTTTATTTACCATTTCTAGACTAGTTAAGCTTCTAAAGAATTGTTTTTAACTCATAATTTTTGTTGTTTGTACATTTCTGCGCAATTATCACAACATTTAACCATCCGTTGAATAAAAGGTATACAATTCCATGGACAATTCACATCCGCAGACGGTACGTTTGGAATAACTCACATTCAATACACTTTCGTTTGCTTCAGTTCTCTTCCGTTCTTTATATTTATTTGCCATTGTAGCTGCCATTTATTATTCAATCCCTTGATTGCTGGCAGGTCCCTGTGTCCCTGTGTATTTTTTTTTTGTTGGCTTGATTTTGTTGTTTGGTATCTCCTCGTCAGTGTTGATGTTTCTTTATGCTTTACCGAACGCAGTGCTAATCCCATTTGATCGCCAGTCTGATGGTTATTTGCAGGACGTGGAGAGCGGCGGTGGTGCGGGCGGCGGCGCAGGTCGTGGCAAGATGCGTTTGTCGGGAGGCGGCACAGAGTCCAATGTGGACACGCCCGTGGACGGGCCGAACGGAAGTCTGGGCAGCACAGGTGGCGCACGTCGTCGCAACAGTCATGAGAAGGCCATACTGGCCAGGATCTGGGGCAGCTTCGACACCAAGTGAGTGCTATTTATGGCAAGCGAAGTGATTTCATATCTAAATGAATAACAATTTAGGTTCATGAAGCCCCTGCTGACGCATTCGCGGCCCACGCTGCTGGAGACGCTGCCCGTTTGCTGTAATCCCATTGCCAGGCTGCTCACCACCACACAGCAGCTAACACAGGTGAGATAGATGATAGATAGACAGATAGATGTAAGAGAATATACCATAATGAATGTACTATATTTTGCAGGATGGCAGCGAGTTCAGGCGCGTGGATTCCGACTCGGATATCTGCATAGACAACGATACTGGGAATGGTCTCAGCCAGGATGGCCTGGCCGGAGCTGCAGCTGGTGCCCCGTTGGGGCGGCGCAACTCATTAAGTCGCGTAAGTATCCATTACACGGGCGATACTCACAATCTACTGGCTAGCTACCGCAATATTGAATGAGTGAATGTGTATGAGAAGCACCCCACAACCAAAGACTAACCATAGAGAAAACCACTAACCCAGAAGCCAAATGCCAATCAAAGTCCAAACCAGAAAAAAAAGGAAAGAAACCTCAAACCAAAAAGAATCTGACAGCAGATCATTCAAATGTGATTTAAGTTTGTTTATGTTGAACACTTTCTTACGTTGGAATATAATTTGTTGATTTTGTGGTGCAAGGCAAGAAGGCGGCAAGCAGAGCAGGGAAGGGGAATACTTCCCATACTACTGTACTATGTATTGTTGATTATTTGATCTAGTCTTAAATTGTACGTTGTATATATTGATTTTTGACTGTTAACTACTGTTTAATGCATGCTAACCAAAAATATACTTAACTTGAACAAACAAACAAACAAACAAAAAATGTAACAACAACTCTTCACAGCGATGAATATTAATTTACTTATTTCTCATTTCTGCGGCATACTTCTTTCTTTCTTTCTTTCTGTCTTTCCTTCGAACCAAAACCAAAACCATCATCTAACCAACTCATGTGGACTCTCCTCGTTTATCAAACAATATACAATATTTCACTTTGGTTTGCTCTAACAATCTACCATCTATCAATCAATCAATCATCTACAATCTACTATCTACAATCACAACATCTCTCTACTGCCCAAAAAATTAAACTGAAACTGAAAACTGAAAACTAACACCAAACTTGATCACGAAACTTATAAATGCTTGCAATTAAAAGTCAATCCAAATGAATGAATCCAATCGCATTGCAAACGAACTCACTCTGGTCACGAATAATTTCATGTAAACATTTTCCAAATTACCAAATCGGAGAACTCGTAACAAACAACTTTTCTGCATATAATTTACTTACTATTTACGCTGTTCTTTGTCTGTTTTTGTTTTGTTTTACCACTACGATAAATCAGAATATTAGCCAGTCTGTCTGTCTGTCTGTCTGTCCAGGATAAATCTATCTATCTATAACCGTTAAATAGTGGCTTCTTATGGCTCACAGCAAATTGAGCAAATTGTCGTTGGTATTCGTACACTTTTAATTTCTGTATTCATTTCTCGTAATCTAATTTCTTAGATTCTAACACGCGACTAACCATGTAAGTACAAATTTTTGCAATTTAAATTTGTTTCCTTTCCTCATTTAATTATCGTATAAAAAAGATATACTCTATCCCCATTCACTGCTTTGATGTCCGCTTATTTATAGGATTTCATTTCCACACACACAAAAACAAATAGAATAATAATTATGATTTTACGTACATTTTCGTTTTTGATTATTATTTTCTACAGGCCACAGGCGATGATCATCGAAATATTTATATATAAGTTGGATCATTTAATCCGTTTTGTCTTTTCGTTTGTTATTTATTGTAATCGGGTCTCATTTGAAATGGAAAAGATGGAAAAATGTACAAATTAGTTAATTACTTTTCGTTTTTATGCTCTTTTACGAAAATGTTGTGATTCGGAACCCTAGTTCTAAACGTGAATAAAACACACACACCAAGTTTGTTAATTTATCGAGAGATTTTTGTGAGGGTACCAGACCGTCTCTGATTTTCTATTATTTTAATAAATATATTACTTAGTTTTGCCATACTATATCTGTATACGAATAAAAAGTAAGCACTTGGATAGTAACTCTTTATATAAATACTCATGGACATATTTCTTCTCTTTTTATTTACTTGAAAATTTACGCTGCAAAATTTAATTTAAATCTGTGCAAACACTTAATAATACTCAACTTCGAATAAATATGTATCTAGATGGAGATTCTGGAGCACGTTCAAAGTCCGGTGTCAACGAGAGTCCGACTTTTAGGATTTTATGGGAAAAAGTTATAAAAAAAAATAGAACAAGCAGTCGTGTTTGATTTTTGAAATGCGAGTCTTTTTACACAAAATAAAATTATAGGAAATGCTTTCTCGAATTCGCGAACAATAACTAGTCTGTGTATATATTTTCGACAACTGATATTTGTGTATTCAGTTTCAATTTCCAACTTAAATGCTGATCGAGTTGCTGATCTATTCCAATTGACGTATTTTGTTCATAATGTTCTACGAAATAAATTCGTTTTATTATATATACTGTATTTAAATAAAAGCGAAGCTCTCTGAATATATTAATTGTTGTGCTGTTAATTTTTAAGTCGAAAATCAATAAAAAAAAAAAAGATACACAAAAAACCATTTTTTTTTATCTGGACGTTTATATGCAACGGCTGCGCCATCAAGTGGCCCATGAGACCGTTCCGTTTCCGACCGATGGGCGCTGCCGCATTACGCTCGGCACGTGTAACCGAACCGAACCGATCGTACGAATATTATGGAACTTAAAAATTTGTTACGCATTTCAGGTGAAAGATATAATATTGGTTTTAAAAGTAAAGAAAAACGATCCGATGGATCTACAAGGAGCATTTACAAACAACGATACTATCGTGATAGTATCGGGCTCAAATAAATATTAAAAAACCATTGAAACCTTTTAGGAACTTGTCCATTGTAAAAATTAGATGCCACCTGTCGATTTGCAGCCAATCCAAACATATCAAAACCGCAACGACTGTAGCTTGATACTATCATGATAGTCTCAAAACCATCGATATTAGAGGCTAGCAGTAAAATATACTATCGATAGTGCCCCCGAGGGTTTGACACCTCTATTGTAAACAAATTGAAAATGGAACTGGTAAAGCGCGCATTTCTGCGTGCAAGCAAAAACCACAGCACCCTCAGCTATGAGTTGATTGACCAGATATTATCACCGCTCTGCGAGCTCCATAAAGTTGACAAGCCGTCCAACAAGGAGGCACTAAAAGCCTTTGTCGGCGAAATCGACGCTAGTATTCGTGTTTTTGATCAGACGCTGGTCTTTATAAAGCATGCACTGAAGAACGAGGAGTATTTGGTGTACGCCAAGACAGATGCCACGCCGGACACCATAGCCAACACGGGTCTCGTCGCAGAGGAATGCCAATACTTTGCCAAGCTGCTGGACAAAATAGCTGGCGAAGAAAACTGCTGCATGGCCTGGAACGAGGCCTACAGTGACATCGTCGGCCTTGAAAAGCCGCTCAAGAAGATCCGTATGCAGGAGCTGCTCCAAAAGTGGTGCCAAATGGGCTACTTTCTGGAGGTGGAAGACAACATCTACCTGGGGCCACGGACACTTGTGGAACTTAGTTTCTATTTGCGCACCAATCACGCGGAAACCATCGAGACCTGCAAACTGTGCTCTAACCTGGTGCTATGGGAAATCAGGTGTGATTCCTGCAACATCCAGTATCATCGTGACTGCATACGCAAATTCTTGCAGAAACGCTCCAATTGCCCGTCCTGCAACGAACTGTGGAAAACGCCGTTGCGTGCGTCCATAGATGGGCGGCGATCGGTAACACCCCAGCCATAAATAATACAAATAAAACTAATATGAAACGAAAAGCAAATCCGACTACAGTTATTCTTCCGCAGCACTGCACAGACAAGAACCGTTGCACTTTGGCTGAGAGTGTACTCCGCAGTCTAACTGTAGTCCCGCTCTTTGAGAGGGGGCGAGACATAAAAATGGCGCGAGCATAATGCAATATGCAAGGCAGAAAGATTTAAATGTTCGTCGAGATGAGTGTGTGTGATAGTCCGAATAAATGTGCAAAAATGGACAAAAAGTCCGTAACACCATTCATAAAGGTTCGCCGCAAGACCTGGCAGCAGGAGGCCTACAATAAGGTGCAGCAATGTCGGAGAGCAGGCGCCAGATTCTCCCAACTAATGCGCAATTTGGTTTATTTTTAAGCAGAGCTACAAATGTTTAAGCAGCATGAATGAGCAGCAACAGGTCTCGTATTGCGGCGACCGCTTCATACCGAAGCGATTTGAGCGGGAGAATATTGATTTCAATCTGAAGTACGTAGGACGCAGGGAAGAGAGGGACATTCTGGAAACGGTGAGGATAATGTTGTTGGATGTTCTTCAAGGGGCTGACTGTAAACTGACTGATTCGTTGCACGCGTAGGGCATAACCCTAACCTCTAGCTATTGGCGTCAGAGCAGCTTCATTTCGACCATCAACAGCGCTTTTGACATCCAAGAGCGCCGCCTGCTGCAGTTCGGCAATCTGCAGGGATCCCGATCCCAGGTGAGCGGCATGGATAGCATTGATGCCGACTGGCCCTGTTTGCCGCGCAGCAGACCGACCGCCTTTCAGAATGCCACGCACGACATGTCTGGCATTTGCAGCCCCATCGATTATAATATGATGGACTGGGCCACAAACGATCTGGTGGCCATTTCCAGTGGCCAGGACGTAATGATATGGCGCAATCTGGACGAAAGTACCATGATATTCAGTGTGGAGTCACCCACATCGCTGAAATATTCGCCCGATGGCAAATACCTGGCCATCGGCTGCATGGATGGCACCTATCCAGTACTGGACCTATGGGCGGTCACATCTACGATGGAGTTCATTGTGTCGTATAGGAAATACTTCCTCAAGTCCATGGGCTTTATACGCTGCATTGAGTGGTCGCACGACGGCAACGAGTTGCTGTGTGGCACCCACTGTGGCATCATTGTGGTGCTCACCCGCCCCAAAATGACGTCGCATCAAATCCGAGAGCACAGACATCAGATATCCATGATCAAGTTCTCGCCCAATATGCGATACTTTGCATCGAGCGACACAGATGGCACCATCTTCATATTCGATGCGAGGCTGAAGAAGCGCCTCCTGAAATTGGGCTGCAGATCGAAGGCCGTGATCTTCGATTGGCATCCCTGGACGGGCATGGACTTGGCTGTGGGTAAGATCCACGAGTCCAATATCGGGTTAACCTTTAATATCCGGTACATTCGTTGCAGTGGAAAGATGTCCCGCCTCCATTTTCATCTTCAACATACCGCATCGGCAATTTGTGGCCTCGTACAAGCGCAAGGATGACAGGATCAACATCAAGACAGTCACATTCAGCAAGATCACAGGCGAGTTGCTGGTCAACATCATTAGGGGTGGTGGGTAATCTGCGGCTTTATCACGGCTATATATTCCTTATAATTCAAGCAACTCGCGATATCTGCAGATGAAATGGAATGTCTGGTGTGTGAAATTCTGGTTCTTGCCTCGTTGAATCGAGTGGTCGACTTGCTGGCCCATCAGGATCGCGGCACTCTGTTCCTGATGTGGAGTCCGGATGGAACAAACATAGCCACGGGCGGTCTTGATGACACCTTCTCGCTGTGGAACTTCTTTCCCACCCACAAGCGGGAGGCTGTACTGAAGCGGCAGGCCCAAGAGGCCAAGGAAAAGTGCAGTTCCTTGTGTCTGTTTAGAGGGATTCGGTGAAGCTAGATTATGTTAGATCTTAAAATGAATGTGTTAAGGCCACAAAGTGGTGCAACAATTTTGAACGCTAGCAATATTTTATGTGTAGTTTATTTCAGTGTTTAAACATATCTAACTGGCTGCCTGGCTAGCTCTTAGTTTTCATTATTTATTCAATTCATGTTGTTGCTTCCATTAAAATTCCATTAAATACCCTAATGCATTTACTCTACTGAAACAAGGCGAGGTCTCTGTTCCTCAATGATTAATTTACGGAAACTAAAACTTCACTGCTCCCGCGGGTTTATGTAAAAGGATATAGGTTATATATGATGGATGTGGTAAAATTACTGGGGCTCAGTGCTCGGCTCGCTTGCTATCGGTGTTGGCTGCGGATCGGATGGGCCTCCTGCTGAAACAGATAGTCCGCACAGGCTTCCGCTTCGAGGCGTCGTTGCTTGGTTTGGTAGGGTTTCACAATAAACCGATGGGCGGTATAAATGAGGACGGTGGACCCGATGCCGATGGCCATCAGACCCACGGTCGTGGTGGAGAACTTCTTGAGTCCGTTAATGAAACTCATCTGCAAGAAAAGATTACAATTAGTTAAAGATCGACATAGATAAGTCCAGAGTCATTCGAACTTTGTGGGATTTGTGACTGCTGTTGGAGCCTTCGGTTCACTGTCTGCTTTTTTTTCGTCTTTGAATTTCAATATCAGTGGCTGCCAAATGTATATGCCGCCTAGTACCCCAAGAGCTGTTACCACCATTAACTGAGGAATTGTCACACCACGAGGACGACGAATTTGCATTTCACGAGAGTAGAATTTTTATATTAAATGCAATGTTTTCAGCCAGGCCGGTTACATGAGCACAAAACAGCTGACACGCAGCACACGTTTCACAACACTGTCTATACAGCATTGCCAGCTGTACTCAATTAAAATGGCGATAAGTTATTTTCAATTCAAATATTAATTAAATGCCATTAATTGTTAAGTATTTAGTCATGTTGTTCCGCCTAGTTTGGGTATTCTCCACGGATATCAAACACTACTGCTAATGTATTTGGGAAAACAATATGCAAATGGCCGACATCGAATTCTTGGGGCAAAAGAGCAGAAATAAAGAGAAATGGGGAAAAAAAGACCTGGCCCATGTTCAGGAGACTGTGACGTGCGCTGCTGGCGTTTGGGACTCCCAAGAAAAACACAAACACGCGCGTGCAGCCACCGCGACGTCGACAGAAGCGAGCTCTGAAGCTGGTTTTTAAGCTTGACCGCTCAGACTCTTGAGTCAATCCAATTGGAATCGCGGCGCACAACGGTTATCGTTCGTCCGTCATTTCATTCCATTCCCTCGCTCTCGTTCTCTCCTTCTCAATCGCGCTTTTGTGCTCTGTGTGTCGTCGGTCGGTGGTGTAGTCTCTCCCAGTAGCAGCAGCAGCGCGCATCTATTTAACAGTTGGTTTGGTGTGGCCGAGAAAAGGAGAAGAATAGACACAAGAAAATCGTATCGATCGCATCGATTGGAGAACATTAACAACAATAATAATAATGATAAGCAAAAATCTGGCTTTGAGCAGATTGCTGGCAGGTCTTCTGCTGGTATTTGGAGCATCAGCGACGGCGAATGGCAACTCAATACCGACGATAACGACGCCCCAGGGCGTGTTTGAGACGCGGACGGACAAGGTGCCGATCGGACCGGTGGCACTGCCAGCCATGCCCGCGGGCTATGATGACATTGACACCTTTGTGCCATTCAGAAGCGACTCCCACGACCAGTTCTCGTGGCAGCTGCTGAAGACAGTGCTGCAGAACGAGACGCAAGCAAAGAATGTGATCATATCGCCGTTCTCCATCAAGCTGGTCCTGGCCCTGCTCTCGGAGGCAGCCGGCGCCGATACCCAGACGCAGCGAGAGCTGGCCAACACCCAGACGGACATCAGGTCGCAGAACAATGTGCGCGAGTTCTACCGCAAGACACTCAACTCGTTCAAGAAGGAGAACCAGCTGCACGACACACTCAGCGTGCGCACCAAGCTCTTCACCGACAGCTTCATTGAGACGCAGCAGAAGTTCACGGCCACGCTGAAGCACTTCTATGACAGTGACGTCGAGGCCTTGGACTTCAGCAACGCCCAGGCGGCGGCCGACGCCATCAACGGTTGGGCCAGCAACATCACACAGGGGCGGCTCAGCCAGCTGGTTAGCCCGGACAATGTGCGGAGCAGCGTGATGCTGCTCACCAATCTCATCTACTTCAATGGACTGTGGCGTCGGCAGTTTGCCAACACCTACCAGGGCGCCTTCTTCCGCAGCCAGAAGCCGGAGCAGACGCGCGTCGAGTACATGGAGCAGACGGACTTCTTCTACTACCACAACTCCGAGAAGCTGAAGGCGCAAATTCTCCGACTGCCCTACAAGGGAAAGAACTCCATGTTCGTGCTGCTGCCCCACGCACTCGAAGGCATCAACGAGCTGGTCCATACGCTGGAAAACGACGAGCTGAAGGGCGCCCAGTGGGCCATGGAGGAGGTCAAAGTGAAGGTAACGCTGCCCAAGTTCCATTTTGAATACCAGGAAAATTTCAAGGAGATTCTCAAGAGTCTGGGCGTGCGAGAGATCTTCGAGGATAGCGCCTCACTGCCAGGACTGACGCGTGGCGCCGATGTCGCCGGTAAGGTGAAGGTCTCCAATATCCTGCAAAAGGCCGGCATCAATGTTAACGAAAAGGGTACCGAGGCCTATGCAGCCACCGTTGTGGAGATCGAAAACAAATTCGGGGGCAGCACAACCATCGAGGAGTTCAATGTGAATCGTCCCTTTGTGTTCTTCATCGAGGAGGAGTCCACCGGGAATATAATGTTTGCCGGAAAGGTTCACAATCCCCAGGCTTAAGGCAAGCCCCTCGTTGCGGTGTTTAATCTTTAAATAAGCAAATAAACAACTAAGAATCGAAATACATAAATTTGCTCTTGACATGCTTTCACAATCCAATCCCAGTAATCGTGCGTGGCGGCAATTCCCCCAGCACCAGCACCATCGCCATTCCATACCCAACCCATACCCGATCCCCAGAGTCATTCCAATTCCGTTTGGTTCGCTGATAAAGCCAGAGGGGCACTGACGCTAATGTTTTCGTTTCGTTATACGAGTATATGACTCTATTTTGACGGCAGACAGGCATGCCTTCAACAATTGAAAGCAATCATCTGAAAGATAGATGCGAAATGCCTTTGCCTTACGCTTTGGGAATGTCCCATGTACGTAACGTTTAACGATCTCCTCTATTGGTAGATCAATTGGTAAAGTAAATGCTTATGCACAAACACGACTCATGACTCACGGGAACGATAAATTTTACCCAGGGGCTTAAGCTTACGCTTCGACGATAAGTTTGCTCAGCAAATTAAGAACTGTGCACAAATAGGGAAGCTCTTTTTAGATATTTTAAAGGATTTTAAATACATATTTCCATGATAAATCCTAAAGAGATTGGGTTTGATAAATCAATTACAAAATCAAACAAAATGGAATCATTGGAAACATCTTAAGACGCTTTCTTTGCCCTTCCTGCATGACATTTTCCAGCAAAACTTTCACATTATACGTTTAGCCGTCTGTGCATATACACAAGATTGATATAAATATATAAATAAATATAAAACGATACTAAACTTCAGTGATATCCCTGAAACGCGTTGCTCAGGCGGAGAGACACTCTGAATCAACAGAGTCTGGTGCGAGATCCACATGCATTTTGTAATGTGTGTAAGACACTTTATGTGGTGTGTAATGTTTGCAGCGAATCAGCAAAAAAAAACCAGTTTACAAACAATACTACGTGAAAGTGCACTTAATGATTATTTGCTCTGCTTTCGAGGGAACACAAATACTGCCCTGACTCAGACTCAGACTCAGACACGACACAAAGCCCCCCTTTGTGGGCAAATAAAGAGAGGCCACAACATAATGTTGTGTCCCGCACTTAGAACACTTATTTATCTATCACTTACCGACGCCATTCGGCAACGGCATGGCCATAGGCTGTTGGGCTTGCATCTGTGCTTTCTGGTTGTTCTGTTGGCGAATTGGCTGCGACTGCTGTTGCTGTTGCTGCTGCTGATAATATGGATTATTATTGTACTGTGTCGGAAAGTGGGACTGCTGCTGCTGCTGCGTTAGTTCAGCATTTTGGAAATTGGCAGCATCAGAAGCACGTCGAGGAAGCTGTCCGCCTCCCAAGATGGGCATTCCAGTTGGTGCCTGGGGAGTGTTGCCGTTGCCATTGCCATTGCCATTGCCATTGCCATTGACATTGCCAGAGATAAGTGCATGCAGCAATGCATTTGCCGAGGTATCCGGACGATTCTGACGCTGCTGCTGGCCACGAGATTGCTGCTGCTGCTGCTGCTGTGCCGGATTCTTGCCTGCAACGGCAGCAGCACCATTGATCAGCATGGAGGTCTGTTCCTCCATTTTACGCTTCATTACAGCATTTCTCATTATAAGATTGGCATGGGCCTGCAGATCCTCCTGCGACAGCTGCTGCGGCTGCTGTGGGAACTGCTGCTGTTGCTGTTGCTTCTGCTGCTGCTGCTGCTGTTGCTGTCTCGCGGCCAAACTCTGCTGGACAATGGTCAGGTGATGGAGATTTTGCAACTGGCTGGCAATCACCGTGCTCGAGAGCATGTCCAGCTGCTGCTGGTGCTGCTGTTGCTGCTGCTGTGTGTTGGTGAACTGCAGCACAGCCGTAATGGCCTCCCGATCTGTGTTGCAGAGACGCGGATTGGCCAACTGCACCAGCAAGCCATGCTTGGAAATTTCACCTAAAAACAAAAGCGGAACGATAGAAAATGAATTCAGATATGATTCGATTCCTGGCCATTTCTTAGTCCCTACCTTTGGTCAGGCGTAGCAACAGCAATTGGGTATCGGCGCGTCCGAGGATCGCCTTCAGCTGGAGGCCAGCCAGAAAGGCGGTCTGCTGCTGTTGCTGCTGGATGAGCATGTGCTGCTTCTGTTGCTGCTGCTGGTATGCCTGCTGCTGCATAATGAATGTGGAAATGGCATCGGTGGTGACCGGCTGCGGCGGTGGGGCTGCTTTTGATGCACTGAGCGAGCCAATTAGCTTTTGGAAATTATCAACTTGATTATTCTGATGCATGGACTCCCCAGCAGCAGCTGTAGCTGCAGCAACAGCAAGCGTTGGTGGTGAGTGAATTGCGTCGCCACTTGGCCTCCAATTGTTCCACCGATGGCATGTGGCCGGGCAGGGATTTGGGCTGCTCTTTGTGTGGATTCGGATTATGGGTCATGGCCTGCTTGAAGAATTCATTTAGCGACGACGATGAGCCATTTCTCTCACGTTCAAAGAATGACATGAACTTGGAATTGTTGCTGTCGCCAGTCGACGCGCCGGCTGCTGCTGCTGCTGCTGCATTGGCATTCCCTGCTGTGGCTGTGACTGGGGCTGGTGCTGTGTCTGTTGCTGTGCCTGTTGCTGTGGCTGCTGTTGGTTGATGTAATTGTTGTTCTCGTAACTCTGATTGAATTTATCAAACTGGAAAGAACGGCCGCCACCAGAACGCTTCTCCTCCTTGGTTGTCTGTGAATGCTGATGCTGATGCGGATGCTGATCAGCGCTCATCACCTTGTTCATGTTCTCCATGCTGTGATTGTTGTTGGTATCGTGCTTGGGCATGAATTTGTTGCGTGAAATGGCGGCATCCGGATGCGTCCACTTGTACTTGTTTTGATCCATCTGAAAAAATAGTAAATAGAAAGGAAATATTGAGATGGATGCAATTGGTGCATCCTTTACACTTTACCTTATGCTTTTGTCCATCCCTGTCCATCTCGGCATGGTGATGACCCTCCTTGAGCATCCTTTCCTCGTCCTCATCAAAGCCACACAACTCTATGGTGTCCAGCCTGGAGGTTGGGCCACAGCTGAACCATTCCGGCTCCTCGTTTTGGTTCCTGTAGCGGCGATGGTGACGCTCCTCCGTTTCGCGGGACTTGGGCTTGGACACAACCAGGAAACCGGACATCACCCGCTTCACATAGTTCTCATTGGCCCGACTCAGATCCTCGCTGGACTCGTTGGACATCATGGTCTCGTTATCCGAGCGATTGTTGGACATACCCATTACCGGGGTATTGGGTCGACCATTTGGCTGGCCCATCTTGGAGCTGCTTATTTCGCCGTTGTCGAAGAACTGCAACACCGTCATGTTGCCGCCGTTCTGATGCTTCAAGTTTCCCTCATCCAGATGGGGTTTCGTTTTATTGTACGGATGGTAGTCGGCACTGCTGTAGGGCCACTTTGTGGAATGGTTGAAACGGCCGCTGCCAATTCGTCTTTGATTGACAATGGCGGGATCCTGGCAGGAAAACCAAAAGGCAAATTTAATACGAAATATTTTCAAATTCAAATTTAAAATTCGATAAGCTTTCAGTGGAGGCAAAAATAAACAGTAATCGCCTGAGGCTCATCCCTAATTGCGCGCAAATATGCTCACGCACACTTGCACAAAAGTACAACTATTTCGTATCAGCACGGCCAGCTGTGAGCGGGGCGATGTGTGGGAGAGATAAAGCTAATAAAAACAGTTCCACCAACTGAGAGTGGGAGAGAGCAAAGAGGAGAGCGGAATAATAATGCGAAAAGGGAAAAGTGCGCTTCGCGAATCAAAAAAAAAACTCAACTTTGCCTGCTCCAAGCATGAACAAACCGCCACAGCCAGCGTAATCGTAACTCGGTCAGTTATTTGACATTGCGCGGTCTCGTAGGTAGACCACCTCAAATGCGGACCAGAGCAGAGCAGAACAGAACGGAATAGCGCAGAAGTAACTGTAAACAGTTTTCATAATCTGATTTGAGGCCGATACGAGTGCGACAGGTTCGACACGATGCAGTTTGTTGTCACTGGTAGGTACCAAAAACCACGTGCGAAAGGGACACTGAATGTTCTGTTCTGTTCTGTCATAGCCCAAGTCATAGTCCCGTTTCTTTTTGTTTCGCAGAACATCAGCATAGGCGCCTGAACCCCCTTACCGGCACATGGGTACTCGTGTGCCCCCATCGCACGCAACGTCCCTGGTCGGGACAGCAGGAGAAGGCGCAGCGGAACGAGCTTCCCGAATTTGATCCCACCAATCCCCTGTGTCCAGGCGTTACGCGACCCAACGGAATTGTAAATATCCTCTAAATCCTACTCAATAATGGTCTGTGTCTGACATGGCTGTGTACCCCTCTTCTAGCAAACGCCTGTCTACGAGAGCACCTACGTCTTTGAGAATGACTTTCCGGCCTTGGTGGAGCAGGTGCCGCCTCCACCCAGCAGCGATGATCCCCTGTTCCAGATAGCTCAAGCTCGGGGCAATTGTCGCGTAATGTGCTTCCATCCCAAGTCAAATCTCACCTTGCCCACGATGACTGCCGCGGAAATTGTCGTTGTTATCAACGAGTGAGTTATACCGGCGTTATACGGAGATAACACAATCCTAAATGCTAATTCCATTCCATAATTTTCCCCCCCCATCAGATGGATCAATCAATTCAACGAGCTGAGCTCCAAGTACGCCTGGGTGCAGATATTCGAGAACAAGGGGGCTGCCATGGGCTGCTCGAATCCCCATCCGCATTGCCAGATCTGGTCGTGCTCGTTTCTGCCCACAGAACCGCAGCTGAAGCAGGACCGACTGCGCGCCTACTATGCCACCAACGACAGACCCCTGTTGGCCGACTATGTGGAGCGAGAGCTGCAGCGGAAAGAGCGCATTGTCATCGAGAATCCAGACTGGCTGGTGGTGGTGCCCTTCTGGGCCACCTGGCCCTTTGAGACGATGCTCATCTCACGCAACAACAACAAGCGCATCAATGATCTGACCCTGAACCAACGCTACAATCTGGCCGTGACCATCAAGGAGCTGACGACCAAATACGACAATCTTTTCCAATGCTCGTTTCCCTATTCCATGGGCTGGCATGGTGCACCGACCGGACCCGAGCATGCCCACGCCTCGAGCGCCCACTGGACGCTACATGCCATCTACTATCCCCCGTTGCTGCGCTCGGCAACGGTACGGAAGTTCATGGTTGGGTTTGAGCTGCTGGCGATGGCTCAACGGGATCTCACACCCGAGCAGGCGGCCCAAAGGCTACGAGAAGTGAATGGAACGCGTCACTATCTGGAAAAATGATTGGCCACAGGCCCTTGTGCACTGCAGTCGGTAGTTAGAACCATTATATATCCAAATGTATTGTGCAACCAGCAAGGGAACAAAATCTCATAAAAGTAAATACATATTACAAAAAAAAAGTTACGATTGAAAATAAAAATGTTCTAGAAGAACGAAGAAAATAGAGAGAGAGCGATTGAACATGATAACAACGACCCCTGGAGGTCAGCGGCAATAGTAATCGTTATTAGATCAGATAAGCTGCGAATGAGTGTGAGTATGTGATTGAGGACTTTGTTATGTGCCTACATATAATATATTTTGAGCAAAGCTCTTAAAGCACTCCACTCATTCTGTCCAGATGTTTGTGAGGCAGAGAAGAGTCGGATTTCCGAGCCTATAAAGTACAACCGGGTCTATTTGCACACGCATCGTTTGGTTGCCGATTTATAGCTCCCCAAGCAACGAGCAATCTGCTAGATAGCCTTTGCTATCATGCTATTTATATGTACTATACTCTAATCTAATTGTAGAAGGGCGCTTTCACTCACCTGGAATTCCGTTTGCGGTTGCGGCGGCTGGCTTTGGATGATCGACTCGTCACTGATTAGCTGCGGCTTGTTCTTGTTCTTATAGAAGGCGGGCATGCACTCATTATTGTTGTTGTGGTTGTTATTGGTATGGTGAACGGATGTGGGATTCGAGCGAGACCTGAAGCGAGTGGAATCGGTGGCGGTGCGCCATAGGTTCATGCGCCGCAAGCGCGCCTCCAGCTCAATGTCGTCGCAGGTGGCAATACGGGGCATGACAAAGCTCTCCTTGGAACGATGCATGAGGGCATTCAACATTTCGCCGCGTATGTCCAGGAGGCTGGAACGCGTGTAGTGGGTTCGATGTAGCACCGGCGAGCGGCGAGCTGCTGCTTTTTGAGCCTTCATGTTTCCTGGTTTGCTGGCCACTAAGGCTGGAGTACGCTTGTGCTGCGCTGCAGGACGCTGCTCCAGCGAATGAGCTGCTTCCTTGTGGTGTTTCTTTGGCGAGTCATGGTCCAGGTCGCAGCTGACAGCCGTACACGACAGCATGCTCGTGGGCTGGGTATATGGTGTGGAAGCTCTAGCCGAGAGCACCTGCAATGTCAACCCCTCATCCTCGTGGTGTGGCTTGACAGCGGCATACAGCGGTATGGCCTCTCGGGAAATGGCCACTTGGGTCATGTTCTGCTTGGCAAGCAGACGATGCACCTTTATAATCCTCTCCAGCTGCGCAAAGATGGCCGGCTTCTTGTTCTGCGGATGCAGCATCACAGCCATGCATGGAGCCACGCATGAAGCGGCAGCTCTGGCATCCAGCATGTCCCAAGAGCATCTTGGCAACATTTCAATTGCCTCCCATTTAACTTGATCTATCTGGTGAGATGGCTACACAACAAAAATGAAGGATAAACAAATGTTATGAGTAAAATGAACAGAGAATAGGAGCCCCCAATCATGGTGGAGCTGTGTGTGTGTGTGTGCGCCGTGACAGGAATTCTATAAACAGTTTCATATTGCATTTGCATCGATGTGCACAATTTTTTTTACTGTAAATCTGCTGACACTCACTTCGATGGGTACCTTCTGAGGGCGCTTGTTGGTCTCTCTCTTGGTTATGGCCTCCTCCAGGGCATCCTTCAACTTTACGGCCGTGAGCTTCAGATAGCCCAAGCCGCTGGACAGAAAGGCATTCGAGGGCATTGGAGGCGGTGGCGGCGGGGCACAGGGATCTTCCCATTTCTCCGAATTGGCTTCGTCCTCTTCGTGGTCTAACGGCATCGGTGGAGGAGGTGCTGCTTTGGACGGCAGCGGCGCCTGCACTGGTGTTGGCGGAGGCGGTGGTGGCGGATAGACAAACATGTCCTTATCCTTCTCGGAGGGTGTGGCGACTTCCTCTAACGACGGCGAGTCCGTCTTTTCCAGCGCGGAGAGATGATGGCGAGCAGTTTTAGGCTTCTCGGGTCCTTCAGTCGAAATTTTCAGGGCGCCAGCGCCATCTTGGTTAGTCTCAGCCATTTGCATTGCACTTTACCTGCATAGTTTCTTGATTCAGTTCGAGTCTTTAGTACTACTAAGTTTATACTTACAAGAACGATAATTAATTGTATTTAAAAGTATTTAAAACACGCACTTTTCGGATTATATCAAGAATTCCTACTAAATATTGCAAAAAAAGAACGGAATCACGTTTAACACAAGATTTTTGTCCTAAGTTCCGTTATTTGGTATGATCAGTGTGACCGCGTATTTATTGATCAAATTTACCGTCTAACCCTCAGAAAAATACCATAATAATACAAAGTAGAGGTGCCATACTTGTCGTTGTTATGTATGTAGCAAATGTCTAGTTGCCGTGTAGTTACCATGCAAAAGAGGGACATTTTTGTTTAGCTTTTTCGATTAAACCTTAGTTTATAAACAAATGGGAGTTCATAAAATAAGCCAAATTGAATCAATTTTTATTAATCTATCTTATACAATTATATGTTCAGTTGTTGAAGTCCTAACCAGCTAGCAATATTAAATCGAATATCACAATTGATTAATATGAGTTTTCATCGGTATATTTAAGGTATATTATGTAAAATGGAAGGTATATTGGGGTATATTTTTGAGGGTCAGACGGTATATTTGGTCGAAAAATCCGCAGTCATACTGAACTACACAAGCCAGGCGAAAAAAGTGAAGAAAATTGTAAAATAATTACTGGATATTTGATTAAGAAGTTTGTACTTAATTTAAGTACGCACAGCTATACTCTGGCCAGGCGGATGGATGCTTAAAGTTGGTTACCTGCACGATTTTCTTGGTAAACAAAGCGTAACATAACCTAAATGTTTTTTTTCTCATACAGTCTGAAAACGGCGAGACGCAGGAAAAGGTAATAAAAACTACTTAAAAATGACCCAATATCTACCGCCGAATTTGCTGGCGTTATTCGCCGCACGGGATCCCATCCCGTTTATGCCGCCGGTGGATAAATTGCCACATGAAAAGAAATCCAGAGGCTACTTGGGAGTGGCCCACTTTATGACTGATTTCGAGGATCCCGAGGACACGCCGCTGCCCAAGACGGTGGAGACGCGCCAGGAGCGTCTGGAGCGAAGGCGTCGCGAAAAGGCCGAGCAGGTGGCCTACAAATTGGAGCGAGAAATCGCCCTGTGGGACCCCACCGAGATAAAGAACGCCACAGAGGATCCCTTTCGCACTCTGTTCATCGCACGCATCAATTACGACACATCCGAGTCGAAGCTGCGACGTGAGTTTGAGTTCTATGGCCCCATCAAGAAAATAGTCCTGATCCACGACCAGGAGTCAGGTAAACCCAAGGGCTATGCCTTCATCGAGTACGAGCACGAGCGCGACATGCACGCCGCCTACAAGCACGCCGATGGTAAGAAGATTGACAGCAAGCGTGTCCTGGTGGATGTGGAACGGGCTCGCACAGTCAAGGGCTGGCTGCCGCGTCGCCTGGGCGGAGGACTGGGCGGCACTCGGCGCGGTGGTAACGACGTGAACATCAAGCATTCTGGTCGCGAGGACAACGAGCGAGAACGCGAACGCTACCGCCTGGAACGTGAGCGCGAGGATCGCGAAGGAGCGGGCGGTCGCAGCAACAATGGCGTGGAGCCCAGAGCCGGGCCCGGAGCACGTCCTGCCTTTGGGGCAGACAGGCGTCGGTCTCGCTCTAGAGACCGCAGGGAACGGGAGCGTGATCGTGGACGCGTCGCCGTGGCTGGCAATCGTTCCCGCAGCCGGTCCCGTGAGCGCAGAAAACGTCGCGCCGGCAGCCGGGAGCGCTACGATGAGTTCGACCGCCGCGACAGGCGGGACAGGGAGCGTGAGCGGGATCGCGATCGTGACCGTGATCGTGAGAAGAGGAAGAAGCGTTCCAAGTCGCGTGAGCGCGAGTCGTCCAGGGAGCGACGCGAACGCAAGCGTGACCGTAAGGACCGCGAACGCGGAGGAGCTGCCGGCGATGTTAAGGAACGCAAGCCCGATTTCCGTGAAATGGACATTATCAAGATCAAGGAGGAGCCCATCGACGATGGCTATCCATCGTTCGACTATCAGAACACGGCCATCAAGCGGGAGATTGAGGATGAGCACGAGGAGAAGTACCGTCCTCCGCCTGCTCATCACAACATGTTCAGTGTGCCGCCGCCGCCCATCATTGGACGCAATAATTCGAATGCAAATCCAGCTCCCAATCCCGACAATGGCCAGCAAAATGCCAACGAGCAGAGCTGGTGGCGTCAGTAGAGAGAGGATTCATCCCATTCATACCCAGACTCTTTCAAGTATGCCCCTCACGCTGACTATTTTCAGGCACAGTGATCCGGAGCTGGAGCTGGAACGGAAACGGAGGTTAATAATTGTAAAAAAAAATCAACCGTCTATTGGTTGTAACTATTTATTCAAATTTATTTGCAAATTCATGGCAAAAACCGATCCTGGTTGGATTAATATTATTATTATTATCCATGGTTCCATTTTACACAACAATTTTACAGTACAGAGAGCGGAGCGACATTAGCACCGGCAGCAACAACAACAACAACAACAACAAAACACCCAATAACGATGCAAAAATCCAATCCACTAATGTGCATAGCTTAAAACATTTTAATTTATAAGTAACTCTTAACAAATTGATAATGAAAGAAAAAGTAAGTAAAAATAAAGCTAGCCCTACATGTGTTTGTTTCCCCACCTTTGGTAAGGGGGTTCAAGACGGAACTGGAATTCGGATTGAGTTCTCGGCTGACTGCAGTCTGCGGTGTTTTGTTGGTATACAATCAATCCCATGGTGGTTCCTGGGACACACACACTTAACTCTTATTCTTATACTCGTAAAACAAACAAACAAACAAACAAAAAAAAAACCCCCAAAAAACCTCTTGTACCTTTTGCACTAACCCGTGCCTTTTATTTTCTCTTATCTTTTTGCAGTTTTCAATATTGAAAATCTGAACAATGTGAAAACAAAAGCATAAGTATAATTATAAACGCAAAGAACACGCGGGAATTAGTTCCGTTTTTGGTCCGTTTACCACTCAAATAGAAAAAGTCTTACATAAATCAGGTAATTTAGTTTATGCACAAAACCCACTAATCAATGCGTTTACCGTTCTAGGACGACACTAGAAACGATAGCCTCTCCTCCTGTCCTGTTCGGGTTGAGTTCTGTGGTGCTTCCGTAAGTTACTAATAAATCGGGCCCATCTATTTTCTGACTGTAAGTTCTGTCCGGGTAAGAATCCAACAAGACGAGAGTGTGTGAGTCTTGAGGTTTGTGAGTCGAGTTTTCCTTTGTTTGGTACACATTTGGAAATGCTTTAATGGTGGAATGATGCAATCTACATATTAAACTATGTTTGTAATCAATTTACAATTTCGATCGTTTCATGTACGTTTGGCTGGTTCTGAATCGTACTGAAGAGGAGCTAGAGCAGCGGATAGAAAATAATACAGCAAACAGCACAAAAGGTTTGACTCCTTGGTAACTGGTAAAAACAATGCTATAAGAGGGCTGGGCTCCGACAATCATAAGTAAAGCAATTCCTTTTGGGGGAAAAATGTGATTCATTTTTTTTTGTATTTGCTTCAACACAGCAGCCTTTGCCAAATTTCGGTAGATCTACACAATCTAGGTAACTTTGCATTGAATAAATTTAATATATAAGTAGGCCTTGTCGAATAGCCAGAGTCAAATGGTATTTGTTAACCAGCATTTGGTCAGTTAATAAAATTAATTCAACTGAAGCGGATCAAAAAAAAAAGTCTTTCTCTCTTGGAAAAATAAAAAACAAAACACGCGTGGCAAAAAAAAAGTTTTTTTGAGCTAATTTTTGGTAAAAAAAAAAAATAAAAAAAAATTTTGAATTCGAGTGTGTTTTTCAAAAATAATTGTAATTCACGATAGTTCGCGGTTGCAGTTATCGATAAGAACTCTAGTTTGAAATCACGCGTGGCGTTTTTCTGAAATATCGCTAATTGCACAGTTGCATTTTCAATTTAATTTACCAAGTTTGAGCGCGGTGAGTAGAAAACGGTATTATATTAGCGCAACTACATGAAAAGAAATTCAGAAACTACATTGATGTTTCAAACAAATTTAAATTAACATAACTATGTGAAATTATACGGATGCATTTTGGACCTATCGCTACATTTTTGCGATTGTTTTAAGCAAATCCAAAATATTAATTAGAAACTAAATAATTTACAAAAATGCGGTAGAAAACATAAAACAATATAATTTAGAAACATCAACGCAGTGGTTGCATTTAAAATTAACTAAAATAATTATTTTCTGCAATAATCGATAACAAAAATCAACCCTGTCGCTGTGTAGCGTCTCTGGTAATTTTTAGGCCTTTCTTGTGTGCGAATCTGGGGACACACTGAATACAACCATTTTTTGGCGTGTGTGTAGAAGAAGGAAGCCGCAGCGAAAAATTTTGCATTAAAACCCAAAAAGACCAGCAAAACGGTAAGAACGCAAGATAAATGTAATTGCAATACTCGTTTTGAGGTTGCAAGCAAGCCGCGCATAAAGTGTGTGATATTAAATAACTAATTTGTGTGTTCTTTGCAACTTTTTCTTGTACAGCACGCCGGCATCATATTTTTCTTCTTTCGTCAAGCGCTCAGAAACCGAACGAAAAAAACATGTCTGACGAAAAGAAAGGTGGAGAGACTGAACACATCAACTTGAAGGTGTTAGGACAGGACAATGCTGTGGTCCAATTTAAAATTAAAAAACACACTCCGCTGCGCAAGTTGATGAACGCCTACTGTGACAGGGCTGGCCTGTCCATGCAGGTCGTCCGCTTCCGATTCGATGGCCAGCCTATAAACGAGAACGACACCCCCACATCCCTAGAGATGGAAGAAGGGGACACCATCGAGGTGTACCAGCAGCAGACCGGCGGTTTCTATTAAACCCATTAGTTAAGTTAGTTTTCATTTCACAAAACAAACCAACAACAACAAACCACAAGCAGAAGCAGTAAGCATAAAATAAAGAAGAAACAAGAGCAGATGAACTCTGTACACAGAACATAATAACGCAGATGAAAATGTATGGCATACAGAAAGGAAAAATAAACATTTTATAAACTATGTAAACCTCCATTGACTGCTGTTGCATGATCTTATTTTCTTGGGGTAGAATTCTTGGCATTTGTTTAAACGGCTTGGGTTGCCGTCGACTAGACATGAGGAATATTGCCGGTGGCGCGAATTTCCCGCTTTACGCGCGTGTAAAGACACACGCATACACACACAAGCACAGTCTGAGTTGTTGTTCAGGGGGGAAATGAGCAAGTGTGCGTGAGGGCAGGGCTGTAGGTGTGCAAGCGTATGCCTGTATTGCCTATGCGTGTAAATGGGTATACATACAAAATCGCGCTGAACCGAACGCTCCATTTGCTGGAGAAATATGCACGTTGCATGGCCATTGGTGGTATAACCTTAAAATTGTTTAGATGACGTCATTTTACCGAATTTTCTAGATAATATTGAACAGCCGGACATAACCCTAAAAAGTCCACCATCTTGAAATTTGAGTGCAGATGCATGTGTGTATGTTGCTTGTGCATCAGTGTTGGTGAAATCTACAGCAGATGTAGATGTGTGTGTACACCAAGAATTATTATTTTTTCAATTTACAAAATGATGTACAGTCGCGACAAAACATTTTCAAGCGTAGATACACATACAATTGCATACATGTATGTATGTATGTATGTGTGTGCATATGTATGTACATGCAAATGCATTATCTAGATTCTTCCAGAATACTTATTTATGTATTTATGTGGATATATGGATTCTAGATCATATTAATCAGATTTGTATCAACACTAAGGCTTCACCGTTAGTTAAATCTTTATCACTTCAAACTTAATTATGTAAAACGTAAAAATTTGGTTCATATTTATTTTTAACAATGTAATTATGTTTTTTTATGTATTGCTTTTTGAAAGGCACCATTTCCCCACTTAAAAATTAACTCATGTCATGGGTTAGACCCAATCTTTTGGGTTCTTCAGAACCTTCATCAGCTCACCCTCCTTGGACTTGGGCCTGGGCTCGTGCATATACTCCCAGCGAGCATGTAGGGGCAGTGACATCAAAATGCTCTCATAACGCGCACCGGGCGTGTACAGGCCGAACTTGGTGCCGCGATCGTAGATGAGGTTGAACTCCACATAGCGGCCGCGGCGAAGTAGCTGCCACTCCCGCTCATTGTTGCCATATTCGCGGTTCTTGTGCTTCCGCACGAGGGGCATATAGGACGGGATGACGGCCTTGGCACAGCCGGTCACAAAACTGAAGGCATCCTCTTGGTTGGGGGAATCGATGTCGTCAAAGAAGATGCCGCCAATGCCACGACTCTCGCTCCTGTGCTTGATGCGGAAGTAGTCATCGCACCACTTCTTGAACTTGGGATAGTAGGAGGCGTCGTGTTCGTCGCAGGCAGACTTCAGAGTCTGGTGGAAGTGACGGGCGTCCTTCTCGTCTAGATAGTACGGTGTGAGGTCTGTGCCGCCACCGAACCACCATTGCTTTTTGCCATCTGGTGTCTCCACCTCAAAGTAGCGGTAGTTGAAATGGATAGTCGGGATGTGTGGATTGCGTGGATGGATCACAGCACTCACACCGCTGGCAAAGAAGGGTAGCTTGGCGCCCTCCGTCAGGTTTTTGCCGCGGGAGCGCATTTGTTGCACTGCATCCGGTGGCAGCCAGCCCGTGACCACGGAGATGTTGACGCCCGCCTTCTCGAAGACATCGCCATCCTGTATGACGCATGTAATGCCGCCGCCACCCTCCTTGCGCTGCCAACGGTCCACCTGAAACTTCTTGCCACACATCTCCTCCGACTCCAGGGCGCGGCAGAACTCCGCCTGAATCTCCATAATCATCAGCTCCATTCTGTGCCGCATATTGGCCTTGTCCCCCAGAAGGACAGCGGCATCTGTTATTGGCTCGGCCATGAACCTGGACGTGTCCAGATTTCTCTTGACCTTTGCGTTTTCGGCCTCCGCCTGTGCGTACGTGACCGATGAAAAGGCGGACAGGCCCAGCCCTGTGCCCAGCAGAAAGCCGCGGAAATGCTGGCTCCTGGTCCGTCGGCCGAGCTGAAACACGCCCAACGACACCAGAGACATCGTGTGCCGTATTACGTTCATGTTGCTCAAGAGCCTACTTGAAAATTTTAGTGAAAAATTTGTCACTCTGAAACTGCAATTTGTTTATCTTTTTTTCACCGGCATTTGAAGGTTGCATTTGCACTCGATGTATCGATAGCTAAAAGTAAGCCTCCAGCCCTGGTCTCCCACCAAAATATTTTTAACAAATATTGTGCGCTTGTTTTGTTTAAATAATGCTTTGCAGTTTAAAATGAGCTTGAAATATTACAACAAAGCAACCTTATCATTTACAGTTGGATTCACTTGTGTTTAATTAATATTTACGAAAGCAAGGCGTCGAATTCAAAAATACCGACCGCCACATAGCGTCTTTCGATACCAGCGCGTCAACAGGGAAACATTTAAACTTCGCTGGGCACTTGGCATTATAAATTAAATTAAAGAAAGGTATGTTAATTGTTAAGAACAAAAACCAAATACGTTAAACTATAGGCGCTTTGAGTTTACTTGTAACGTTTACACTGGATACGTCCCCGTTTTGTGCACCAAGGACGCTACGCTGGCACACACGCACGCACACAAACAACAAAACAGGCTAAAGAATGTCTGGTCTAAACAAATTTCAAGACAGCGAGGCTTGGCGTCAGAAACTGCGTGATCACCTTCTGGCCGATCGGTAAATACCAGACTAAATCCCCCTTACCATTGGATAGTGCTAGTGTTATGCTTATTATTTGATAAAATTACAATTAGAATTATTATTTTTTCGAATGTTTGCATGTAAAGGTAAAAAACAAACATCCCCTGCAACCATATAGACATAGTAAACTTTGAATTGTTAGAGTAGCATTGCGTATATAGCATTCTGGTTTGTAACAAGTTTCAACTTTTCAGAGCACCACCTCAAAAGTTAACAAACATGGAATCTAAGGAACAGCGCTACAGCCTGGACATTGATGACGATCTGAAGAAATTGCTGGAGGCCAGGAAGAAAAAGCAGGAGCAGAAGCAGACGCAGAATCAGGCGGAAGCTGAAGCCACGTTCAATATGTGTGAAGATACCATGTACGAATCCATGGCCACTGCACAAGCTGAAGGTCATGGGGATGAGAGTTTCGATGTCTTTGAGCGCATGTGTGATAAGACGGTATCCGATCCTGATAGCACCTTGTTTCAGTACATGCACAGTGAGGATAAAAGTCATATGCTAGCCATGGCCAAGGAGAATAGTGGCATTCGTGATCTCAGCGGGGAAGACTGTGAGTACAAAAGTACAAAGCCCCATGCCATTAGGTATTCTATTCATATTGTGGTTTTTTTTTGTAGCTTCACAGAAGGAGATTGAGTTCTTGCGTCGCATGTTGGAACAGATCGGCGCTGAGGATCACTTGGAAAACGAGAGTCCGCTCAAGGGTGTGGAATGCACACAGCTTGAGGATGTTGAGGCGCCCTCACGTTTTTGGGATAACGACCAGACGCTGGCCGGCAGTGAGGACTCCAATCCAGAGCCGAGGGCCAAGAAGAATTTCTCGCCCGTTAAGATGGTGGGTCTGCTGCGTCCCTCCACCATAATCGAGGCCAATGAGCTGGAATCGGATGTGTCGTCAAACACGAGCAGCTTCCAGAGTGCCCAAACACTGAAGACAAATGCTTCGAGTAGCTATGAAACGGCCACAGAGTCTAGTGCCATTGATGGAACCCTTCTGAACGTCGATGATCTTTTTTATGCGGCAATTGAGAAAGCCAAGCCGCTAAACATGTCCAAGGAAGAGGAGCTGGAGCTGCTGGGTGATTTGCACTCCAGCCTAATAGAGCTGGCGTCACCCTCCAAAAGTGATGAAGATTCTGATGATGTTGAGAATACAATAATTGAATTATCGTCCGACGAGGAGGAGCACGCTTCAAGCGATAAGGCCACTACTTTTGATATTAAGGAAGAGGCATGCACGGATGAGGCAGGCGAGAACAAGGAGAACTCCTTGCATTTCAATGATACCATCGAGGAAATGCAGTACATGATGCAAAAGGGCATGGAGTACATGGCTGCCGCTGCTCCAGTTCCAGTTTCAGCTCCAGTAGCCACCGTTGCCAAGCCCAAGAGTCCACTGCTACAAAAACAGAACACATTTGTTATGTCGCCCAAGCGTATGCCCAAGTCTGCTGCCGCCGAATTTCTGCAACCCACTTTGCCTCTGCGAGCCAGCAACAAGCCGCAAAATGTGAAGCAGTCGCCGAGCAAAAGCAAAATCCCGTCTCGCTATGACATTAATATGGATCTGCCAAAGACCACGTTCTTTGGCACACCTTCGGGCATTCCGCAGCGTCGTCAGCGGCAAATCAAGCAGCCCTATGGCGACATTATCAGTCCCATTCGCACCTACACGCACATGTCCGGCACGGCTCCGCTGATGAGTACCTTCCGTCAGACCAGCACAGATGTCTATAGCACTTTGGCCATCAGTGAACTGGAGCAGGAATCCCGTTTGTGCCACCGAATGCCGCCAGCCACCGCTGCCACTTCGGTGGGAAGCAGCCAAAAACTGGACATCGACTCCACAGCTCGAGTGCTGCCCAAAAAGGCGTACATATCTTCAGAGCTGCAGCACGTAAGTTGAGAAATGGAATTGAGATCGTTGATAGGTTCTGTAACCCCCGACATACATTTGGCAGGTGATCGATGAACGCACTCCCATACCGATGCCGAGTGTGCAGAAAATACAAAAGTATTTGAATACGGCCGTGGAGCCCAAAGTCTTTCGTCACGATGGTAAAATGAAGATGCCTGGTGATGCTGCCGCCGTATCGCACATTCCACGCCGTGCCAATCAAAGCTTGGCCGATCTGTCGCTCGCCTCCGGCGACATCTCCATGTACACCCTTCGCGATGCTCAGAAATTTTCGAGCAAATAAGCAATTCCTGAACGTTGCATCAAAAATAAATGTATTGTATAACTATTTCTAGTAAATGCCATCGTTTGCCGTTTCTGGAGACCCAGATCAACATAACTACTGATTGACTGCAGCACCACCCTTCCAGGCGCGATTTACCTTGGACTCTGAGGGGCGGCCCAGCTCCGCGCAGATGTAGCGCCCAACTTGAATGAGTTTGTCGAGATTGACGCCTGTATTGAGGCCCAGGCCATGCAACATGTAGACCACATCCTCGGTGGCCGCATTGCCAGATGCTCCGCGGGCATAGGGGCATCCACCCAGACCCGAAACCGAGGAGTCCACCACGCGTATGCCGTATTCCAGCGAGGCCAAGATATTGGACAGAGCCTGGCCATAGGTGTCGTGGCAATGCACAGCCAGATTCTCCGCGGGCACCGCTCGTGTTACCTCGTCCAGCATTCGACGCATGCTGCCGGGTGTGCCCACGCCAATGGTGTCGCCCAAGGAGATCTCGTAGCAGCCCATTTCATGCAGAGCTTCGACTACTCTGACCACAGCACTGGGGGCAACGGCACCCTCGTAGGGGCAGCCGACTATTGTGGATACATAGCCGCGAACACGCACTCCATGCTTTTGGGCTGCTTTCAGAACGGGCCTGAATCGCTCGATTGCCTCGGCGGCTGTGCAGTTGACATTTTTCAGGGAAAATGCATCGGAAGCAGCTCCAAAGACGGCCACCTCTTTGGCGCCCGCTGCCAGTGCGCTCTCGAACCCTTTGAGATTGGGCGTGAGTACGGGGTAGCTGATCCCCGGCACTTTGCGTATGCCACGAAATACCTCTGCATTGTCTCCCATCTGTGGAACCCACTTCGCACTCACGAAACTTGTTGCTTCAATGGTGGACAGGCCGGTTGCGGACAGGCGATCGATCAGCTCGATTTTCGTTGCGGCTGGCAGCAGCTTGGCTTCATTTTGGAGTCCATCCCGGGGACCCACCTCCACAATCCGTACCTGGCTTGCTTGACTTGTGACCGCCGTGCGCTGTGTGTTATTGCAGGGTTAATATACGTATGGGTGTGATTTGTTTGGCTATGCTAATACCTTGGCAGTGAAGGAAGCCAGAGATCGGTATGTTGGGCGGAGAATTCGTGGAATTGGCATATTGCAAAAATTAAATGTTGTTACGTATTTTATGCCTCTTCTTTCCATTTGTCCACAGCTGTTTCTTATCAGCACGATCGATATGTGTTCTATCGAACACATCCCATCTCTAATGCACATGCATTTTGGTTTGTTTTGTTTTACTTGTTCGCGGGATTGAAATTCGTTCGAACTTGGCGGCTTTGAGGCTAATTCAGACTATAAATATTATCACTACAAATGGAAGAGTTGGATGATTCTGCCCCGGAGGATGAGAATGTGTTCCACTTTGAGTCCGAGCACCTGGCTCTCCGTGGCAACGAGTGCTATTCCAGCTTGTTGCGCACCATTGCAGTGCTGCAAGCCCAACGCATTCGTGTCCACCAGCAGATTGAGGAGCTAGAAGCGACTCGGAAAATGTACCTGAAAAATCCGCAGCTCTTGTTGGACAAGCTGAGCAGCAACGAACCGCTGATATCGGACAACTACATAGCCATAGCCCCTTTGCCAGAGCTACCCACATTGGTGGCAAAGGAGGGAGGCGGAGTGGACTTTAAGTTGCCCACAAGTCAAACGCCTTCGTACACTCCTCAATTGCCGCAGTCCGCCGAGACGGCGAACGACAGCAGCAGCGGACGGTCGGCTAAACACCACAACCGCCTGTGGACCAACGAGGAGCAGCGACATTTGGAGCAGCTGCTCATTAAGTATCCGCCGGAGGAAGTGGAAAGCCGACGCTTTGCGAAGATAGCCAAAGCCCTGGGCAATCGGACGACACAGCAGGTGTTTAGCCGCATCCAGAAGTACTTCCAGAAGCTGCACGAAGCTGGGATGCCTGTGCCCGGTCGCCTGCCGAAATATCGCCGACCAGCCCTGACGAAACCCAAGTTCAATATACGCCGATCAACGTTTTTTCCTGCCCAGAACATATCGCTGCAAATGCCCGAGGACGATATAACCCTGGACGAACTGCGAGGTCTGTCTCCTGCGGGTGCGTTGTCGCCAGCATCGCCACAAGTCAAGATGGAGCCGAAGGCCGAGACCGAAAGCCTGGACGGCGATCTGGATAAGGAGGCGACGCGTAAGGAGCAGCTGCGTCTGAAACTTCTGACGGCCGTGCTCGAGGAGAAGCAGCAAATCGAAGATGGCTACAATCCCGATCCGTTGGCGCCCAAGTGCGCCGAGTGTGAGGCGGCGTCTGTGACCAGGACCAACTGGCGCTGCGATAGCTGCTATTGCCATTTAAATTTATGCGGGGACTGCCTGGCCGGCCAGTTGATGGAGGAACGCTTCGAGCATCTGGGCCACGAGGTGGTTGTGGATCAGGATTCATAGCTTGCGTACAATTAATCAATTAATAACTATTTTAATAAGACAATTGAGAAAATGAATAAATGCGATGCAAAAACCAAATTAATTACGCAGCTGGGCAGCCGACTTGGGCAATGCCTGTATCCGCTGGCGTCGCTTGGCCTCGAACTCGGTCGCCAGCTGCCAGGTTTCCTTGTCCAGTGCATCCTTCCCACGGACAATGCCCAGAAGGCGTGAGAGCACCAGCAGGCCGTGCAGATCATCCGCATTGCTCTTGGCATTCGCCTTGCGCATATCCACAAAATCCTGTTGTATCATCTCCGTGTGCTCCTCGCTGACGTTAAACGGACTGATGCGTGCCCGGGTCAAAAACTTGCGAAACTGCTGCAGGCGTGCTGGCTGCAGGTAGTGATGGGCCGCCTTCAGAGATTCATCCAGCAGTTCCACGGCCTTGGCATCGGCGTTAATCGGCAGCACAAAGTCGCTCTGCAATGGAGATGAGAGTTTTGATATGTAGATTTAATCCCAAAATGGAATGCTGTATGCTGTACCGGTAGCATGCTGCGTCCTTCGCTCAGGACAAGCACCGGAATGTTCACATGATAGTCGATCTGATAGTACTGGAAATCGCACTTTAGCTCCTGGCTGTTGATCAGATGCGCCAAGTGCTGGACGGCATGGACGCCATTCGCTTCCAGTTTGCCCTGCTGCATGCACGTCTCGTCCAGCACCAGATGCGTGTGCGGTGCCAGCTGCAGCATGCCAGAGACCAGCTTGTTGGTCTCGTAATCCTTTCTGTTGGTGGCCAAGAAGTGGATAATCATAAATGTTAATAGTAGAAAAAAAAAAACCCAAGGCTATACTCACTTCGGGGCAAAGGCGGCCGTGTTCATTGTCTCCAGTGTCATGGGCAGGTAGTGGCTGGCCGGCAAAAGCAGCTCCAGCACTTGGTACAGCTTTGTGGTATACTGTGCGAGGGATTCCTTGGGCAAGTTGCAAATGTTTAAGGCGAACTTTCCAATGCTCTGCATCTCGGAGCGACTGTACACCGAGGAAATCAAATGGCAAAGCAAATACTCGGCCGCCATGTCGTCATCAAACAGGCAGAGCTTCAGGAGCATTCGTAGATCTTTGTGCACGCTGCTCTGTGATGGATCTTCGCTGGCACCAGCGTCCGCTGGCTGCTGCAGACTCTTGTCCAGCAGGGGATTGGCGTGCGGCAGCTGCTGAACTCCAAAGGCGTGCACGCGTGGTATGAGAAAGGGTGATGGATGTGTGGCCTGCAGCTCGCTTAAGCTATCAAAACCCTCCGTATCTATGCTGGCGGCATCCAGCGAAGGATCGACTGACAGGAAACCAACAAAGTCGACCAGCGAATTGAGTTTGTAGCTATCAAAGTCCTCGTACACCTTCACCATGCACGCCATGCTGGGTCGACTGGGCAGGGGCGAATTTATCAGATACTCAGAGCCGAGCACGGCGGGAGCAGCTGTCGCTGAGTCGCCGCCCGATGACGACTTGATTGGCTCCACACACTTCCGTTTGAGGGCAGTATCATTATCATCTTCAACTTCCATGGCTTCCTGGTCATCCAAGGTGCGCTTTTTGGCATTGTTTGGCGATTGCGTTTGGCAGACCAACTTTGGCTGTGGACTGCACTTGCCTTCGTGTTCCTTGGTCCAATCATTCAGGCCTGGCACTGACACCACAAACAGTGTACGCCGCTCGCCATGCACATTGCTCTCGGCATTGTAGTCGATCGCCTCGCCCGTGGCCAGCTTTAGGCAATCGTGGTATTTGCCGTGCTGCAGACGTTTGCTACCGTCTGAGGCCTTCACCTCATAGCGCTCCAAGTAGATTTCCGGATCCATCATGTCCTGAATCATGCCGCGGAAGCGCACCAAAGTCTGATCCTTCAGCTTATGCAGCGGCGTATAGTTTAGCAGCGGAATGTCATGCCAGGCGGCTGTATCCTTGAGGAACTCCTTTAGCTCGGTGGGGTCCCTCTGGCTGTAGTGTTCCAAGTCGTTGGAGTGGCTCGGCATGTCCATTGAACACGGCATTATAATTTATTTTGAAAAAATTCGCAAATAACAAAAAAAAACTCTGCAGCTGCTGCCGATAGCGCGCCAAAAGTGACAAGTATCGCTGAATTTATAGCGATGGGAGCCAGCAACCGATAGATAGCTAGCCAAACAGGGTCGTCCACACTAAAACGGATGTAGATGCGGATGTGAAGACATCCGCAAAACCTAGTTGATATACAAATTATGAGCAAGAAAAGCAATGTCTGGCAGTTTTTTCGCAAGGCCAACGTTGATGCGGTGGCCACATGCTGCCTGTGCAAAAGAGATTACTCCAGGAAAGGTCGAGGCACCACCTGCCTGAGGAATCATCTGAAGAGCAAACATCCTGCGGAATTCCGCAAACTGTCCGAAGACATCCGCTATTTGGTCAAGGAGGAAGTCACGGATACATTGACGCAGCAGCCAGTGAGTATTTGGATCGTTTTACCAAAGTTATTCCCCAATGAGAGATACAATTATATACCTGAAGATTTCTCCGGATCCCTTGGAAATGGGCAATGCAGATGAGCTGTTTGCGCGCTGTGACGAACAGTTGGCCCAAGTGTTTCTCTCTCCAAGGATCTCCTTCGACTTGATAGAAAGCCCCAGATTCATTAGCTTTGTGAAAGCTTTGAATTCTGACTATTTAATTAGGGCGAGGGGATATTATGAGAATATATTGTGCCACGGAATCCACAAAAGAGTCCAAACTCGGGTGGAGCAGAAGGTGGATCTGCTGGATGCCATCTCCCTGAGCAGCAGTCTGTGCTGGGCCAATAACGATGGCCTGCTTAGCCTGTCGTGTTTTGGTATCTCAAATGATTTCCAGGCTCAGCGATGCACGCTCAAATGCAAGGCCCTCAACTATGAGGACACCGACAGGGTGGCCTACTGCATTCAGAATTTGATCTTTGGTTTGGAAATGGAGCTGCCCCAGGAGAAGGTTCATTGCATTATCAGAGATGAGGCAACTGCTCTGGCCGGTGCACTTCCCGACTGCTGTGTCTCCCGCCTGCAAATGTGCGTGAGATTCGCCCTGCAAGAGAGCCAACTGCTTCAGAATCTCTCATCGAAGTGCAAGCAAATCGTTGATCACTTTGCGTCCTCCACGATGGCCCATGAGCATCTGAAATTCATTCAAGAGATACGCCTTAACCAAGAGCCCTGCTCAATGCTAGACAAAAGTCCCATAAAATGGAACTCCACCTTCGAGATGATGGGCCGTGTGCTCAAGATGAAGGAAGCGCTCTCGCTGTACGCCGAGGAGTATAGCCTGGTCGAAATCTATCCGGATGAATGGCTGGACATTGACTTGTGCAAGAAGGTAATGCAGCCTTGCGAGGAGATCATCAAAATGTGGAGCGATCCTTCGACAACAGCCTCTTCGGTGATTCCGCTTGTGGCTGCCCTGAGGGATTCCCTTCAAACTGATGTCCACAATTTTGGGTCCTCCGTGGTAATGTTTTGTGATTAAACAAATCTTATAAATTAATTAATATACTGATTGATATATTTTTACAGACCATTTGCAGCTTTGCCCGTAAACTGCTAGAAGAACTGGAAATGAAGTTCGCTGATATCAGCACAGATATCAAATATCTGGTGGCCACCTATTTGGATCCACGCTATAAGCAAGCCTTCTTCAACGAACGGGAAGAGCTGCTGGTGACCAACAAAGTGCTGCAGCAGCTAGCCAGCATCCGAGGAACTGACGAGGTTCAGCCTTCGTTGAAAAAAGTAAAATTATCCTCAGCGCATATTAAAAATGAATCAAAGATTGACACCATTTTGGATAGTATACTGGCCTCTGGCTCTGGCCATAATCAGACAGCCGCCACATGCCATGGAACTCAGTCGCAGCTGAAGAACCTCCTTTATCTATACAACTCCGAGCCGAGAATTGAGAGGAGCATGGATCCGTTGCTGTGGTGGAAAACAAACATCAAATACAGTCCCATGTACAGTATTGTCCGGCAGTTTCTTTCAGCTCCGGCAGCCAGTGCGTCCAACGTGGAATTGTTTGCCGAATCTACACATTTGTATAGAGATATGCAGGCGGGTCTGAGTACCGATAGTGTATCCAAAATATTGTTCATCAAGTCCAACTCTAAGGGCTCCTTCGACCACAGAGATTGATGAAGTTGTGAAGTTTTTTGTACTTTAATCTTAAAACTAAATGAATTCTTAGGTTGTATATTATTAGCCCCTGTAGTCGGGATCATTATGCTCCTCGTCATCTTCTTCCTCTTCGTCGTCTTCATCTGAATAAAAATGGAATTGTTTTATTTGTTTGCTGACATCAAATGAGAGATAATTGCCTTTCTTACCATGATCACGTCGCTTGCGCACGTAGGCCCGTCGTGTGGCAACCGGCGCCGTTTGATCCGTTTCGCCGTGCAGCAGGGAATTACGATACAGAACCAAGGGCTGCCATTCCTCTGCACGGCTCGATGGCATGCCCGGCGGTATGATCTTGTCCAGGAAACTCATAATCACCTTCTTGTCCTGCTTCAAGAGCTTGTAGTTGAACTCGTTGAGCACCTCCAGGAACAGCAGTCGTGTGGGTGCACGCACTGGATCGTCGGGCTGTTTGTTGGCCGCAAAATAGATGCCACCGCGATGGATGGCCGCCACCGGATCCCGATTCTTGAGCGCATCGAAGCCGAAAGTCAGCGCGAATCGCTTGGCCAACTCCTTCAGGTCGAGAAACTCTTGGGAACTCTTCGACACTGTGCCATCCTCGCTCTGCTCGAGCAGCGTCTTGAATACGGTGATTAAACTGAGGAGCAGCGTCATGGCAAAGTTGACTTTGTTGATCTCCCGCGCTTTGCCCAGCGTGGCCTTGATTATGTCGCCATAATCATTGTAGCACTGAAAGAGAAATAATTCTGGTAAGCATACAGCTAACAGCAGCAGCTAAGAGCGGCGTGTGGATGCCTCACCTTGACATAATATTTGAATATTGTGGCTGCCCGCATGGTGGGTATGATGTTGTAGACGACCAGCTTGCAGTAGCAGGCCAGAAAGTTGCGCTTCTTGTGCAATTCCTCGATGCGCGTCTCGTCCTGGACGGCATCTTGCTTCAACGAGAACACATAGTGCTGCACAAAGTTGTCCAATATGAGATGCTCATCCATGCGCGACTTGTACTCCAGGCTGCGTATATGCTCGATCTCGCTGCGACCCAATTGATCGGAGAAGATGATCAGCAGATCGCAAATGGATTGATAGGCCTGCGCAAGCAAACGGAATTAAAAATATGAATCCACCAATCATTATTGAATGATTTTGTACTGTACGCACCGCCTCTTGTATTTGCACTGTGGGTCCATCGCGGGTCAGCTCAAAGCAGGCGGACATGAAGCTATCCAAATTGCTGCGCAGCTCGGCCACCACATCGGCCACATTGAGCGCCTCACAATCATTCTCCACGTAGTAGAGGCCCCAGCTAATGGAGAAGTAGCACGCCTCAATGCAATAGGCCAGCGCCTCGTTGGGCAGGCAACGTTCGACATTTTCCTTGGACTGAGCCTCCTCCACGTCCTGGAACAGGGACTTGAACAAATCCCATGGATTGAGATTGTGCGACGAGTACAGAATGGAGAGAACCTTCAAAGCGATGGTTATGTTGTATATATCATCCTCGTTGGGTGTCTCCTCGCCTGGAAATAGAATTCAAATTGAAACACAGAAAGCTAGAATAGAAATCAGGCTGCAGCCTCACCCTGAATCAAATTGCGCCACTCTTCGATGACATCCTTGTACTTATTGACGGCGCTCTCGATAATGTTGGAGCGGGCAATGTTGCAGCGCGTGTAGGTGGCACTGCCTTCGGCACAGAGGCATTCCAGGGTCTTGGCGCATGTTTCCAGCACATCCCGGCCGGTGTGCATGCTCATTACCTGATTGATTTTATCAAGCAGTGCCTGCAGATTACCCTCCTGTCGATTCGTCGTATACAGGTTGAGATCAAAGTACTGGGGTACGGCCAAGAGATTGGCCAACTTTTCGCTATCAGCCTGATATTTCTCCAGCAAGGCGGGAAGCGTGACAATGAAATGCTCCGTCAGCTTGGACTTCTCGTCCTGTATGGCCTTGAGCTCTTTGGAGGTGAATGTGAATTTACGATTGCTAGCACGTCCCACGGGAACCTCGCCAGAGGCCGATTGCTTGACGCTGCTGACCATGATCTCAATGAGCGTTGACTCCTGCTTGTTGTCGAGGAGCTCCTCGTTGGGACCCGGCTCTTCCAGGAGCAGATCCGTCATACATTCCCAATCCCTGACCATCTCGTTGCTGTCGATGAAGGAGTCGACCAGGTAGGCGCCGTGTTCGTGCAGCTCGGATTCAATGAAAAACTGAACCAAATCTCGCACCAATGGAGTATTTGGCAGGCGTACCTTGCCTCGTTTCGTCTTGTTCTCCTCCATATCGTTGGTCAGATGAAATAGGCGAACATTTAGGAACTCGGCTGCTGCCTGGGCCACGCCACGATGCGACGAATAGACCAGCTCGTACACAATCTCACAATCCTTGTCGGCCAAGATCTCTGGGTGAATTCTATCAAATATATATATGTTAATTATTATAGTGCATAATGGATTATATATTTATGCATAAAAACTTACTTTAAAATACTTATGACCAGCTTGACGGCATGAACGGACACTTCGAACTCCTTGTCCAGCGTCATGGCCACAATACGATCCTTAAACTTCGAGGTGAAGAGTTCCAGTTTGCCTTTGAGCTCTTCCTTTTCGTATAGCGGCAGCAGCGACTGCAGACAGCGCAGCCGCACCTCGCCAATCTTATCGTGCAGCGTCCAGCCAATGTATTTCAAGTATGAATCGTCCAGGAAGTTTTGCGGATAGTTCTCCATCCAGATGCCAATCTCAGCCATGCAAATGGCCCGAATATCTGGCAGACTATCCCTGTAGCGGTGCACAAACACAGACTTGAACATGTAGGTCAGCATGCTCTTGATTTCGTCCATGTTCTCCTCCAACTCGGAGCGTTTTGTCATCAGGGAATCCAAGCGATCGGAGGCGCGACGATCGCGTGACTAAAAGGGAAGTTTATTGAAGGAATTCCATTTGATAAGAATGAGAATGTGTGTGCCCCTCACCTTTACACGCTCAGCCTCAAACTGTTTGGCAGCATTATCGAAATTATTCGAGACGAGCAGAGCCACATCGACCAAAGCAGTCATCAGCTTCATGGCTGCCAAGGTGGCTGTGTGCCTAAAGGCACGCACTTGCGAATCGGACAAACCCGTGAGCAGAGAAATAACATTGTCCATCAGGAACTGGTCGTAGATGATGGAGTACTGGCATTGCTTGACGAGCGTTTGCACAAAATCACAAAAATGATTTTTGAACTTTTTCCACTGGGTACCGGTCATGATTAAGGGATATTCACCGCTTTCCTACAAATAAATTGATTGATTGTTAAATTTTAGTTGTGGTTATTGCGCGCCAAATGGATTACCTCGTCAAACTCCTCAGTCATTCGTCGAATGATTGCTGTGTGATCCACTGGATATTGTATATCCTCCGATATCTTGCCCTTGCAGCCGCTGGCATTTATAAAGAACTGCATCAGAGCGACCAGCGCCGTCTCTCGATTTGTCTTGTATTGCTCGATCCATTGGTCAACAATGTTCTGGAATAGAGAGCTATAATAATTAAAGATTCAATTGAAATTAAAATGTCGTACCGCTATGGGACTCTTGGAGTGTCGCACGATATAGTACAAGCTGTTCTCGTCTGTGGTTATCTCCCGTTCGTTGTCAATCCGCTCGTGGTGGGCTCTTTCCGCGGGCTCCTTGCGTGGCCTCTCGACGCGTTCCTTGCGCTCGGCTGGCGGCTTTCGGACAGCTGGTGTCTTCCGCTTTCGCGCTATTGGCGCGAAAAACTCATCCTCGTCGTCATCGATGATTGGAGGCTTGTCCCGTACACCGCCACGAGCCCGCAACCTGGTCATACGCTTGGTGGGACTGTCTGCATCGGAAGTGCTTTCATTTAAAGCATCGCTGTATTAAATTAAACAAATTCGTTTTTAGACAAACAGTAGGCCAGGTGTGTGAGAAATTTGACGGACCTGTGGAGTTCCTCGTACTCTGGAGGCGGATCATCCATCCGAATGCGCTTTCCACCGCGACGCGCCATCATTATTTGATTAAGTATTTATTTTTTCGCCAGTAGCTTTAATTTGTTTAATAAACACAAGTTTTATAAATTTTCAGCCAAAGCGTCCAAAACAAGAGGTGGGAGGAATGCAGGCATGCATTGCTAAATATATCGATTGGTGGAAGCGTTTATATCGATATAAGCGGCGAGTATAAGAAGAGGAATGACAACTAGAGAGAAACATCGCTGAAACAAAGAGAGATATGAGAGAGCGGCGAGTACAAGAAGAATGACAACCAGAGCAAAACATCACTGAAACAAAGAGAGAGATATGAGAGAGGGAAGCGTTAAATAATTTATTAAATGTTAACAAAATGTTAAAGAGGAGCGCATAGAAAGGCATTGTTAAAAAGTTGTTAAAATTTAAATTTAATGTTAACTATTATGTTAAATGGAATGTTAGCAAAATGTTAAAGAGGCTTCTATTCAGCTGCAGCTTATGAAAAGCGGATAGAAAGGCGCTGTTAAAAAGCTGTTAAAATTTAAATTTTATGTTAATTATTATGTTAAATTCAATTATGTTAAACGAAATGTTAATGTTACATTAATAGGCTGCTACTTACCTGCTACTTATGAGAAGCGCATAGAACGGCGCTGTAAGAACAAAAATATGATATATATTAATTAATATTAAATTAATTAATTAAATTAATTTAATTCTAATATAATTGTAACATTGCCGATGATTGTGAAAAACATCGATGCTGCGTACACCAAACATCGATGACACCATCGATGTTTCTTCTCCATCTCTAATGGCATCAAAATATTTTCGTAAATTTGCAACAAAAAACATAAATTGAATTAAAACAATGGCTGATTTCGGCGGGGACTCGGGTGCTCGTCTTAAGGGCGTCACCATTGTCAAGCCCATTGTGTACGGAAACATCGCGCGCTCTTTTGGCAAGAAGCGCGAGGAGGACGGACACACGCATCAGTGGAAGGTCTATCTGAAGCCCTACTTCAATGAGGATATGTCCATATACGTGAAAAAAGTGCATTTTAAGCTGCACGAGAGCTATGCGAACCCCAATCGCATTGTGGTCAAGCCCCCATACGAAGTGACCGAGACCGGCTGGGGTGAATTCGAGGTTGTTATAAAAATCTACTTCAATGATCAGACGGAGCGACCGGTGACCTGCTACCACATACTGAAGCTGTTTCAATCGCCCGTCGTTGATGGCGAGCTGACTTCCACCACCACAATGGACACCAAGAAGGGCCTTGTATCGGAGTCGTATGAGGAAATCGTTTTCCAGGAGCCCACACATGTCATGCAGCATTACCTGATGCTCTCGGAACAGAGTTCCAATGGACTGCTTAGCCACGACACTGACTGTAAGTACTGTCTACTTGCCGCTTGTCTATAAATACTAAATTTACTGGTTTATTTCAGTTGATGAAAAGAAGACTAAAACGTTGGACAACATTGTCAATGTAAAGAAGAAGGTGAAGGGAGAGATTCTAACACTAAAGGACAAACTGAAGCTGGCACGGGAAACTATCTCGAAATTTAAGGCGGAATTGGCCAAGGTGCAAAAGACACCTGCGTAATACCTGCATCTCCAGGCGACAATGTTGCTGCTGAGACAGTTTTGGGGGGCAATCTCAAGGGCATTAATTGAGGATCTATTAATATGAGGGAAAAGTACCGGGAGCATCTACGGCAAATGAGTGCACTGCTCTGCTCTTTCGTCCTACTTTTTATTAGTAATTATGGAAATGTAATTTGTAATTAATAAATTGATTGTAAGTTCGAGCATTGACTTTTTGGTATATGTTATTTGATTTGTTCGGGGGCTGTGCTCGAAACGTGAGGAAGAAGAATTTTGAAATTCTGGTGGCAAACTGCAAGCAGCTGGAACGTTTGATCCCTAACAATGAGATCATCAAATCAACGATGCCCTATGAGCTGTTATGCCGATTACCCAGGCTGCAACTAATTCCGACGTTTTACAAATTTTCGCGCGGAGTTGTTCTGGAACAATCGAACAATCGAATGCAATCGAACTATCGCGCTTCCAGCATCATCGCAGAGAGAATAATAAAATGCTATTGTTTATTTGACTTGTTGAGTGCATGTGCATGTCGGTGGCTTTGCTGAATGCTGAATTAAAAGACAATGATTTTATGGCTCGAATGTCGGGTCGTTAACGTATAATGTGCATAAACAGCGTACACATGGAAATGGATACATACAGATACATATAAAACGAATGGTGATGCGTGATTCTCGAGAGTGAAAATTATTAACTGCGCAAACGCAAACGCGTTTTTCAAGCCACCAAAACATACGAAATACAGTGAGTGTTATAGATTTGAATTAGACAGTGGCTATATATTTTTGGGTATACCTTACCATTTTGCAGTCCCCCTCAATGTCGTCGCTGACGTCGTCGCTTCTGCTTTTTTCGCTGCTGACGTCGTCGAGCCTGGAAGCAATTCCGGTTTTACAGCCATCATTCCCTCCTTCGTCGCCATCGCCCTCGCCAGGCGTGCGAATTCTTCGCGCACCCGAATCAATTGTGGCGCCCCTTGGAGATGAGGTGGTGTTCGAGTGCGAGACCAGTTTGCAGCCAGAGGGATTCGAGTGGAGCTATCGCCGCTGGCCGAATGCCGCAAATTCCAATGGATCCATGGGAGCCAGCCGATTTAAATACCTGAAATCGGGCAATGCCAAGCTGAATGTAACCCAAGAGTCCGCCATTTCCCGTCTGCGTGTCCTTGTGCGGCCAGACACTGTCGGCGAGTATCGGTGCATTGGTTGGTTTGGTCCTCTGGTGGTAACCTCCACCACGGCCAGGCTAGAGTTGGCCAGCACCAGCCTCAAGGGTCGGCAGGAGACCCACCAGCAGTGGCGTGTGGCCCCGGGAAACTCTGTCTTGTGGCCATGTGGTCAGCAAGTGCACTCCAATCCCTCAGCCAGCTGGTCCTATTATCGAAATGGAGTGGAAATCAAGCCAGAATTGGCTGCCACCAATGGAAATTTGTTTCTGACAAATGTCTCGACCGCCTCCGCGGGAAAGTACACCTGCCAGGCCACCAATCCGGCATCTGGAGCTCGTATAGAGATTCCCAGCTCCATGGAACTGGAGGTATGGCCCGGGCGAGGATCTCAGAATAAGGCACCCCATTTGCTGACTGGTCAGCCATCATCCCAGGCCGTAACCATACGGGAAGGAAGTACCCTGCTGCTGCTATGTCCCGGTGTGGGCTCGCCGCCGCCCACTGCCGTGTGGAGCAGTCCGGATGTGGTCGAGGCGATACACAACAAACGCACCAGCGTGCTCAACCATGGCCTCGAGATATCCAATGTCCAAGCGCACGACACTGGCACCTACATTTGCTACCTGGACAATGGCGTGCGCCCAACGCTCGAGCATTTTATCAATGTCACCGTGGAGGTGCCGCCTCGCATAACGCGTCCCCCGTGGGCCGAACTTACCAACGAGGGGGACCGCATGCAGCTGGAGTGCGAGGCCAGTGGAGTGCCAGCACCAGAGATCTACTGGCTGCTGAATGGAGAGAGCAGCATCCACGACAGCGAGGCTGAGCAGCTGGCCAATGGGTACCTGGTGCTGCAGAGCGTCCAGAAGCGTCACGCCGGCTATGTGCAGTGCATAGCCCGCAACAGGCTGGGCGAACAGAGTGCCGGTACGCTGCTGCAGGTGACTCCCAAGCCCCGGGAGACTGGCGGTAGTGTGGGCTCGGGCTCGGACTCCCATCGTTCAGCGAAGCCCATCAACCATGGCCAAAAGCCGACCAAGATGATCCCACCCTCGCCGCCAAATGTCACCCGACTGTCCGATGAATCGGTGATGCTGCGCTGGCACGTGCCGCGCAACGATGGCCTGCTCATCCACTTCTTCAAGGTGCAGTACCGAATGATCAGCGAGGGCAAGCGCAAAAACTGGCAGACGACCAACGATAATATACCCTATGGCAAGCCCAAATGGAACTCGGAGCTGGGCAAGAGCTTCACCGCATCGGTGACTGATTTGAAGCCACAGCGCACCTATCGCTTCCGCATCCTGGCCGTCTACTCGAACAACGACAATAAGGAGAGCAACACCTCGGCCAAGTTCTATCTGCAACCAGGGGCCGCCCTCGAACCGATGCCGGTGCCAGAGCTGCTGGAGATCGAGGAGTATTCGGAGACGGCTGTGGTGCTGCACTGGCGGCTGGACAGCGATGCCGATGAGCATCTAATCACGGGCTACTATGCCTACTATCGTCCCTCGTCGTCGGCCGGGGAATATTACAAGGCCACCATCGAGGGAGCGCATGCGAGGAGCTTCCAAATCGCCACCTTGGATGCCGCCACCATCTACGAGTTCAAGCTGCAGTCCTTTAGTGCCGTCTCCGCCTCCGACTTCAGCGCCCTCAAGCAGGGACGCACCCGGAAACTGAAGGCCAGCACCACGGAGGAGCCAACAATTCAGGGAGTCGGTGATCGGGACACAACCACGCCCAGCCACAACGAAACATTCAGCATGAGTCCCATGCTCACGGGCACGATCGGTGGCGGTGCCTTGCTGCTCATTCTGCTGGTTAGCGCCTTCCTGTGCCTGTGTCGACGCCGCAGCCCCCGTGGACGGGGACAAGCGCAGAACAAACCGCGCATGGCCGAGCTGCGGGAGGATTTTGTGCCGCTGGGCAGCTGCTCACCGAACAAACAGCGCCAGCGCACGCGGCACATTCACATTACCCTGAATCCCCTGGCGCAGCAGCAGCAACAGCAGCTGGACGAGAAGAACCCACCTGGCCTTGACACTGACAACGATATGACGTACTTTCAGCGACAACCCAGCTACGATTATGACCCGGGACTCCGGCGAATGTCCTCCTCCTCTCTACGTCGCTCTCAACGCACGCTGGAACGTGCTGGCGGTGGAAATTCCGGCGGCAACAACAATAATCTCAACCAGGCGTCCGAAGTTGGAACCACGGCGGATGGTCCCAGCAAGCCGGGACGAGTCATCCTGAAGCGACCGCGCCTCTCCAGCCGCTCGGAGAACCTCTCCTCCGGCAGCCTGAACAGCGTGGGCGTATAATCTCGTGATCTTTTTAGTCTGTACATCCCTATAGCCGATGTATCTAGCTATTCCTCTACCTCTGTTTTATCTCTGACTTCAAAATGACAAAAACCTTTACAGTTTGTACTTATACGCATACGACATAGTCTTAAGGTACTTAATTAGATTTTTATTAGATTTATGCATGCATGATCGTTTAAGAACATTGCATATTGAATGTCCACCGCTTCGTAAGTCTTCCAAATTTTGATATACGATCAAATTCTGTACTGATAGCTTCTTAATGATAATAAACGACAACTTCTTTTAAATGAGCGGGGCGTTCATTTTTATTTTTAAAAAGGGTTTTAAAAAAAAGGTTTCATTTAAATTTCGAAATTATTTCAAGTGCGAAGTGTGGCCGTTTTTCCGAGCCCAGAGCTATCGATGTGGAATGAACTCGACTATCGATAGGAAACCCCGAGAGATGACAAAAACACGATAAACTAAATTCTCAGCTGTCAGCCAATAATTAGGTCGTCGTCGTCAAAATTACTATTAGTAGCATTGTACATATTTTGGCAAAAAAAAGAAAGGGAAACAATTAGTTTGAGCCAAGACGAAGGTGTGCTAAATTAAAAGACAACGGTGGGAATACTGTCCGAGCTGCGAGATGGCCAGAGGCTAATGTTCTTATTGTTCTCTTGCAGAGGAGCAGGAAGGAACCAGCAGCAAGGCAAGGCCTGGCCCCAAAACAAAAGAAATCATAAAATTGCAGTTGGATTTGGAACGGGCCGCAACATGTCAAATCTATCAGTGGGACAGATGATAATGGACGCACAGCGTATGGCCAGCCGTGTCAAAGACTTGGATGCACTGGGGACGGCTCTGCTGGAGGAGGCGGAGACGAATCATCGCCTGGTGGTGAGCCTGAGGGAATACCAGGACGACATTGAGACCCTCAATCGCATCTCAAACAACAAGACGAACGCGGACATGGTGAATCGCATACAGCAGCAAAACATCAACAGCTCGGAGATACTCAAAGAGAATCGCGAGCTGAAAATCTGCATCGAAGACTACGAGCGGGCCATGGAGCTGATGATGCAAAAGTACCGCGAACACACAGTGACCAAGGTGCTGGACAGTAAAATCAACTTCAAGGAGCTCTACAACGAGCGCCTGTGGCAGGTGATTCGAGATCAACGCGAGAAAATCAATGAAATGGCCGCCGTCATGCAGCGGGCGGCCACCGTGGACGATGAGATCGTGCAACGGGAACTGCAGACCATATCGCAGCTGCGTATGGAGAACGAATCGTTGCGGGAGCTGCTCCAGATCTCCAAGAAGTACGGATCGGCACAGCGACCCATTCGCGAAAACGAGCACCTGCTCGAGGAGAAGTCGGTGCAAACGGACTGCTTGGCAGACGATTCGGCCGATGATCTATCTATATCGGGTGCTTCGGTGGAGAATGTGAATAACAATTCGGTCATACAACTGTACAGCAGTCCGGAGCCGGCGAAGAATACATCCAACAATAGCAACAGCTCATTCAACACTGCCCCAGCTCAGAGTCAGCCACAGCCGCAGCCACAGCCACAGCAACAACCACAGGCACAGGCACAGCCTTTGCCCACAGTAGTGCTGGAGGCACCAGAGCAACCGGAGACCAATGAGAATAACAACGGACCTGCAGCTAATCCAATCAGCGTGCCAGCCGTAACGACGCCAAATGATGCTGGCGAGGAGCAGGCAACTGCATCGGCTGCTGTTGCTGCCACCAGCGCAACATGATAGGTGCTATACCCCGCCGCACCACCAGCCTGGTTGTCATTCTGGTCGCTCGTCAATCTCCATTGTTACTTCATACGCTCTTCATTTCGATCGCTGCGCTGCTGTTGCATCCTATGTACCCCACACCCACATCCACACTCACGCCCCTACAAACCTCCCGTCCCCGCCCATACACACACTCATCAGCTCACACATGCAGTATATATATATACAAAAATATGTATGGGATAGCACCTGCATTAGCTCTTAGCGATTGATAATCTCTAAGTATTTATACAAACATATTAAAACATAATGTCTATACACGAATGTAAACAAAGCAAACATGAAGTTCATCATTAAAATAACAACAAGAACACACACACACCATACTCATCGTACTCACACAAACGAATGTACTCTGTCGATCTTATGATTTCGAAAATAAATTCCATTACAACTGAAGGATCTGCCCATGGGCAGATGTGTGGCATGGATCAGTAACATATTGAATCAAAGGAGTTGTCTACATTGTCCTGAAAAATATCTCCCTAACTTTTACTGAAGAATCAATGCAATAAATCCAGAAAAACTGATGGATATACAGAGAGCTGATGGAGTGGTATACATATGTAAAGCGTATAGATTTAAGGAGTTCTTGCAAAAGAAATAAACGTGTATTAAAAGTGAAGAATATTCCAAAATCGAGGAATTGTCTGGATCATCCTGAATTCCTTTGATTGCTTTGGGTTCTTCAAACCTTTGATTGATAGATCGTAATCCAAAATTAAAAAGAGAGTTTTTTTGCACAATTTTTAACTTTGGATGCAAGAAGCTCTGATTTTGCTACAAATTGCTCTCATCAGTTCGATCCCACCGCCGCTCTCTTGAGGAGAAGAGTGTGATGTGTGTGCCGGTGGCAGATATACTTTTCGGTTCTCCGACGGGTAGTTGAAGCATTCAGAAATGATTTAAATTTAGTTTCTCGTCGATTTTCAAAACGTTCGCATCGGAAAAAGTGCGAAGGAGCCTCTACGCCTCGGTTCGACTGGGCCATCGCGATTTGTGGCAGTGTGAAAGGGATGCAGCTATCTGTATAAGTATTTCTTTCGAGTGCTCGTGCGATCGGCGGTTATATTAAAGATATCCCACAGAATATACATATGTGGATAAATATGTATATACGTGCGGAGTGCGCGCGTGTGTAAGTGATTCAAGTGAACAAAATTAAATTGGAGAATCAGCATTGCGTGAATTCCATTCAAAATAATTGTAAACAAATATTCTGTAATCTGTGGAAAGCGAAATAACGAAAACAATCTATCTATCCATCAATATATCTATAGAGAACGCTCCGCTCTGAGGAGATTTATGGGAAGTGCGCTGCCATTTAGGAAAAAGAACGTGTTCTATTTTTAAAACACAGCTAATTTTTGTGGACGTAAATGTTTGTATTAAGTTAATATTTCAAAATTAAATCAAACAAAACGTGAGCGAAATCCCAGGGACAAGTGTCCGCAGAAGGAAACGTCTACCCCTGGATTCGCCCTGGATGTGGGAGATCTCTCCTACGTATGTGCCCCATATCCATCGTGTAATAATTATCCGCTGGTAAATGCTACTAAATAATCGGATGCAAAACGCACATCGTCTGGTGCGATTACGCAACGGATCTAGAATCTAGAATTCGTTTTTGGTGAATGAAAAATTCCGCACACCTTGCGGACGGACAGGACAGCGGCAACTGTTGGAGCAGAAGGAGGAGTAGGAGCAGTTGCAGCGGATGCTGCCCTCCTTCCCCAACGTCCAGCCTCAAGCCATTCTAAATGCGGAAATATTTTGTGTAAGTGCAAAAACGTTTTAAATTGTGTTCACAAATTTTTGCAAGTCCCAGTCCCGTGTCGCCGAACGCACAAAAGGAAACCTGAACGACACCGATGAAAATAGGTTAAAACGGTGATAATTATTTATAAACGCGCTAGGGATTTGCAACAGGGCCAATTCTCCTTCTCCTAACGGCACTCAGAACGTCATGTAAAAGAAAATAGAGAAGAACTCTCACCGCTTTCCTTCTCTCTCTCTCTTTGTGGAGAGACTAAAAGCTCTTAAGTTTTGAGTTCTCTTGAGGCTCTTGTTCAAATGTTGTTTTTGATCGTTTTTTTTTTGGCGCCAGAAAACATGCGCAGGCGGCACAATTTTTCCTGCGCAATTTCCACCTGTGATCGTTTATTTACTCAGCTCTCTCCATGCCGCTCTGAGAGAATTGATGGCTCTAAAAATATATACAAATATATGTACATGGATCGATACTTATATGTTATTGTTTATATTTACAATTTCTTTTGTTAATATCAATATTTGTACATACACAAGTATAAGGTAATTTTGGAGGCAACGAATGAGCCGTGGAAATACTCTTTCGTGCTTGGGGAGATTCATTTCAATTGGAGTTCTTCTATATGAGCCAATAAATAGGGCCAATAAATCCCAATGATAAATTTTATAATTAAAAACTTTTCACTCAAAAAGCAAACTTCTTTAATGTTTAAATTATTATCAAAGAAAGGAACCGCCCAACGAGAAGAGCTTTTTCGTACCAGGAAATTCCCAATGTATTTACCAACAACCAAATCTCCAACTCTTAAAAGTTAACCTATAGTTAAATGCTCTTTTAATTTCACTACTTCCTTAAAATAATAATAATGATATGTCAGAGTTCCAGAAATAAATCTGCATGGGTATGCCTTCACATGGCTACACGGCACAATAAAAATATCTTGAACTATTAAATCTAAAAAACAAGAGACCCATTAGTTCTGAATCGAATAGATCTCTGGTTTTATAGATTTAATTTCTGCTCTGAAACCAATATTTAAGTTGGCCCCTGAAAATGTTCTACTTTTTGATGTACTACAACATTCTTTTGTTGACTTGGATAGATGCCAGACATTCCACCATTGTGTTCAGAATCGGTCAATAGAAAAATGCTGATGGTGCGATTAATAGATGTGTATACACACACTAATACTTGGGGGCTGTGCAGTAACAAGACATAATTTCTACAGTTTGCTTGAAAATTACAGAAAGAGAAAAGCTGATAAGTTGTACAAGAACAGATGCATCATCTGTATCCATCGCTGAAAGGCGATCAGCTATGCCCACTCGGCTTCCATCCCCAGACACGCTATCCCACACGATGTAAGCGTTGCTTTCGGGACTACAAGGAGCATGGAGCCCGTCGACCTGGCGAAGAAGTGGCCGCCTCATCACCAAATCTCTCCGATGCCCAGAGTTCGCGGTGCGTATTTATTTTGAAATTATAATTTTGTGAAAAATAAAATATTGCTCACGTTTCTAAGGCCTTCCTCTCGAACATGGACTTCGACGCAGAACCTGAGCCTCAATTCAAACAATAGCAATGATATAGGTACGAATGGAAGCGTTCTATGGATCCCTTTAACATCTTGTTTCAAAGTAGAATTGTGTTCATAACATAGAGCTGTTTACTTTGGATTAATGGAATGCATTAGGCTGAATTCGGCTAACCACAAACCAAAGATTTCGAGACCATTAACAGAGTACAATTTTGTGTATTCGAATATTGAACACTTTAATGTTAAATGTATGAGCCATTGTGTGTATTTGTGACTCAAATTAACTTTGTGTAGTCCATCGCTCAATAGATCAAACCAGATATTTATTAGTAGTAGTAACCCAAATCAGATTTATATTTGAGCTGATTTTAAGTTCAAGAGTTCAAGTAATTTATCACATACTTTAAATCGGTTTTAAATTAACCCCACAAGGAATTCATTTATCGAATTGCTGGTACAGTCAAATAATTATGACCTTTCTTCCAAGTGTTAAGGCTTCTAAAAACAAATGTTTTTATACCGTTAATCAATGTGTTTGTCTACGTTTTTTTTTTTACACTCAACTCACGTTCTGCGCTTGCACCAAACAAAAATCACCAAAAACAACTGCACCTGCAACTGTGCCGTCTCTATCGTCTCTCTCTCTGTCTGTCTCTCAACACTAATCACTGCATCAATCAACCGTTAATATGTTAACTACTACCAATCATCAAAACGTGACCTCGTGTGATCTCGCTCGCTCCCGCTGTTACGCCGGTGCACGTTTACACTGTGTGGACTATGTTCGTCCTGCTCACACTATGTGGACTACATACAAACATGCTGAACGTGCCGAAAACTGCAACTTGCTCTTGCATGCACTTTGTCCACGACGCTTTCACTGAGCCCAGTTGTTCACTTCAATGTAGAGCTAAAGAAGCGTCCACAGTCCTGGGCCTCCACGCCGGACATTGATGATCCGGCGCAGCAGTCGGCGGCCCGCCGGCCATCGACAACGTCGGGCAACATTCGAGCCGCCGATGATCATAATGTGGCTGTTACGTTCAAGTTGCCGGTGGCGCCGCGTCGTCATACGACCGCCTTGGACATCAAGGAGGTGAGTGCAGAAAAGTAACACCCTTGACACGAAGATTATTTCTAATTGTTTGCGTACCTTCTCTGCAGGTGGAACAAGCGCTCACCCCATCATCATCATCATCATCAACCCGTGTCACATCCTCACCCAGTAAAACTTCAAGTATTCCAGATGAGTTAGTCATCCTATCGACAGACAGTCTAGCCGAGCGTGTCCGCAAAATGAATCTCCTCAAGAAGCAGCGCAGCCTGAACTCGCGGGAAAACAGTCGAGAGCGATCCGTACCCAGGCGTGAAGAGTGAGTGGTGGAACTTAACCGGTGGCTTAGCTCTGATTCTGATTGATTCCAAATCTCTCTCTGTCTTTCAGGGACAGTGATTCAGCGGCGGCAGCACCGCCGGCAGTTCCGGATCGTCCAGAGCGTAGCAAGTCGGGTACTTCCTTGAACCAGAATCCACCGCCACAGGCGGAACTGAAACGCGCCTCGCTGCCGCCCAAGAAAGTGGCTGCGCCACCGACAATCACAGTCACAAGCAGCAGTGGTGGTGGTGGCACAACCACAACGAAAACCACAAGTGCAGTCTCCAGCGAGGTCAAGGCTTCATCTTCCTCGAGTTCCACCACCAGCTCCAGTTCCACTCGTCGCAAAGAGGCGGATGCAGGGCAGACCAGCAAAGAAATCAAAAGACAAACAGTACCCACGAGCAGCAGCAGCAGCACCACCACCACCAAGGATTCAGGGGCAATGCAGGAGCAAATGAAAACACTGCGAAGCGAGCTGGATACCATGAAGGCACGCGCCGAACGAGCCGAGAGGGATAAGAGCGACATACTGCTGAGGCGTCTGGCCTCCATGGACACGTCATCGAACCGAACAGCCGCCTCGGAAGCCCTCAATCTCCAGCAGAAGCTGAATGACATGAAGGAGCAGCTGGACCGTGTCAGCGAGGACAAGCGCAGGCTGAATCTACGCATGAAGGAGCTGGAGAACAGGGGCAGCGAGTCGGAGCTGAAGCGCAAGCTGCAGGCGGCCGAACAGATCTGCGAGGAGCTGATGGAGGAGAACCAGACGGCCAAAAAGGAGATACTCAATCTGCAGGCGGAGATGGACGAGGTGCAGGACACGTTCCGCGATGACGAGGTCAAGGCCAAGACAAACCTGCAAAAGGACCTCGAAAAGGCCACCAAGAACTGTCGCATCCTGAGCTTCAAGTTGAAAAAGAGCGACCGAAAGATCGAAACCCTGGAACAGGAGCGTCAAAGCTCCTTCAATGCCGAGCTATCCACCAAGGTAAAGAAGCTGGAGGAGGAGCTGCGCTTCTCCAGCGAACTGACAAGAAAGTTGCAGGTAAGTTTCGCAACTGCCAAGCCAGAAAAGGAATCTTTCAATGGATGAGATAATCCCCGATACAGATCGAGGCCGAGGAGCTGCGCAATCCGGGCAAGAAGAAGGCACCCATGCTGGGAGTGCTGGGCAAGTCCACATCGGCGGATGCCAAGATCACACGTGAGTCGCTAACACGCGGCGGCTCCCAGGAGGATCCGCAGCATCTGCAGCGTGAACTGCAGGACTCCATTGAGCGGGAGACGGATCTGAAGGACCAGCTAAAGTTTGCCGAAGAAGAGGTAATCCAATGCCCCCAAATGTCCCAGCAGAGCCACTCGATTAATCATTCGACCATTTTACGCGAAGCTTCAGCGACTCGGGGCCAAGCGTGTTCAATTCAGTTGCGGCACTCAGACCACACCCGAGCTGCCGCTCGAGGCGTTTGCCTTTCCGCGTGCCACTCAGACGGCGGCCATAGAGCAGTGCGATGCCAACACCAGCACGGAGATGTCCGGACCCTTAGCTGAGGCTCACAGCCAAACCGATTTCGAATCGATTGCCAGAAATGCATCGTGCGAACGGGAGACGACTCCGTCGCCATTTGTGTCGCTCTTTGCACCCTCCACATCCGGCAGAGTGGGCCAATCGCGTTCTCTGCTCTTCCCCAGTGCCATTTCGCATGTTCTTCTGAATGGAACAGGTAGAAGATCTCCAGAAGATCTGTCCAGTGCAAGCCATTTGCTGATATCTTTATGTTTTGTAGTAGCAGTCTCCATGTTCCGTTCGAGCTTTCGTTTATGTAGCAAAACTATTTTGATCCTCGAAAACGATCTGTAGATGGGTTCCACCATTAACCGTGCTCTAACCTTATTCCTTACCATTCAGATGCAAATAAATGATGCGAGATTTTTGTGTTTCAGGCTGAACATCTGAGGAAAAAGGTGACTCGTTTCGAGGATGAAAATGAGTCTATGATGATGCAGTTGAAAAAAATGGCAACGCGCTCAAGAAGTACGAACTTTCTCTCTTACTAAGTACTTAACCTTAGTTTATAGATCAACAAAACAATTAATTCACTTAAACTATAAATAACTTCGTTCAGTTCATTCCATTTCAAGCTGCGGTCACACCACAAACGCTCTGAAATTAGAGTGACCAAAGCAGCAGTGTATTGGGATTCCCCCCGCATAAATTGCAATACTTATGTATAATTTCTAACTCGAAAGAACGCACCAAAACGTTGCCCCTAACCAAAACTAATGTGATTTCTCATGCGCTTTTTGTTGAATGAATCATTAGCGCTGATCCAGTAAATTCTTGCCATTTTTTTGCGGCTGCTCATTAATTAGTGTTCTTACTAAATAAAGCATCCCACTAACAGAAGCAACTAACTGAACCGAACCTCTATTAATGTGCGTTTATTGTGTATTCCCCTGCAGCACGCAAGCTGAGTCCCACACCACATGCCCATCGACTGGCGCCCGAGGTGCATGCGGATCGTGATGAGGGCATCTCCGACGAGGATGATCCAGCCGAACTGCGCATCCTGCTGGAGCTCAACGAGCAGGAGGCCTCGATATTGCGCCTCAAAGTGGAGGATCTGGAGAAGGAGAATGCCGAGTCCAAGAAATATGTGCGCGAACTGCAGGCCAAACTGCGACCGGAGGCTTCTAATGGCAGCAAATCATCGCTGCTCAGCTTTGGCAGCTCCGCCTCCAGTGCGGCCGAAAAGAAGCTGAAAACCCTGAGCGAAGAGTTGACGCAGCTGCGGAAGAGCCTGCAGGACAAGGAGCAGACAGTGGACACCCTGAAGGAGCAGCTGAGCAAACTGAGCAGCCTGGAAACGGAGAACGACAAGCTGTCGAAGGAGAACAAGCGTCTGCAGACGCTGCGCAAGGCCAACGAGAAGACGGGCGAGGCGGATCTGTCCAAGATGAAGGAGACTCTGACGGTGGCCCAGCGGGAGAGGGATGAGCTGACGGCCAGGCTGAAGCGGATGCAGCTGGAGGCCGATGCCAAGTTGCCGGCACGCACAGCCAAGCGGGTCAACGACCTGACGCCGAAGAGTCATCTGAAAAAGTGGGTGGAAGAGCTGGAGGACGAGATCAGCGAGATGCGGGTGATGCTCAGTTCGAGTGGCGCCGATCAGGTCAAGGCCCTAGAAGCAGCCAAGGTATCGCTCGAAGAGGAGCTGCAAAAGTCCAAGAAAAAGCTGGCCCTGGCCGAGGGCGATGTCCAGCGACTGAAGCTCGTTAGTGGCTCAAGCAGCAAGGTCACCGATCTGGAGCAGAAGCTGAAGCGCAGCGATGAGGATGGCAAGAAGCTCGGCACCAAGCTCAAGGAGCTGGAGGAGAAGCTCAAGAAGCAGGACGTCCAGCTGAAGCAGAGCGAGACAAACAAATCCACCCTGGAGACACAGAGCAAGCGAGAGAAGGAGAAGCTGTCGAGCCTGGAAAAGGATCTCGAAAAGCAGGCCAAGGAAAAGGAGAAGCTAGAGTCCAAGATCCTCCAGCTGGATACGGATCTTCTGGCAGCCAAGAAGGCCGCGGAGAAGACCAAATCCAGTCTGGAGAAGGACATCAAGGATCTGAAGACCAAGGCCAGTAAATCGGACAGCAAACAGGTGCAGGACCTCAAAAAGCAGGTCGAGGACATCCAGACTTCGCTCAGCGCCGAACAGAAGCGCAACGAGGATCTCAACACCCACTGGGAGAAGCTGTCCGAGGAGACAATCCTAATGCGGGCACAGCTCACCACCGAGAAGCAGAACCTCCAGGCCGAACTCAATGCCAGCAAGCAGAAAATATCGGAAATGGACACCATACGCATCGAACGCACCGACATGGCCCGCAAGCTGAACGAGGCGCAGAAAAAGATTGCCGAACTGCAGGCCAAGACCCTAAAGACCGGCAACAGCAGCGACCACGAGCGTAGCATGCTCAAGAACAAGCTGGCCGAGAAGGAGCACGAGTACGAGCGTCTGCGCAGGGAGAACGAGATGAACATCGATCTGGTGTTCCAGCTGCGCAAGGACAACGATGATCTCAATGGCAAACTGAGCGACTACAATCGGATCGAGCAGGCGCAGGTCTCGCTCAACGGACACGGCGCCAGAAGGGATGCAGAGATCAGGGAGCTAAAGGAGAAGTAAGTTGTCAATCATAAACAATAGGAACTATATATATATGACCTATATATGTTGGTTGGTACAATTATTCTCTTTGCTGTGCTCCTGTCTCGTTTATTTTGTTGTCCGTTATTCTTGTCCATTGCCTATTCTATATTCTTTTGCGAGACACGCTCATAGAGGATCGTATCAGCTTGAACTCTAAAACCAACCTATACATTGCTTTCCATCAAACAGAGTACAGAGCACCGAGCTGCAGATGAAATCCGAGGTGGCCACCACACGTCTGAGATACGAGCAACAGGTAAGAATCTCAGCGGAGAGCTCAATTCGATGCAGGTAAGCAGTGCTAAATATTCCCTTTATTGCTGGAAACTGATTCGTTTGCCATAACAGCGGCAATGTGAACGCTTCAAGAAGGATCGCGACGCCTTCAAGCAGATGTTAGAGGTGGCACAGAAGAAGATCGGTGATCTGAAGGCCAACAATACGGGCAGACAGAGCCGGGGATCCATGCACAGCAGCGATGATGATGACAAAAGCAAGATTGCCTATCTGGAGCAACAGGTGAAGCGATTACCCAGTCCCGTGTCATTCCGCATAGATTCGAATTCCGTTTTGTAGATTGGTCATCTGGAGGATCAGTTGGTGGAGTCACGCCTGGAGGGTAGCAAGGTGAAGACGGAGCTCGTGTCCGAGCGCAGCGCCAACGAGATCAAGATATCGGAGATGCAGTCGAAGCTGAACGAGTTCGAAGAGGAACGCGTCATTGGCTCCGGGAGCACAAAGCTGCCGGGCATGAAGACAAAAGCTGGAGTTGTCCTGGCAGAAGGAGCGCGAGGATCAGCAACGGCTGTTGCAAGAGACCTCCACCCTGGCCCGGGATCTGCGACAGACTCTGTTCGAGGTGGAGCGCGAGCGGGACAAGGAGCGGCTGGAGTCCAAGCGTAAGCTGGATCAGATCAAGCGAGCCACCGAAGAGGAAATGGAGGAGGGACGCAAGAAGATCGCCGAGCTGCAGTGCGATCTCCTCGAGCTGCGTGACGTCCATGCCAAGCTGCGCACCTCCAATGAGAAGCTAAGACGCGAAGTGAGTATTCCATCAGGCAGCTTCTATGGCTTCTATGGTTACCTGCAATCCCATCCCATTGCAGCGCGAACGCTACGAGAAGGAACTGATCAAGCGTCGCATGGAGGCGGATGGCGGTGATCGCAAAGTGGGCGCCCTTCTGCAGACCGTTGACGAGCTGGTGAAGATCGCTCCAGACCTGAAAATGGCCCGAAGCAGCTACGACAACACCCTGCGTCCGGAGCAGCCGAATGTGCGACGCAGTCGCAGTCCCTCGCCCACGCTGAGCAGCACACAGATCAGCACCGTGCTGGCCCGGCTGGCCGAGGCCTCCGAGGAGCTGCGCAAGTTCCAGCGGCTGAACGAGGACGAGCAGGAGCGCAGTCGCATACGGCGGGGCAATCTGCGACGTGCTGCCTCGCAGGAGAACGATCACCATGGCAGCACCAGTTCGGTGGCCAGTGGGGCGGGCTCCCAGCGGGGCGGCGGTGGTCGTTTGTCCCGGAATTCGGGCAACAATGGCAGCCTCATACGCAAGAGCCTGTCGCTGGACCACTCCATACAAAGGGATCAGGTGAGCAGAGCATTTAAATTTGTTTCGAAGATAAATCCCCATCCGTTGTCATACACCTCATAGAACATTTGGCGCCAGGACGATGGCAGTGTGTCCTCGATGCAGTCCATTGACTCTGAGCTGGGCGGTCTGGTGCGTGACTCCAGCCTGGACTCACGCCTCGACTCGCGCCTGTCTGGGGGCTCCACACAGAGCGACATACCGCGAGGGCCACGAAAAAAGAAGAAGGGCATCATGGGCAAGCTGCGCAGCCTGACCAAAAGCAGTCGCAATTCCGAGAGTGAAATATCGGTAGGACTTTAAACAATAAACAATACTTTCGAGATGTCTTTGATCCTCCTTTCTATTGGCAGATTCAAGGATCCGACTCTGACATCAGCGTTGCCAGCGACATGAGATCCAGCAAGAAGGATCTGCGCGGACGTCTCTCTGGCATGTTCAAGCGCTCGGGCTCGAACTCACGCAGCGAGAGCATGGAACGGCCCGGCACCGAACACAGGCCAGTGGCCGTCACCGTTGTGGGACATCCCGATGGGCCCCAGCCCCGCGAGCCACCGCCTGCCAATTCCCTGACACCCAGACCCATACGTTCGGTAAGAATACAGAATACATTTATGATATTTTCCAATGGAATTGAAACTGTTTTCTTTTTAGATCCCGAAACCGCCCAGTGGCACCAGTCCCGCCACACCCAGACGCCGTGTAGCCAAGTAGTAGTCATCACATCGATTCGTAGGATTCATTCTAATCATAGCCATACAAATGTTCGTTCAAATCACTCCCCCCAACTGCAGTTTACCAGACCCCACCCCTATCATGCCATTTCATTAGATTTATTCGTTGATTTTTAATGATTTTACTTGATTTTTAGTTTTTTTTATGAAATCTGCAACAAAAATAAAGTCATCTTTTTCAGAAAAAAAAAAGCACCTCTGCATTTTACTTCTGAAATGAAATTGAAGGAATTGTAAATCAGTTGACAAAATCTAGTAGCATATCCAAAGAAAGACCAACATTTTTGTAGACCAATCCAGCGGCGAGTATACCCATGACAATGGGACATGTGGCGTCTTTATAGCCCGAGAAAGATTTTGGTTTCTCCAGATGGGCCACGAAAAACGAAACGGAACTAAGCAGAAATAATACCACAAGTTCCAGCATTGTGAAGCGTACCTTAATTTACAGATTCGAATTTCCTTATTAAATTTCGAGTATAATGTAACTAAAAGGAACGGCTAATATTTTCTGATATAATCAAGGGCTGCTATTTCTGAACAAATAAAAAAAATAAATATGCGCTTCTGTTTCTAAACTGAAAGCTCCTATATTCATTTCTAACAATTTTGTCAAGTCCTATGGAGCCCAATCAATCAATGAATTTGTTAAATAAAAAGAGTGAGTGACATTTATTCTATTTACTTGCAATTTATGTATATATTCAAAGTATTTTGTTTTGCTTAAAACTTGTTGTTTTGTTGTTTTTTTTTTTTTCGTTTGTTACTTTTTTCTTTGCATTTTTTCTTGTTTTTTTTTTTTACACACTACATTAATTTTCTTTTGTTAAACATAATTTTTGTTTGTTTGTTTGAATTTATAATTAATTTCTTGTAGTTTACTTATTGTTTTTATTTGTTTCCTTTAAATGAATCAAAAAAACGTTTACGTTACGTTGAACTTTCTTAGGGGGCAAAAACAATGTTGTTCATGTACTACTATAATCGTGTATGTACGCGAGTGTGTATAACTCATTCGTTTTGATCTTGTGTTCAAAACGAAAACCAATCCAATATGCAAAACCAAAATGTTGTTTGAAGTTGCAATTTGATGTCATTTTTTAGTACGGTACGTGGCATGCTCAAACAGATAAACTAAATCGATTGATTGGATAGGTCTTGCTTGAGGGACGACTGGGACTGGATGAATTCGTTTGCTTGGGCTGGGCTGGGCTGGGTTGGGTTGGGTTGGGTTCTTTGCGAATTTCGAGGTGTTCAAATCTAGTACGAGAGACGTATGTAGGGGGTACGTTGCTTTTGTTTTTAAATTTTGTTTGTTTTTTTTTATTGTTATTTTCCTAGCATTGTATGTGTTGCATCGAGTTACATTTATACATTTATGCAAATTTTTGGTTTGGGTATTACTTTTCATTTCTGTCGGTTCAACTTGCGTTTCCTGTTCTCTCTCTCTCATTCCTCCACATTCCTCACCGTTTGTGTGACTTGTATTTCTTTGTATAAATCTTTTTTTTATTATGGTGTGGTTTTTATAGTTGCAAATGGCTCTCTTGTTCTGCGTTTAAAAGTTGTTCAATTATTATATTGTTCAAGTGTTTCCTTCGTTTCGTTTCATTTCGTTTCGTAACAAATGCCCTTACATCGCTTGTATTCGTTTTTGTTTTGTTTTGTATGGTTTCTCTTATGTATGTTTCCTTATTTCCATTTTGTTTTGGTTTTTCTTCCCATTTTTTTTGTTTTGTTTTGATATTACTTAGGCACTGTGTTCGTATTACATTAAAGAATTAATTTAAAATTTAAATTTAGGTATGTATAAATACATTGTAAAAAATTTCTTTAAGTTTATCGTAAACTAAAATCTTGCAACACTATATGTAGTATGTACTTCGTATTTACTCTCTTTTTTTTAATTTTTAGTTATTCCCTTATTATTTTTTGTTAGCTGCTTCTGCCCTCTGCTCTCTGCTTCATGTATGTATGTATGTAAGTAAGTCCTTGCATCTATGTTTTTTGTAAGTTAAGTTAAGTTAAATCCTGTCCTCAATGTTTAATCCTTAATCCATGGTTCACGGCTGTGTTAATCGAATGTTAGTGTTTAACTCCTACTACTATATAAGTATCTCCCTGTCGGTAGCACTCTCCCTTCCTCTCTCTCTGTCTTTCTAGCCTGATTTAAAAGTACACGTAGAAAAGTCTAAGAAAAAACCCAAAAGTCCCCGTCGTTTGATCTCGTTTCAAATGGAAAGCCTGGAACCGTAGTTTTACGAGTATTTTTGTGTGTATATTCCCTCCTTTCATTCCTTTCAGCTCTCAACTCGCAACAACACTTATATGCCTAAAAATCGTTACAATCTGATTTTACAAGTAGCTTCCTATATATGTATGTATGTATGTATGTATATGCAGGTGTAGGAGGCGTAGTATGTGTCTCTGGGGGGGTGGCTAGGGCTAATCATACATACAACATTTGTATGATAAGTACAACTAACTGTTCAGTTTCATTTTCAATACGCGTATCAGTATCAGTTTAAGATTTCAGTTTTTTCCCAACTTTTTCGTTTTGGTAAAAAATTCAAAATTCATCGAAAGTTCTCTTTTCATTTGGCTTACGAACATTTAACTGTCATTCATCTAGGTTCGGTTCGGTTTGGATTCTTCCCATCCATTCTTATAGCCTGCTTAGCCGTTTGATTTTTGTGTGGTGTATTGATATCCTAATACTTTCAGTTCTATGCTATATGATTTGTTATCTGCTCATCAAAACAATCGAAAAGAAAAACGCTTTGTAAATATTGAACCGAAAAATCCCTCTTCTAATTTACAGAATAGTATATCCGAAACAAAGAGAAGAAATAATTTGTGTGTGAGTGTGTGAAACATAATCCTTATACGAACTTATGCTGGGTAGCCTATTTATTCATCTGAGTCTCAATCGTGTTACGAGCTTTATAGTTTTTGTTTTCTTGTTTTTAAACTGTTGTATGATTTTACGTTCAACTCCCCCGCGGGTGTTTCTATCGGCCTTAAACTGCTTCATTTTGTTGCATTTTGTTAACAGTCTCAATTTTGGTTTTTATTTTATGTTTTTTTTTTTTTTGCGTTTTGTTTCGTTTCGGTTATGTTGCATAGTTTTTCTCTTTTTTTTCTGCGTTTTTTTCTTCCGTATTTTTGTCTATTTTGTAGTTATCATTATATTATTATCATCTACATACAAATTAGTTTTGGTTCACTATTCTCTGCATTTGTTACATTTAAAATTACCATATACCATATACATACATACCTCGTTTAGAATTTATGCTTAAGAACGAACCAAAGTGTGGGGCTTAGAAATGGATGTGTGTGTGTGTGTGGTGTTGGTTTTTTTTGGTTTAACTAATCAATAAACAATTTGATGCACTATAACAATCATCATTCAGCTGCGACCTGACCTTCCCTTATCCAAGTAGATTTGTGCCCCCCCTATCATCATCATCATCATCATCATCATTAATCCATAAACATGAAAGTGTTGTCCCTATAATACGAGTATTAATGCGAAAGGAATCTCTTAAAAATCAATCATACGAGTAAAAATACAGATACAAAACATGCCACCCACATACTCGTCTATATATATATATAGATGGTATATATGCTAGTTGATCTTTAATCTTATTGAGTTTCTTTATCATTTATTTAATCTCGTTTTTGTTGTTGTTGTTGTTTGTTTGTTCTTGTTTCTTGTTGATTTTTTGTTTTGTTTTGTTTTGTTGTTCTTTCTTCGTGTTCGCGCGTCTTGCCCTATATAAATTTAGTCATTACAAAAAGGTGTCTTAGGTGGAATCGTTTTGTCTTAGGAATTTAGCTTAGATATCTGTTAAATCTCATCTTATTTCAAATCATTCTAGTTTTAATGGCTAACAGTACTTCATTACATAAAAACAACTTTGCAGGAAGGCCTGGGGGGCTGGTTAGAGTTGGGTAAATTGGGAGGGAGTGTTGTATTGGTGTTGGTGTTGGCTGGTATTTGTATCAGACAAAAACACATTTAAAATTCTAGCATATTTAGAAAAAGATCTATTTGTTGCTAGCTCGTCTCGTCTCGTTCGATAGATAGATAGATAGATCGATCGATCGATCATTCAGTTTGTTAATCGCTTAGCTTAACTATGGGGTACCAGTCGAAATATCCGATTCGGAAACAAATTCGAGAGAACTTAAACGTTAGAACTATAGACCGAAAGCACTGATAAGTATCTTGTTCGTCTCTCCTCACCCTAGAGCCTATGTAGTATATAGTAGTATGTTTTGTATGTTCGTACGTAGAGCTATACAATGTACACAACGCATTTGCTTCATTGGTTTTGGGTTTGCATTTTGGCGCATCATTTCATTCGTATATTAGCTTATCAGTAAGTAGAGATACTCGTATGTAAATTAAATAACCCTTACATTATTGTTTCATTCATGGTTCTTATGATCTGATTCTGATTTCGATTACGATTTCTCATCTGCATTGGAAACGTCGAAAAGTGCAAAACAAAACAAATTCCCATCGAAAAGTAAAGGCAACAACGTTACAACGTTAACGAAAAATCAATCCAAATCAATAGTAGAGCCGCCGCCCGCCTCTTTCCCTCCCCCATCGTGTTACGATAAAGAAACCAACAATAATGAAAGAACCAAAAACCATATACACACCAAAATGACATCAAAACGTAACTAAAAAACGAACAAAAGAATCCTATCATTTTGGTTCCTTTGCTTCTGCTGTGGTGCTGGTGGTCTCCGGATGTCTGGACATAACTTTACGATTCGATCTGTTGCACTTGGACTTTGTTTTCTACAACAGTGTGTGTGTGTGATTGTGTGTGTGTGTGTGTGTGTGTGTGAGTGCTGACAAACATTTACACTTAATTTTAGCTTTCTCTTAATTTTGTTTCATCTGATTTTAGCTTGAAAGTGCAACACTTCATTTATTACAATATTTAGATTTATATTACCTTTAAATTGTTATATGTTTATATATAATTATATGTATATAGTATATATATAGTTGTATATAGTAAGTATTCATATATATATATATAATTTTGTTTTCTTTTTTACCTTTACGATGCACATATATTGTATGTAGTTTTCATTTTTCAATAGGTCGTTACTTTTAGATTAATCAAAACCAAACAAAAAAAAAAGAAGGATTTATATTGTATTAAAATGGAAAATAAAAAGGTAAAATAAATGAAATTGTTTTACAATTAACAGTCAGTGTGTGTTTTGTCATCTAAATAATTGTTTCCCCCCATATACCTCCCATCCATCATGTATCTGGGATCTAAGATTTAATTTTACTCTAGTATTGGACAACTTGCCTTATAATTCTTCTTGACAATGAGAACGGAAATCATGTGTAAGGTGTGTTATCCTCAGTATTTAATGAATAATAATCATAATGTTTCAGCTTATAAAATTACATCAGGTTTCTTTGCTTGCAATTTCGTCAACAAAATCTTCGACTCTGCTCTGTCTATTCTCATTCTGCTCCCTTTGCTGCTTCCTCTAACGGGTCTTTGGTGTTGCGAAACAGAAATGATAAAAAACGCCAAAAACTTTTGTCTTCTCATCCTCCACCACACTCTTCTCACTTACGTCTGTCCATTCACGACGCCTCCACCTCGCCTGTTGACAGACAGCCACCACCGCCAGCCAGGATCGACCACACTATAGACCTTCTCTGGATCATTATCGATAAAGCGATACACAATCATGCACAGACAAGCACACAGCACACACGCACGCAAGCAAGCACACAAAGCTGCTGCTGCTGCGGCCAAGTAGAAAAGAAAAAAAGATTCAAATTCGATAAATGTTGGTTGTTTTTTTTTTCAAATATTGTTTTTTTTTTTTCAAAAATCGAAACGTATTTCACACGTTCTACTTTACTTGTTTACTTGCTTATTGTTTTTGCATTGTTTGCTTTTGTTTTGTTTTTTAAAAAAATTTAAAATTATTTATAAAATGTAAGCATATGTATTTGTAATTTAAACGAAATTAAATTAGGAATTTATATCTGTAGGATTTGTTTGTGGGGTTGTTTGTTTGTTTGTAAGATTTAAAAATTATACGAAGAACACTAAGCAATAAATCACCGAAAAATAAAGTAAAGTATTTGTTATTGTATATTGTAATTAAATGTATGTATTGTAAGTTGTTTTTCTTGTAAATAAACAAATTAAAAATTAGTGTATGATATTTTAATAGAAAAAATTACTTCATATTTATATAAGAATATATATAATATATGTGTATGGTAAATGTATTAGCATATAATATGTGTTTCTCCTTTTGCTTTTGTTGGTTTTTTTCTTTCCATCTTTCTTTTGTTTTGTAATAATAAATTGTAAAATCGCAATCATATAATCATCATTAAAATAGTTTTTGCTTTCATCTTGTTTTACACACACATCGCACGCTCCCCTACTAAGAGAGCGTGCAAAGTAGTTAAGAGTAAATATGTATAAGTAATTAAAGATATATATATATGTTATGTATATAATCAATCAAAGTTTTTCTGCTTGCTGTTGTATGCAATTATTTTTTCTTCCTTTTTACTTTCTTTCTTTTCCTTCATCTTTCATCTTTCACTTTCCTTTCTTTCTTTCTTTTTTTTTTTTTCCATTGTCTCTGCCTCGCTAGTGTGGTTTTCAGGTTGTTGTTGTTGTTGGTAAGTGAATGGGTGGGGGGTGTGCGCGCATGTTGTTCATCTTCAGGCGGTGTTGTTCTGTAGAGTGGCCACACACCCTCCCTCCCACCTTCTGGTTGTCGTTAGATGGATGTTCTTCTCTTCCGGCGGCTGTTGTTGTTCTTGTCTGCTTGGCAAACGATGAAAATTTGAAAAAAATGTGCAACGCAACTCTAAGCATCGTTTTTATCTCTCTCTCTCTCTCTGGTAACTTTTGTCCTCAATCCTTATTCCTCTCTGCCTCCCTGCTTCCATTTTTATTATCATTAACTGTAGGTTTAAATTTACGTTTCCTTTTGCTCTTTTTTTTACTCTTTTTCTCGTTTGTTTTGTATATATACTCGTTATATATATGGTATATAAGTATGTATGTATATAGTTTTTATGTATATTTGTTAAGAGTGTGGTTTCGTATTTTTTGTGGTTTACGCTTCTCATATCTCATATCCATTAAGCATTTTACTTCTGCTAACTTTCCGCCTGCCTTCTCAGTATCGGTAGCATTTCACTTTCTCTTTAACTAAATAATAAATCCAACGCACTATATAATTCTAGTTTCAAGTTCAACTTTCGCTTAGATGTAAACGACGACATACGCTTATCAATTAGGTTTCTTTATATATGTAGTTTAACTTTTAGCTAGTTTTTGTTTTGTTTACTTTAAATGGTAAATTTTTAATTTTGTAACGTATCTTTCTCGTATCGTTTCAGCCTCCGACCTTATCCGCGCATCCATCTCATCTATCCACCCACCCACCAAGCGATCAATCAAGCAATAAAACAATTTTCAAACAGAATGAGTCATGGCCTAAGGGCTAAGGCAAGCCACCAAAAAGAGAGTTCTCGGAATTTCAATGGATTCGATTCCTTTTCAAACTCCCCCCATTGGGACTAAACCTTGTCGCCCCTTTTGTCGAGTGGTGGGGATTTACTGTGTGTGTGGATGGGCTGTGTGTGTGTGTGAGTGTGTGCGCAGACGAGGCCGGTGGCTGGCCGACTGGCTTTTGCATTAAAATGTACAATTTCGAATTTGTATTTACTAATTTTAGTAATAAAGGGATCTTTACTTGTTTACGCTTTAAATAAAATTAGAAGTTCTTATTTCCTTTTGTTGGTATTTCGCACACTTTTCATCCATGATCTTGTGTCTAATTAGCTAAACTTTATACTTGTAAATCATTACGTTTAAATCTTCACAATTCTATATTTTGTTAATGCCATGTGTTTCGGTACCTACGGGCTCTGGGTTGTTAGTTCTTCTAGGTTTCTTGGTTTCTTGTTTGATTGGTTGGATGGTAGTAGGTATAGGTAAATGTTGGCTTAGGATACAGTAGGATATACAGTACGTTTGGTGTGGTGTAAGTGAGTGTTGATGTTGTTTTTTGTTGTTGTTGTTGTTGTTGCCTATGAATTATTACATACTCATTGCTATAGAACATACATGTTTATATATATATATATCTATGAATCTGACTTGTCGCTAGGTATTCTCTGGTGTTAAATTTGTGTTTGCTTTAAATTAGGGTTGTACACGAGTTAAATATTAATTTCAACAACTGATCTGATCTGAAATAAAAACGAACAGACGACGCTTTAGCTTACAATTACCACCATCTTTTTTGTCTTCTTCATCATTCACCGACGACGAGGACGACGCCGACGACGACGACGGCGACAGCGACACGACAACATGCTGCTCCATCGCCTTAAACAGCCTGAGAGGCTGCGTACGGCGGCTGTGTGGAGCTGTCGTTGCCATACGCTGACCTTGGGCCGGCACCATAGTTGGATGCCCCCTCCTGCTTAACATAATTGCTATAGTCGTAGTCATAGCCGGAGCCATAGCCGCCATAGTCGTACTCGGAGCCCGACTTTGAGGCCGAGTTACCGGGACCAGTGCGCGGCATACCGCCCACAGGTCCAGTGGTTGATGGACCGCCCGCAGCCCAGGTCTGGGCACGCGAGTACATGTCCGTGGCGGTGCCCGCCCCAGCTCCTGGTGCTCCAGTGGGTCCAGCCGAATTGGGCGGCATGTTCCACGAGTTCCAGCTACCACCGCCAGACGGTCCGGAGGGAGCGCCCGTCGATGTCGAGTTGTACATATCGTAGCCGCCGTATCCCTGGGTCTGCTGGGGTCCAGCATAGTTCGACCACTGTGGTGGTGGTCCCTGGGGGCCAGGTGGTGCGCCCCAGCCTTGATACGATCCGGGGCCGCTGTTGCCATAGCCATAGCCCTGCTGCTGCGGCGAAGTGCCCCAGCCCTGATAACCGGGCATCATGTTCGGCGCACCGATCGGCATATTCAGTGGCGGACCACCCATCTGACCGTTCTGGCCCTGGATCATGTTCATCGGAGCATGATGGGGTCCCCAGTGGCTGCACTCGCTGTTCATCTTGCCATAGGCACCACCCACTGTGCTGTTGTTCGAGTTCTGTCCGCCAGATCCGTCACGAGGCTCGGCCTTCTTGATCTCCACCTGTAGAACGAGGCAACGAGAGTGGGGCAGCAATGAGGACAAAGGACAAAATAGGTGGAAAGTGATGACCAGTAAGGCAACATACCTGCTTGCCGTTCAGATTGATGTACCGCTCATTGGTCACATGCTCAACCGACGACTCTTCTTCGAAGGACAGGAATCCGAAACCACGAGATTTCTTCTTCTCCTGATCGTACATGATAACTACTTCGGTCACTTTGCCGTACCGACCAAAAAAAGTACGCAGATCGGTTTCCGTTACGTTCGATGGGAGACCGCCGAGGAACACCTTGTAGCCGCCGCCTTTCTTCGGCTTTTGAAGCGTGCGTGGGTTGCATGGCTTCGGATCGATGGTACGGCCATCGAGCGTGTGCGGACCGTTCTGCAGCACATGGTTTACATTGGTGGGATCGGCAAAGGTGACGAAACCGAAGCCACGCGACCTGCCGCTCTCGTTGTTCTTCATCACGACACAATCGATGATGTCGCCGAAGCGGCAGAAGTAACGCGACAGATTCTCCTGCGTTGTCTCCCAAGATAGTCCGCCCACAAACAGTTTGCCCCTCTCGTCCTCTTCCATGATGTTGTTCTGGTGATTGTGAGCTATTGCGCCGGGTAGGTTTTCAATAATTGACGTAATTTTGCTGCTGTTTATTCACACGGGTGTATAAGAAATAAAATGTCTTCTCGCTTGGGTCTTCTAGCACTTTTTTTTCTTAACTTTTTACACTGTTATAGTTGCTGGTTGCGTTGAGTTGCGTTGCTGTTATGGTTTCTGTTATGTTATATTTTGGATTGATTTCAAAAGTTGCCAAAGTTCTTCTCTCCTTCAAAATAACTAAACAAAAGCCACGACGTTTACACGTAACTTTCTACAAGATGCAAATCGTGGGGGTACGCATGGAAAGATACAGAACAGAACGATTTAAAAAAATTGTTAATCAAAATCACTTTTTCTTGGCTAAAAACGAATGTTGGGTGCGAAATGGTGGCCAGGCAAGAGCCAAACGCCAAGATGACAAAATACGCAGACACACCAACACGTAGGCACAGGGAGCAACCGAAATAGGCATAGATAATTATGAAAGGCGCAGGTAGGCAGCAGCAGCAACCGGCCGGTACACATACATTCCCATGCAAAGGTATTTGTGAGCGAGTGAGTCTACATATGTGTTTTTGCCGTCTAACTGCTTTTTTTGTACACGTTCACAAGTTGTTCGGTTGTTTGCAACGCTCCGCTTGCTCTGCTCTTCGTGCGGTTCACAAACTGTTTTCTGCTGCTTCTGCTTCCTCTTTTTTACACTGCTGCGTGAAAGTATTGTTTTCTTTTCGCTGTGTCACGAGCGTTGTTGTTAGTGTAGCAATGTCCCCATCCCCAGCCTCTGTCCCCCACAAACACACACACTACACTCGCACTCACACCCACACAGATGCCGCCTTTCAATGAGAACAACGAACTTATTCCCAAGGTGAAAACAGAACACTGCCGGCCCGGTCCCACCACATTTGCGCGCCATTTGCCAGGTATTGCCAGATGGGTCATGTAAACACCCATCACCCTACCAAATATCTCAAAATGTGAAAGTTCATGTAATCCAATCCTTGTGTCCTGAAGCACTGAAACACATTCTTTATTGGCCTGTCTCGTGTCTCGCGGAAATTTTCCCACTCACAAGTCCAAACATGTGGCAACGCTTGGTGGCGACGTGAAAGCGAATGTACAGCGAAAAGAAACGTACCAAGAAGCAATGCCCTCAAAACGCAGGCCACATAAAATCTTAATTCTAAAATAAAAAAAATATTCACTTCTTTGTGGGCTTTAATTAATCGCAACCTATCTCTGGCCACGCACTTCCCGCAAAACTGAATGAATCTCACGAAAAATGTGGGAAATTCACCACGGTAGAAGACAACAGCAGCGACGGGCAACGAAAAAAAAAAACAAAATGGAAGACGTGCCTGATGAAAAAAATGCTTCAACAAAGAAATGTATTAAGAAATGCTTTCTGGGCCTAAATGCTCTCGAACAGGCGAATTTCACATGGCTTTAATCAAATTTTTAGTTTGGGGCATATCGGGACATTTGAATTAACTGATGCCGGCAATATTCACACAACAATAGAACGCACGACACTTTGACTGCTTGTAGATTTACGATTGTTGGCCGGAGAAATTATAGTTGAATTAACTAAGATTTCTACTACGCAATTTTAAAAAATTCGCATGATTTTTGTATTTTGCACCGCAATCTTTGTGCACATGAATGTACACATGCATGTGTGTGGGTTCATGAGTTGGCCGCACGGTTGTATGCCTGAGTGTGTGTGTGTGTGTGTGTCGCGAATGGCCGCCGACAGACCGAACCGACCGATTTGTACTCGTGTGCGTATGTGTTGGTGTGGTGTTATACATAGCATTTTTTGTATGTATGTATAAAAATATGAAATTTTCCACTTTATTGGGCGAAAAAAGAATGCTGCAAGTGGCACGGCACGGGAAAACTGCAGCCATTTCTGCAAAAATGTACGCACTAATTAAAAATCACAAACATTGGTTTAAAAACAAAGAGCTGCTGGTCGCATTTGCTTGCGGTTCACAGTCGAATAAAATTTACACACCACCACACACCAAGCAACGGCAGCTGCGTCAACCTTTTTGGAAAGGCAAGGCAGAGCAGGCAGGCATTTTGTTAAAGCACCGTAATTGTTATGTAAAATGCAGATTTGATTTGTTTTCCATGCTTACCGTTTGTGCCAAGTGTTCGTCTGTGGTTTTTTAAAGATTTCGCACTGCAAATTCACTAAATTTAAGTGTTTTTTCCTTAAAAAACTAGCTTATAAATAATTGTATGATTTTGATGCATACGATATAACCTAACTTATGATAGAATCGCCACCGCCACGTTTAATGTAATCGATAGCAGTATTCGTGCCCACTCCACCCTACGGTCACACTGCACAGTCGCAATATTCTATCGGATCATTTGATGCCATCGCTAATGTGACATTTATTAATCGATAGCTCACGATAGTTTCAAGGCTTGAAACTGCCAAAAATGTAATTACTGCGAAATTACATATAATATAAATAAATAAAAAATGATAATACGAGTAAGCAGTTCAAATGCATGCACAAACTACTCACTCTATGTTTTAAAGCTATCTCATGGAAATTTTGCAGTTTATAATCTCCTTCAGAGACGAAGAATAGGTATCGGGACCAAACTTTATATATGGAGAAAAAAAATTAAATGCATGAATGGGTAAAAACATGTCAATCCACGAAACATTATATATGAAGGTTTTAAAGCAGCTTGGAAAACATAAATATATTAATTTAAGGAAATAGGGTGCACAAATTTACATACTCATAGCCGAAACTTGGTTGACCGGAAACAATGACGCCACATTCCGTACACACTTATGATATATGCTTTGACTTGTTTTGCTTGAATCCTATTTTGTAAACAGTTCAACAGTTCTGAAAACTGACCAATCAATACTATCATGATAGTATCGGGCTAAAAAAATTATTAATTATAAATTTTTTTTTTTTGTTATTTACTGGTTACTGGTTCTCGGTTTCTGAGGTCACTCGAAAAAACAAATCAAGTGAAATATTTATTTTTCCAAATACTAAGACACATTTCAAATTGACCGCCAAACTCAATTTAGCGCACCAAAAATACTGACATTTTTCGCTCTCAATTCGTGGAGAGTTTGCAAAATTTGCTCTCAATTCGTTCCCGTATGATACATTTGATTTGTATGGGAAAAATTTCAGCAACATGGGGAAATGAAGTAGCAGCATCGTTGTGCAACTTTGGCACGGAACGAGCAACAGTCCGCATACTGTGGGAAATGGATATTATGGACTTGAGATATTGTTTGTATTTCAGGATCCAATTAATGCAGAAACTACTCAGTCTCTGTTTCAGAGATATTAACGATTGGCATATCACGGGTTCCAATAATAGGTATCAGAACCGGGATAAATGTATATATAAAACACAAACATGTGCATTTATAGTTAAAAAACATGTCAATCTAGGATAAAATCATAAATAATGTTTCAATGGAGCTTGGAAGAAAACTTTTCACACCCATTGAAAGAAATAAGGTATACAAAAGTACATACGCATAGAAGATACTTGGTTGACCAGCAAGTAACATTTAGTCAACATTTAAGTTTTATGCTTTGGCCGGTTTTGTTTGAACCTTAATATGTAAACAATCCAATGAAAAGGAGTCTAAAAACTAACCAATCCTGAAGGAAATTTATGTATCTATCGGATAAAATTATTTGTTTACGGCTGAGAGGGCCAACTATCTAGTAATATTAAACTGAATATCAAAATTGACGAATTTCATATCACAAAATATCACGGTATGGCAGCCCGCAGCAACTACGAATTGCACGAGTCTGGCAGCGCCACAAAACGACGACAAATTCGTTTAATGCTGTTTTTGTTTGAACCTTAATATGTAAATAATCCAATAAAAAGGACTTCTGAAAACTTGCCAATCTCTTAAAAAATGTATGTATCTATCGGATAAAATTATTTGTTTAGGGCTGAGAGTCCCAACTAGCTGGTAATATTAAACGGAATATCAATATCGAGGAATATCAACGTCGAATGTTTTGAAAAAACAATCGATACTATTGTGATAGCTCTAATAATTATTAAAACACCATTGACACCTTTTAGGAACATACAAACAAATCAAAAGCGCAACGACTGTAGCTCGATAATATCATGATAGTCGCAAAACCGTCGATAGTAGAGACTAGCAGTAAAATATCGATACTATCGATAGTGCCCTCGATGGTTTGACACCTCAATTGCAGAAATAAATATAATTCGATCATCGACAGAGACCGACTAACCCATTGTCGACCAGTGGGTGATTTGACCAATGCACGAATATTATGAAACTTGAAACATTTTTTACGCATTTCAGGTGAAAGATATCGTGGTAATATTTGCTTTTAAACAAAGAGAAAGAATTTATCTATAAGAAGAATATACAAACAATACTATTTTCCGCGGCTTAATTAAATGTTTTGCACCATTTAAATAGAGGGCGGCTAGTGGGCTAAGTCCTTTTTTCTTCGGTATATTTTCGGTATACTTCGAAAATAAGACGGTATGTTTATGAGGGTTGAAGGGTATATAGATCGAAAAATCCGCGGTCACACTGTACCCGGTAATAAATGCTGAAATGCTGAAATTGCAGAAATAAATATAATTTTCTGACTATAAAATTGGGAAAAACAGTCGCGTAAAGTAATGAAAAGCAACCGCCAGCTTTTCTAGTCGACAGTGTTTCCGTGAGAGCAGTGTAAAGTGAATTTTCGTACCGCATCGATTTTTTCTGCGCCGCTGCTGCTGCTGCCGCTGCCACATTAACAGCCCCAAAGCTAAATCAAAAACTACATTCACAATGTCGCGGCATCCGAGTGACCGCAAGGTTTACGTCGGAGATTTGGGCAACAACGCCCGTAAGAATGATTTGGAGTATGTGTTTGGAGCTTACGGCAGTCTGCGCAGCGTCTGGATTGCACGCAACCCTCCAGGATTCGCCTTTGTGGAGTTCGAGAGCGCTAGAGATGCAGCGGATGCGGTGCGCGGTCTAGATGGTCGCACTGTTTGCGGACGCCGAGCCCGGGTGGAGCTGTCGACTGGTAAATACGCAAGATCTGGAGGCGGTGCTGGAGGAGGAGGTGGTGGCGGAGGGGGAGGAGGTGGCGGAGGCGCTGGAGGACGCGATCGTGGAGGCGGCGGCGGTGGAGGCCGTGGGGACGATAAGTGCTATGAATGTGGCGGCCGTGGACACTTTGCCCGCCATTGCCGTGAGCGTAAAGCAAGACAGCGACGCAGGTTAGTAGAAAATTTCATTCATTATTGTTGCATTTTTTTTTTTTCATGAAACATGGCGATATTTTCGCATACATACAGGGATACTTGTGTACGTGTATGTATGCGTGAGGATGTGCTGTAGAACATTTTAAAATTGTTTTGAGTGTGGGGAGAAAATTGCCACTCGCGGTGCTGTTAGGCGCGCAATGTTAATTAACAGTAAACCTGTATGTTAAGAGTGTGAATATGTGCTGTTGGGCTCGGAATGATGTTGCTGTTAAGCGCAGACCGTGGCTTGGTAACAGCGCACACGTGCTCGTCACCGTTACTGGGTACTCGCGAAAAACAAGGGTGTATTAAATTTTTGTTTGTTTAATGCAAAATTATCTATACCCATTTTTACAAGTGTTGGCCGAGATACGGCCGAGTATATGAATTTAAGCCCATTAATATTTATAGTCAAAATAAGTAAATTTTAACATTCATAATATTAGAATGTAAATACCGGGTATCTTGTGATCGGGACGCTTGACCATATCGATCTTATTTCAAGTGCTTTTCTTCGTGGTGAATTAGTCTACAGCGCGGTGAAGTGGCCAGAACGGTGCTGTTAAGCGCAAACTGTACGGCAACCCTGGCCGCCACTCGCACACACGTGCTCACGCTTCATTTTGGATTTTTCTTTTACACGCGGCATACAGAAAAGAAGGTTAAGTTTCGTGCCGACGTCTGGGTGTTTTATTAATTTTTCATAAATAAAAATTAAAACTAAATGAGCACAAAGTGACACAATGTTTGTGCTCTACGAAACGCCGGCGGGCTACGCCATTTTCAAGCTGATGGATGAAAAGAAGCTTGAACAGGTCGATAATCTGTACTTGGAGTTCGAGACTCCGGAGAAGGCGAACAAATTGCTGAAATTGAAGCATTTTGAGAAATTCAACGACACCACAGAGGCGCTGGCCGCCGCCACGGCAGCTGTCGAGGGCAAGGTGGCCAAGCCGCTGAAGAAAACGCTGAAAAAGTTGCTAATCGACGAGGTGCAGGCGCCCCTGCTCGTGGCCGATGCCAAACTGGGCACAGCCATCAAGGACAAGCTGTCGGTGCAGTGTGTGTACAACACTGGCGTCCAGGAGCTGATGCGCTGCATCCGCCAGCAGGCGGACAGTCTACTGGGCGGTCTGCCCAAGAAGGAGATGACGGCAATGGCCCTGGGTCTGGCCCACTCTCTGTCACGCTACAAGCTGAAGTTCTCGCCCGACAAAATCGATACCATGATTGTGCAGGCGCAGTGCCTGCTCGATGATTTGGACAAGGAGCTGAACAACTATATGATGAGGGCCAGGGAATGGTACGGCTGGCACTTTCCCGAGCTGGGCAAGATCATAACCGACAACATTGCCTTTGTGAAGACCATCAAGCTGGTGGGCACCAGGGACAATATGGCGGCCGCCGACTTGTCCGATATCCTGCCCGAAGACGTTGAGGAGAAGGTGAAGGAGGCAGCCGAAATATCGATGGGCACTGAGATCTCCGAGGAGGATGTCCTGAACATTCAGTGCTTGTGCGATGAGATTGTCTCCATCAATGACTATCGCACGCATCTGTACGACTACCTCAAGGCACGCATGATGGCCATGGCACCCAATCTAACGGTGCTGGTTGGCGACACAGTCGGCGCCCGTCTCATTGCCCATGCCGGTTCGCTGATCAACCTGGCCAAGCATCCCTCATCAACAGTACAAATTCTTGGCGCCGAAAAGGCCCTCTTCCGTGCCCTCAAAACCAAAAAGGACACGCCCAAATACGGTCTGATCTATCACGCCCAGCTGGTGGGACAGGCGAGCCAAAAGAACAAGGGCAAAATGTCACGTTCACTGGCGGCCAAAGCATCGCTGGCCACCCGCGTGGATGCCTTCGGTGAAGAGGCGACCTTTGAGCTTGGCGCGGCGCACAAAGTGAAGCTGGAGGCCCGTCTCCGAATGCTCGAGGAGGGCAATCTGCGCAAGTTGTCCGGCACGGGCAAGGCCAAGGCCAAGTTTGAGAAATATCAGGCCAAGAGGTATGTATTGCTCCTCAGCAGAGTGGGCGAGAGAGAGAGAGAGAGAGATCTGTTGCAATTCGATTTCTAATGATGATATCAAAAAGGTTTCGCATATATCTGATTACTATGACGATAAACCTTGGCTGTCTGAGTGAAATTGAGTGTTCCAGTCTCTCTCCAGACTCGATGCTGTATATTCTCTCTGTATATGTAATATTAATGTATTTTCATTACCTGAAACTTTGCAGTGAGGTGTTCACGTATCAACCCGAGGCGGATAACACATTAAATGTGAAGAAACGCAAACACTCGGAGGCCGAAGATGAGGAGAGTACGCCAGTCAAGAAGGAGGTCAAGAAGGAGGTGAAGGAGGAGCCAGCCGAAGAGGAGGCGGAACTTAAGTCCGAGAAGAAGAAAAAGAAGAAGAAGAAGCAAAAGGATGAAGAGGCAGCCGAGGAGGAGCCCAAGACAGAGCCCAAGCCAGAGCCCGAACCCGAAGAGGCGCCAACTCCAGCCAAGAAAAAGAAAAAGTCCAAGAAGGAGCAACAGGAATAGAGGCGTGGCGGGGAAATAGTTTGTAGGCTCTTAACTTGTAGCATTTCATTATACATTAGGAGAACCGTAGGATTCTATATATAATTATCAGCATGAGTAAAGTTTATTTTGTTCTATACATTAGCAATAAAATGTAATATTCACAAAACACTCATTATATATATATATATTCCGTGTGTGTTTCAGGACAACAGATCGTACACATCTTCTCTGTTCTGTTTTATATCTTACTGAACATATATAACTCTTGAATGTGATTGGGCTCGGAGCGGCATTATTGTTAATGTAATTTTGTAATTTCAGATGAGGTTCTTTCTTCATCTAAAAGGAGCGCCGACGCTTCATGTTGTTGGGCTTCAAACACTTTCCAAACGCCTCTATTTTGTGCATGCGTCCAAGGGCCGGCATAAGAGGAAGAGATCATTCCATGGCGCTAGCGATCACACACTCTCCACTTTGTCTGCGTACTCGTCATGTAGCATACGATCCATTTCGGCCACCGAAAGGTAGTGTTCGCTGAAGCAGCTTATGGCTACGTCTTAATCATAGCAGACGGGGTTAGCTTCGCCTTGCGCGTCTTGGACATCGCGTCCAGCTTCGTCTTGATCGTGGGAGATGTTGCCAGCTTCGTCTTGGTCTTCGCTGGACATGGTAATATATGTCTGAAGCGTTTCACCCGTATCAATTTGTAGAACAAATTCCTAAAATACTCTTGAACTTGTAGGCGGTAAAAAGTTGTTGGTGGGGGGATTGAATTATTTCGACTCTGTGATGGATTTATCTGATTTAACTTAATGTGTGAAGGCTTCCTGCTTACTGTTCCAAGCCTCTCTTGGCTTGTGATTTGTCTTAAATTCCCTTCCTTATGATTCTTTCGATGTGTGGCAACATTTGCGGCAAATTAAATTCTTCAATCGAATCGATTTTGGAGGCCACTCTTTCTCCCTCCGACAGTTGCAAGAAGTTTGCGGCTGCTGCTGCGATTGATTGCGGTGTATCGCTTGCAGCCAATGAAGCAGAAAGTTTTTACGTCAGCAGGTAGACAGCAGCAGCAGCAACAGCAGGGAGCTTGCATCACATTCACTCCATTCATTCCACAGTATAAAAGCGAATGCTTCGATTGGGTAGTGGGTTCAGTGTAGAGGAAACCATAGCAAGCGAAATGCGAGGCTATCTGAAGCTGCTGTTGGTCCTGGGCCTGCTGCTGACGTACGCGTCGGCAAAGAAGAAGGAGGCCTCCTCCGAGGAGGAGGAAGAGGGTGGCGAAAAGTACGAGAAGAAGAAATACGGCGATGAGGAGCACAAGGGTGGCCACGGCCACAAGGAGCACAAGGAGTGGGACGAGGACGAGAAGAAGCATCACGAGCAGGAGGAGCAAGAGCACCATCATGGCGAAAAGGGCGAGAAGAAGAAAAAGCACTACGACGAGAAGGACGAACACGGGGAGAAGCACGAGCATGGCGCCCACAAGAAGGAGGGCAAGCACCACAACAAGAAGAAGCACAAGAAGGGACACAAGGAGATGGAATACCACAAGAAATTCAACAAGGACGAATACTACAAGGAAAAGAAGTTCTACGACGACGAGCACAAGGGCGGACATCACAAGAAATTCGGCAAGGAGCACAAACACCATGCCGAGGAGCATGGGGAGCACAAGAAGGGCGAGAAGCACGAGAGTGGCAAGAAAAAGGGACACAAGAAGCACAATGGCCACTACAAGAAGGGCCATCACGACGAGGATCACAAGAAGTACAAGAAGGAGCACAAATACGGCGAAAGCCACGAGGAGAAGGAGGAGCATGGCAAGAAGGGCTCCAAGAAGCACGGCCACAAGCACTACAAGAAGAAGGGAGGCAAGCACTGAGTGGTTTAACGCTTGTATATGGGGATCCTGGTACCGTAACTAAATACATTTAAACAAAAATTGTGATCTGTTGTAGTTTATGCGAATAAAAGTTCTGGGCAAAGTTAAGAATTCACTAAATATATATTCTATGTAGATGGTAGTATCTAGGACTAATGTTTGGGGGGGAGGTTGGACTTATTTATTTCCTTATATTATTGCTGAACATTTGATAAATCATGAATAATTGAGATCCTGGTCTTGGTTTCATTCTAGAAGCAACTCGTTCAGCAGATCTCGTAGCACATCCCGTCGCCGTCGCACTCGCTCCAAGTCTGGTGGCACGCGTTCACGCAGTCGCTCCGCTGGCTCTGTGGGCGGCGCCGCTCGCCGCTCTGGCCGCTCAAATGGACGCGATGAGAATGGTTCGGTGTCACGCTACAGCGACCATGAGCGCAATGGCAGTGGGGCAGTGGACACATCGCCGCCGCCACCGAAGCGCCGCTACGATGATGATGATGATGAGCGGGATAGAGGATCACGTTCGGCATCTCCACCAGTGCGTCGCGGAGGATCACCACCACGCCGTCGTGGCGATTCGTCGGCCTCACGCTCCGTGTCCCGGGACTAGCGACGACAGACGGATGCAGACGATGGCCGCAAATTCAAGAAGAAGTAATTAGTGGGGCCTGTGTGCTGCAGCCAACAAACAAGAATCAGCGCTAAAGGGGCAACTGGGCAACAAACTTCCCCTCATTCCCTCCCACACACACACAACAACACACACACACACACACAACCCCAAATACATAATATAACAAAGCTAAAGAAAAGAAAACAATTTCCAAAACAACAACAACAACAATAACACTTTATTCACGCAGTATATACACAACACACACACACACACATATATACATACAAATACCGTTTAGTTGTCCCCCAAAACCATTTTAGCTTAGGGTTTTAATTTATTGTCTAAGGGAAGTACGCATTTGTAAGTACTTTTTGCTATTGCGACAAGACCTGGGATAACACACACACACACACTCAACACGCAGAGAGAACAGAGAGTAGAGAAGAGAACAGTACAGAACAGAACAGAACAAAGGGCGCTTGAAATATTTAAAAGAAAAACATCAAAATTATATATAAAATAAAAAAGGATAAAAAAAAGGATCGGCGGCAGCCGTCGGCGTATAGGGACAGACACCCGAACTGAACATCGATCTAGTCATACCGTTTGCTATGTAAATTGATTTGTGCTTCTGATTTGACAACCACGCCAGACGATACGACGATATAGACGATGCCTGGAACGATACTCGAATATGCAGAAGGGCGGAACGACGGATGATTCGTGTGTTTATCAACTGGGTTGGGGAATGAGGTGAGGCGGCGGCCAGCATATATACAACATCCCTTCGTCCCTCTCCCCCCCCCCCCCCTCTCCATACCATAACATCAATATGTCAATTCTCTTCAATTCATGTGTTACTGATCGATCCCCAAAAAAATACATACATACACTCTTGATATTTCAACTTTCAAACAACTTTGTATGGTGTTTTTTTCTTTCAAATATTCATATGATTACAAGTCCTGCTACAATGCGAAACGAAATTAAAAACCATGTTCATACATTGATGTCATAGTTAAGAATTTAAAAAATAAAAATATGTATGAATTCTTCGATGTGTGTTTGAACTATATATAGCAAATGCGCTGAAAACTAAAATACAAAATTATTCAAATCAATAAATTAAATGCCAAAAAAAAAACACATTCCATTTGTTGTCACATTTTTAACCCAAGCAAATGGTTAGCGTTAAGCTTCGCTTTCGCCAGAGGTTTATTGAATTCCTGCTGAAATAACAAAATTATTTACTGAACGAGCGCCATTTCAATCGCCTTTTATAATAATCTGGCTGGCAACAAGAACATTCTAGCTGTTGCGAAATATTTAGCAGGCTTGTGTCAATTCAAAACGATGTCAGTTGAAGGTTATGGCTGGTAGATTCAAATCGATGTAAGTTGAAGTCGTTGAAGATTTGGAGCATGGCCAGCCAAAATATAATCAAATCTTAAAAGGAGAGAGAAACTAAAGCGCGACAGCAGAACGAAAGAAAAACGCAAGATAAATAGGAAATAGAATAAATGCTCTTTTTCCGATACAATATTTTATATCGCACAAAAGCATCGATACATCTGCGGAAATATCGACAAAAGAAATATAGCGTTCCGATTAACGTTTTGCAAAGCAGCCCTGTAGCCGCATTAATCGCATCGCATTCCTCCAGTTTAATTTTGTGTTTTGTTTTCATTTTTTTTATGAAAAGTCAATCACACATTTTCTCCTATAAGATATTATTGTTAGACTCGTAAAGCCGCATTGTTACATTGCGTACAGAGGCCAAAACACGGAGCCAAAAATGGCATTTCGCCAGTCGCAGCACGAAATGAGCGTCACCTCGCTCGAGCATCTTGACTCGAGTGTCGAATTACGATCGCGTTCGCCGTCGCCGCAAGTGTTTAATCCGCGCAAGCTGCGCTTCGCCGACGATGACTTTGACAAGGACCAGCCGGAGAGTCTGAGTCCGCAGCACAAGAAGAAGGCGGCGGCAGACGTGTCCATGTCACCGCCCTGCCAAAAGGTTCGTGCCCTACGCCTGTTCAGCACTCCTGCCACACCGAAGACGATCCTGCAGAAGTCGCAGTGCAGCAATCATCTGTCTGCTGCGGCAGCGGTGGTCAACGCGTCCCGCCGCGAGGACCTCTTCCGCTTGTCGGAGCGGCCGCGCTGCTTGCCACTGCACAATCGGAGCATGCAGCCCCAGGACACGGCCAATGTGAATCCCTTCACACCAGACAGTGAGTTCCCATTGAGAGTCGTCGATCGCCCTGTGCATACATTTAATCATGGTGTATCTTCCTTTTAGGTCTCCTGGCCCACAACAAGAAACGTTGTCGCACCCAAGTGGGTCGCGAGAATCTCAACCTGAATGTGAATGCTATTCAAAAGTATTTACTCAGCGACACCTGTGATGATGAGGGGCCAGAGGAGGTCGGCGACCCTATGCGCGAGATACACCAGGCACCCAAGCGCCTGGCCCTGCACGACACGAACATCAGTCGCTTCAAGCGGGAGTTCATGCAGGTCCGCGTGATTGGTGTGGGTGAGTTCGGTGTGGTCTTCCAGTGCGTGAATCGTCTCGATGGCTGCATCTATGCCATCAAAAAGAGTAAGAAGCCGGTGGCTGGCAGCTCCTTTGAGTAAGAAAAAGCGCCCTACGCCGCCTGATCGTCGACTAATCTGTGCATTCTCTTTCAGAAAACGTGCCCTTAATGAGGTGTGGGCCCATGCCGTGCTGGGCAAGCACGATAATGTGGTGCGTTATTATTCCGCCTGGGCGGAGGATGATCATATGTTGATACAGAACGAGTTCTGCGATGGCGGCAGCCTGCATGCCCGCATCCAGGATCATTGCCTGGGCGAGCCCGAACTGAAGATTGTTCTGATGCATGTGATCGAGGGCCTGCGCTATATACACTCAAATGATTTGGTCCACATGGACCTGAAGCCCGAGAATATCTTCTCAACAATGAATCCCACTGCCCACAAGCAGATGGAGGTGCAGGCCAAAGATGATGATGGCGATGGCATGGACAGCGTCTATGAGGAGTTGCGCCATACCGAAAATCTGGTGACATACAAAATCGGTGATCTGGGCCATGTGACGTCCGTGAAGGAGCCGCATGTGGAGGAGGGCGACTGCCGGTATTTGCCCAAGGAGCTGCTCAACGATGACTACTCGAATCTGTTCAGGGCGGACATATTCTCGCTGGGCATCACCCTGTTCGAGGTGGCTGGCGGTGGACCACTGCCAAAGAATGGTCCCGACTGGCACAAGCTACGAAACGGCGAGGTGCCCTACCTGTCCACACTGAGCAAGGACTTCAATGAGCTGATAGCCCTAATGATGCATCCCGATCCGGCCCAGAGGCCCACATCGCAGTCCATTTTCAGTCATCCGTAAGTTGGTTAACCGCACTGCCATTGAAAAGTATTCATAAATCGAATCGAATTGCAGAATTCTGAGCGCTGTTGACTCCAAGACCAAGATGCAGCTCGGCCTGGAGCTGACCATGGAGAGGCGCAAGAACGAGATACTCATGAGCAAGCTAAGGGATGCAAAGAAAACGATAAAGCAGCTCGAGGCGAAAGGTGAGTGAAGGGATGGCGGCAGGTCCTTTCAATGCTGGTTATTTATTCGTTTTTTGTTTGTTAAATCGTTCCCACCCAGTTAACCTGTTGGCTGTGACAAATAATCCGGAGAGTGTGGAGGGTCAGCGATGCCTGCGCTCGTTCACGCGACGTATGCGCACACCCTTCAGCACCCATGGCCGATATAGCCTGGGCGATCGTAACAAGAATGTTATCACCAATGTTTGATAAAAGAGAGACTCAAATCTCATCTCTCTCAGAACATAATCATAAACATACAGAACTACCTACAGACAGCCAAACTCTTCCGAATCGAACGTGAACAAAGCTCACATTGTGTTTAGTTTTTAAGCCCTACCTTCTACTCCAACTCGTACTCCTACTCTCGAATATGTAGTATCCTATATCTATATATCTTATATATTTTTTTAAATTTAAACCCACCCCCCCACCATGCTTCTCATCTACTATATATATATATCTCGAGGCATTCGTAATAATATATCTATGTATTTATCATTTTTTTTTTTTGCAGCTCAGTGAAAATTTTCTTAATCGGAGAAAATCTTCAACATTTCAAACAAACAAAATTACAAAAATACACCCCTACCCGCCCTCAATCGTAGCATCTAAGGATCTAAGTAACTAATGTAAAAATGAATGAGTACTGTTTACTATTTATTATGTTACATGGAATCGCGGGAATCGAAATCGGAACATTTCTCTCTCACATTCCATACGTTCGAAATATATAGCCAAATGGCTATTCAATAAATATCTTATTTTTTATTGAGAGTAAAAGTATACTGGAGAAAGTTAACTCCTCCCCCCATCCACCCAAGAGAAGAAAGTTTTTGAATTAAGTTTAACAAATGATTGGTTGTATCTTGATAAGATTAAGAGCAAATAACAAAATGAAAGCAAACAAAAAATAAGAAGAAGAAAAGCTTACTAAAGAAAATAACTTGATTCTTTATTTTTATTTTTAATTTTAAGAATTTTGCTTTAAGGTTTAAAGTTTTGTATATACTTATCAGAGGGAATATGCCCAGTATGTATCCAATATAACTCGTCAAATTTGTTCAATCAAAACAATTAAACAGAAAAATTTTGATAAAAAATCAATAGATTTTTTATTCTAAATTTGAGGAAAGTTTTTAAGTTGAAGTTTTGTTGAAGATATGCAGATAGAAGTTAATTCCGCTATTTATCTATTATGGTTTCAAAAAATAAGAAGAAAACTACATACAGACATCAGAAAATGAATGAATTTTATTTGATTCCTAATTAAACAATTTTTTTTTTGTATGGTGATGTTTTGGTAAAATTGTATATGATTAGATAGTTCTCTATCATAACTCGTAAGATGTTTTCCAACCAAACACAAATTTAAAAAGGTACAAAAAATACAGAAATTAATGAATTTTTTATTCTTAATGTATAATTGTTTGTTATTAAGGTGCACTATTTGTTAAAATTGTATATAGTATATGGATAGCTGACAGATAGTAACCCCAAGCTGGGTACTGTCCATTAATGGTACTGCACTGCATTATATGGGCGAAGGTTCTACTAATTGAATTTAAATTTGATACATGTACTATGTGTATTTTTGAGGTGCCCTAGAGGCACTGGCATTAATAAAGGCAGGCGTCTCTTTGTGTGCCAAATCCATTGATAATCTGTTCTGATCTGCATAGATGATATACAATTTATATTGAGGCACTAAGGTAACAATGAATGTTCCTGGGAGTTAACTGGTGTAGCTTTTTGTGGTTCAATCTATTATCGTTATTTGTTTTCATTAAAATGTTTTATATTACTTTACTTCTACTTGTAAGAGCGTTGCATAAAATGTTGTGTGTGTGTGTGCGCGCTTAAAATCTTCTATAGTTTTGATTTTGATTCTGTTGCCTATTGCCACCGCCACCACCGCCTCCTCCGCCGCCGCCCCCTCCTTGCTGGTAATTCCTCTGCTGCCCATTGTAATTGTTGTAGCTCCTTTGGCCCTGTTGCTGCTGCTGTCCACCGTCCTGTGTATACCTTTGGTTCTGGTACTGCTGCTGGCCACCACCGTACTGCTGGCGGTTCTGATAGCCGCCACCCTGACTCTGACTCTGATAGCCTCCACCTCCTCCGCCGCCGCCCTGGTGCTGCTGGTTGTAATTGTTGTTGTAGTTGTAATTGTAATTGCGGCTATTGTTCTGATAGCCTTGTCCCTGGCCCTGGCCCTGTCCCTGACCATAGCCGCCCCCACCGCCACCGCCACCCTGATTGTAGCCCTGCTGTCCCCTGTCGCCCTGACCATTACGGATGCCAGCATTCAGCATGCGATGTCCACCCGGTGCAATATAGGCCCTCGAATGATGGCTATTGAAACCGATGACGGGTCCGTTCTTCTGGCCCTCCGAGGGCAGAACTTGCGGCGGATCAACGGCATCGGGCAGACGCTTGGCCTCGAAAATGTAGTCATCATCGTACTCGGGATCTATGAAGAACGTCGTCACAATAGTATTGCCGGTGATGTCCGGCAGTCCAGCAATCGGCGACGGCAGGCAGCCATCGATGGCAGTGTCTATGTCCGAACGGAGTATGGTGCCACGCATGCCATTGAACGAGATGGCATTGCACTGTTCCTCGGTGTCGGTGCTCTCGGTTATCTTCTTCACCTTCTTGTAGTGCGGACTGGAGTTGCTGATGTACAGGAAATTGTGGCCACGCTTGTTGCGCTTCACCTCAGCGCCGGTCAACTGTGTGTAGTACGGCACGAGGGCCTTGAAGAGACGCTTCTCGTCGACGAAGGGCAGCAGGGCGACGCCCTGCCAGGCGAACTTCTTGCCATTCAGATCGATCTTAAAGTCCTCCGGGTAAAAGTCAATGATGGGAGAGTCGGGACTGGACATTAGTTCGGCCCAGGGTTCGGGCACATGCGAGCTACTGGCCGCCGGAAAGACGCCCATCAACTGTTCGAGCGGATTGAAGGGTTTTGTGCCCCTCTCAAAGGCCGTCGACAGGCCCTGGATGTTGACAAAATCCGATGCAAAGGGGGCATAGTGATAGGGGAAGTACCAGTTCCAGGAGGCACAGCCCTGGTAGTAGTACTTCAGGACCCAGCACAGTCCACGCACGTATTGCAGGGCCACGGCATAGCGGAACGAATGGTTCTCGGGTGCCACATCGAACTTGGACTCGTAGTAGCGACTCTTGAAGCCATCCTCCCACAAGCGCACCTCATCGTTGTCCTCCTCCTCCTCCTTGGCGTCCTCGTTGGGTCGCTTTTGTCCGGTCCTCAGGGCCGCAGCTTCCTGCTTGTAATTGGCAATGCTGGAGGGCTGGCCGTTGCGTCCACCACCAACGGCCGTGGGGCCGAACACCGACTGATCCAGGGCGCTGTGATCCTGCCGCTGCCTCTGTTTCTCCCGGGCCTTGAACTGCTGCTCGCGTCGCTGGCGACTCTTGAATATTTGATCCTCGGCATTGCCCAGATCCGTCATTATCAGCTGCACTCGATCGAGATTCACGTCCCCAGAGTCGGTCAGATAGCCCTTTGTCTTGTATACGCATTTCTTGTACAGCTCCACCAGACGATCGACGGCGCCCTCGCGTATCTCCAGACTGGGCAGATGGGGAAGGAAATCGTTGCCCACAAAGAAGCACATGAACACCCAGTCGTCGAGGGTGCGCTCAAAGTCATATTCGAACGGTAGATTGGGCATCTCGAGCGTCTGCTTCAGGTACTCCCTGAGCACGCTCAGCCGCACGAATATGAACTTCACCTCGGCCCCAATGGCCACATCGGGCTTGAAGTTGGCCCCCGACGAGCCGACGGCACTGAGGCCCACGCACTTGTCCATTTCGTGGCCAAACTGATTGCAAATGTCGCAGGGCCGGGGCTTGTTGGGCAGAAACTCCTCCCGGATGATGGTGAAGTTCGGCTCGTGGGTGGCCAGGCCCAACATGATCAGATCCGCATCGGCGCCGCAGAGCACATGCTGGGTATTGGGATCGTGATCCGGCTGGGCGCGCTGCTTCCGTATGTAGTCCATGATCTTGTGCTCACCCTCGCCGGGCACATTGGCATCCGAGAGGATGACCTTGATGCCCTTCCATGCCGGGTTATTGTTCTGCCGATCGTGAACGTAGTAGTGGAGGCACTTGCTCAGCCTGTCCATGAACGGAGTGCCGGGCGTAATGCAATTGGAATCGAAGTGCTCACCCTTCTCCTTTTCGGGCGGCAGCTTGCAGCCGCGGGTCAGCAGCTCCTCGCGAATGCGTGCAATCTCTAATCGCTTCTCGGTTGTCTCCTTGGCCGCCCGGAAGCGTCGCGACCGCTGCTGGTTCATCTTGGCCCTGGGCGCCACACCGTCAATGGCCATGTAGAGCACCTTGCGCGGACGGACAATGCCAAACAGTCGATCGATGCAATCGAAAATGGCCACCATCATCTCGTCCTCGTTCTTTGGCGCCGGCTTGTCCTCCGGATGCGTACAAGGGTGTATGATGCCGTTCATGTCCAGGTACAGGTTATCGAACTCGACTCCATTCGGATTGGGGAGGGTGGCGTCCTCGTAGATATTTTTACCGGTATCCGGATCGACCTGCTTGTTCTCATTGCAATCGATTATCACACTCGCGTATTTCCGGCTTAGCCACCGAAAGAATGCTGGTACTCCCATCTTGAGAGCTTTAGAAAATCTTTATCTTAATTTTTTTCTTTCCTTTCTTTGTGAAAAACAAAAAAACACGAGTTTTTTCTGTTTTTTTCTTTAATACAGTGTGACCGCTGATAAAACAATGAAATATACCGCCAGACCCTCAGGAATATACCAAAATATATAAATCATATTCCCCGATTTTTGATGTTATATTACTAACTAGCACCGAGCGAGAACTAAGTGTTATTTATTAAAGCCTAGTTCTCAGACGCGCTAAATGTGACAGCCCTAAAAAAATTATAGACGCACACAAAACCAAAGACAAATTTCGGTATTTTTTGTGCCCTAAATGGAACTTGGCGTTCACATCCTTATATATTGAAAAGGACTTTACCATATCTTCAAAATGGAATTTAATAAATTGATGAAATATAGATTGAACAAAAATCGACGTCAAAGTATCGGGAAAACTATATAGAAAATATTACTGTACAGCCTGTTTCCACTAGGGATGAAATCACGCAACAGCACGAGATACAATCGATAGTTAAAGTGTTTTTGTATCGATTGTCCTCGATCGCGAAATATAACTCATGTGTTTCGTCGCGTAGAAATAATTAAATTTTATAAAATGTCGAAAATATTACAGAAATATATAAAATTTTCAACCGAGGAGCTGGAGGCATACGCCAACAATGCCGGGTCATGCGTGAATTGCATCAACACGGACATGCACCTGTCGATGGGGCCGTACGGCATGGCCAGTTTCAAACATGCGCTCCACGAACTGCTCATCCGCACCAAAGTGGGAATATACGATGCCAACCTGTCTGCCATTGTGCTGGGCATCAAGAACATCAAGGTGCTGGGCCAGACGGCAGCCTTGCGAGCGGACGATCCCACCTTGCACTTGTTCATCAACGCGGACTTCTACGTCTTCCAGCCCGTGGAGGGTGCCGTCCTGAATGGAGTTGTGCGGCACATATCCAAGCATCAGGTTAGCGCCATCATCTACAGGGTCTTCAACACAACGATTCGGTTCACCAACAACAAGAACACCAGGGAGGGCATTGCCATGGATCAGGACATTAATTTTCGCATCAAAAGCTTCAACATGGGCAATGTGATGCCCTACATCGAGGGAGAACTGTTGCTGGAGGAGGAAGAGGAGGGGCCAAGTAGCGGTGGTATGTTGCTTTCTGATGGAAACTGGGGCATGGAATGTAATTTCTATTTGGTTTTTTTTTTAGCAGCAGAACAAATCCATCAAGTTTGGCAGCCCAGAGCCGGAGGAGGTTAAAGCCGAACTGGAGCTCGACGCGTTAATAGAATTGATTAAAAAAGAGCCCGGTATGGAGCCCTCGCCTAAGAAAAAGCAAGCGAAAAAACGTAAAACAGCTGACAAGGACGACAAGCTGACAAAGAAAGTGAAAAAAGTAATAAAAGCAGAGCCAATATAGCCTTAAAATCCCACACCACCCTCGTGTTTTCCACAATCCTCTGATTAGTACAAATTAGGCAGTACACGTAGTATATATATAAGGTTAGTAGTACCTCATTTATCACCCCCTGCTATGCTGGTGTAGCGATTCGGTGTACAAAAACAATGTGCAATCAGGTATACACTTCCAAAGGTTAACAAAATAAATGCAGTTGCCTTCCCAAAGCGTTAAGCACGTTGTAGATATTCGGTTAACGTGTCTCCTTGAGCTATGCTAAGCCACTCATGTGTAGCCGAATGAAGCTGATGAGCTGTGGGTATCGGTGGACTTTGGTTTCCCCATTAGTTGAGACGTCTAACAAAGGCCTGTTAGTGATATTAATCAGCCTCTCTGAAGCTGCTCTGGCACACAGGAGTTACCACTTTCTGGGCTTAAATGGAAGAGTTTCTACCGGCAGTCTGTCCTACGTTAGGATATCGCCTCTCTCCGATTGTATGCACTATCTCAGCGGTGGGCTGTGCTTCTTTTCACTATTCTCTCTTATTGTCTTTTGTAGGATTCGCTTGTGCGTGTCGAGTTTCGAGTTGTTGTTGTTGTTTTTGTGTTACATATGTATTTCATACAAATAGAGTCAATATTTTACAATACATTTAAATACAGAATGCGTATCATAGTTGTAGTTAGTTTATGGTTTTATAAATAATTAAAAGCCAGTTACATATACATATACATATATAGAATATATATTCCGATTTTGATTTCGCTAATTATTAAATAACAAGCAAATACAATACAATATATATATAATACGAGAATCCCAATCGCAAATGTACGATCATCGAAAGGAACATAAAAACTATACACACAATGATACAAATACATAACACTTTCGACAGAAATGATTCCTACACTTGAATTTTGTTGTCCACTTATATATTCTTCACATTCCCACGGACTACCAGGAACATTTACATAATGTACAAACATACACATACATAATACATACAAGTTACATTGATTGATTTGCATCATCATCATCATCATCTCTTCTCACAATACACAGCACATACAGAAAAAGGCTCTAATGCAGCGGAGAGAGATAGAGAGGAGAGGCAGTGTGTGTGTGTGTGTGGGGAAATTAGCGAGCGACTAAATCAACAACTGATCCACGAAAATGATTAGAAGAAAACGAGAGATAAAATGTGATGTTTAGTAGTTGTAGTAGTAGGAGGTGTGGGGATGTAATGCATGCTAGACAGAGATTTCCTGAATATGTACACGTTTCTTGCTCCCGCTGCTGCCCGACCCAGTCGCCGCACTGCCCGCAGTCCCCGTCTGCCGCAGTATACCCTGTTGTTGCTGCTGCTGCTGTTGGGCAGCCAGAAAAGATCGCGGCGGTGGCGGCGGTTCTGGTATATCATCGTCTCGCATGATCTCAGAGTCTTGAATGGCCGCCGCCTTGACGGCCTCTTCGATGGCCTTGAAGGACATCTGGTCCGATGACTGCACTGCATAGTCAAACTGCTGCGGGCTGTTAAACTGCAGGCTGGTGTCCACAAAGGAGCCGCGCTTGCTGCTCAGCGCCGATGTTGTCTCCATCAGCGTGGGCAGGGCATTGTAGGAGACCATCTCCAGGTGACCATCCGACATGCCTGGCTTGGTCTTCAGCAGATCGAGTGTGCTGGTGGAGCAGGCGCCCCAGCTGTCCATCATGAGGGATGTTTGTCCGGGCACCGACACCGACACCGACACCGACGACGATGGTGGCAGCTCCACAATGAGCTTCTCCTCCTTCAGCTGCTTGGTCTTCTCATCGTAGCAGCTGTATTCCCCAAAGACAACGCCCACACCGCCCTTGCTGTCCACCACAGTGCCGCTGAGGGAATACGCATCCGCGGGATCTAGAGAACCGCCACCGCCAGGCCCTCCTCCTCCTCCTCCTCCGCCACCAATCAAAGCGTTCAGCTTGAGCATGCTGGAACTTTTGCTGGTGTCGCTCTCCTGCAGCTCCTCCTTGGTTTTGGCATCGCGCGCACGCTTCTCGCGCTGATGATAGATCCCCGCAAAGATGAGAACATTGAGGATGAGCAGGAAACAGCCCACAGCCACTGTGGCAATCAATGCTGTGGTGTAGCTCTGAAACTGTTTGCCGCTCAGCCGGCGCAGCAGCTCCAGATTGCCAATGATGCCCGTCGAAGCGGTGGCCAGGTCCTTTTGGGTCTCCACGCGCGTGTGTACTCCAGTTCGATTGTCTTTCGGCGCTTGCGTTGTGGTCAATTCGGAGACGGACATGGCCCCATCGATGCCGCATTCTGTAAGAGATTAAATGTCAGATTTCAGTTTGTCTTTCGCTGATTGCTGAACTCAAAATTAACCTGTGGTTGTGGCTGTACCACTGATCATGGGATTCAATGCTTGCGTTACGTTTGCACTGGGATTCTTTGGCGGTGGCGGCGTCGTCGTTGTGGTCGTTCTGCTTTTCTGTATCATGATGATGTTGTCATCTTCTGCTGGTTTCGTCTGCAGCTGTGGACGCACCACGCCTATAAAATAAGAATTCAAGAGAGAGAAAGCTAGAGCCTGAAAGGGAGCTTCTTGAGTCTGGAGTCTTTGGCTAACCTTCATACAGATCCCTATTGTTCATATCATCCTGGAATTGATGATGCCTCATGGACTGGTCATTGATGTTGAAATGGCGATGCAGTTGAGGGATGAGGTTCAACCACATGGACAGCTTATGGCCGCGATAATGACTCTGAATGTTTGCTTTGTTGCCTGCAAAGGGAATCGTTTAAATAAAACCAAAGAATATACACTCGACTGGTCTCTAGGGCTTACCCAACTCCACATACAGCTGATTGACCACATCGTAGGCATCCCAAAAGGGCAGATCATCACCCTCGTAGCTGCCCACATCCCGCTCGCTGGCCAGCCCCAGCTGCGTGAAGGCTCCATCATTATTACTGCGCAAACGGCGCCGTATATAGGAGCGCTTCTCGTGCATGGCATTGCTGCGTCGCTGATTGTAGAGCACCGCCAGAGTCATGGCCTCGCTGAGATGCGGATTAGGGGCCAGAGCGGCCGAGCGTTTCTTCAACTCATGCAAGGCAGCATCGTCTGGATTACCCAAGGCTGTTTTCGCAGCGGATTGGTTCGGATTGCTGTCGAGTACGAGAGTTAGCGAAAGGTTCTATGCAAGAGATATGTAGATGTGTTTGTTTACCCTGTCTTGGCAAAATTGGACAGATATCGCAGCATTAGGCGACCAATTTGACGCTCCTGCGTTGTGTAGTTGTGTGGAAAGAGCGGTGATATGGGCAGGCCTAGCCAAAAAGGCACATCTTCGCCGCGAACAGAGCCGGTTCTCTGCGGATTTATCAAGCAATGAATAAGCACAGAGTTTATTGTGAGTTTCCCCAGCTGCACACCCACCTGTGGGTATTCCTCTTCGACAGTTTTGTGCTTAAAGTGCAGGAAATAGGTGCGACCCCCGCGTAGGCTGTGCATGTAGCCGAGCTTAATCAGCGGCGACGCCGTATGGCCATCGCTGAGGAACTGCAGGGTGGCATCGCGTGAGCTCAGAGGATTTCGTATGGCCTTCTCCCAGTCGGTGTACTCATTCTATGGAATTTAAATGATTATTAATCAGGCATAGAAGTTAGAAATGATTTGTTTGCACCTTCAAGACGGCAAATATTTCATTCAAATGATAATGAAAATTGTTGCGCACAAAAGTGCGTAGAATGCGATCACGACGCGTCTCATTAAAGCCAAACTCCAGATCTTGGGCACTCAAATCCAGGTAGGATTCCACAGAACTAAGACAGAATATGAGGTCTCGTTTCGGAAAGTTTGCATATTCAATTCCTGAAGTACTGTAGGAAGCAGTAGGCAAAAATGCATTAAAATATGTTCTTGAATGGCACTGCGATTGGCTTTACCTAACAATAGCGGAGCCCAGGGGCAAGGTGGTGCTGCCCAGTGGATTGGCAACGGGCGATATAACAGTGCCATCCACGAATGGAGCAAAGCCAACCAGGAATCTGTGATGCAAGAGGTTACATTAGGGCTACGCTTACGAATACGCCCACTCTCACATACCGTGGATGATCGACCTTGACGGCCAGCAGCTCGGCCACGCTTTTGGTGCGCAAACAGGGCGCCAGATCATCGTACAGCATATCGCCATGGCAGCCCGTCTGCTCTGCCACACGGCGCTTGACAAACAGCGGATTCTTTTGTATGGCCCAGGGCGACAATGCCGAACCACTGACCAGAACGGTGCGCTGTATTAGATCTGCAAGAGTAAAGGTTAAAGCTGGAGCAAAGACTCTTTCTGGTCACAGAGGTTTCTTACCACTCGACACTGGAGAGACGACCAATATGTTGGCCAACACGGCGCCCGTGCCATAGCCCAGCAGCGTAATGCTCTGCGGATCACCCCCGAACGCCGGCAGATTCTCCTTGAGCCAGTGCAGGCCGGCCACAAGATCCATCAGACCAAAGTTACCTTGGGCGCTCTCCTTGCCGCCGGTCTTCAGAAATCCAAAGATCCCCAGACGGAAATTGATTGTCACAACGATGACATTGCCGTGGGCCGCCAGCTCGGAGCCATCGTAGGGATTGCCAGAGTTCCAGTCGAACGATTCGCCATGTATGAACACCACAGTGCTAAGTTTTGCCGTTGCTTGTTCCGCATTATCAACATTATCGGCATCCACATTGCCTTTGGGGATGGGGGAAACAGAATTCGGTTAAATACGATAATTGAATAATTGGGATCTATCGGTATCGCTATCGCCAACGCTATCACTGCTGCAGCTGTGTGTGTTTGCGGCTATCGGAACTGCCAAGTCCACAGCGCTTGCAGTAATGTGGAAAATTTAATTAAACTGCAATGCACTACGGAATTGAGAGCCACGACGCCAATGCCGTAACGGCCAGAAGCACTGGACTAAATGTTTGCAACAAGTGAAATAGCCCCAAATGTTAATCGCCGCAATGAACATGCACAAGTGGTTTTTTTTTTCCTTTTTGCACGCTTTCGCTGCGGTCCGCCATTTTGCTGGGCACACCAGAAAAGTGTGGGTAAGCGGTAAGCATCACTTTATCACTTTGTTTCACTTAAATGTAGCCCGAATAAAACGTATAAACTTGTCTGGGCTGGCACTTACGTTCCAAGCGGCGCGTCTCATAGGGCACATAGATATTAAGGTATAAGCAGTCTTCCGATTGGTTCTTGAGCAGCGGCAACAGACGCCGCAACTGGGCCAGACGGGCGCGCGGCACCTCCAGCAGCGCCTCCGGCCCGTTGGGTGGTATGGGCACGTTCTGTGGACAAACGGGCGAGAATCGATCCGCATTGCGAACCGTTTTCCATGTCGATGGCGTTATGGGAGGCATAAATCTGTGCGAATAAAAAAGGAGGAGCAGCAGCAATACCCGAACGGGCGCGCATAAGTAAATATTCAATTTTTGGCCACTTGTGAGGCAGCAGCAGCAGCAGCACGTTTTCATGTGGTCTTCGGGGTCATGTGTGTGTGACTCTGTGTGTGTGTGTTTGTGTGTGCGCGGGTCAAATGTGTGGGCGGCGTGTGTGGTGGCGATTAAAGGAAAAAGGATTCGTTTGGCTCGTAAAACACAGAAACTAAGTACCCGCCCATCAATCAAAAGTGCAAACTGCCTTTGATTAATTGTGCAATTTTATTGTTTTGCGTTGAAATCCATCGATCAAGCATCATCAGCGAGAGGACCTTCAGGGTAACTGTCACGGGAGGGGGTTGCAGGGGGGAAACAGATGATTGGACCAGGGCTGGCGGAACGAAAAGCGATAAATGCGCTGCTTTGTTGTTGATTTTATGACACGCGATAATTGACGCGAAACGTTTTGATTGTTTCTTTTTTTTGTGTTTTTTTTGTTTTGTGGCTTTTCCTCCTTCTTTGTCCCCCCCCACCTCTCCCACGCTGCTTAGCTCCCACTTCCCTAACCCCTGTGGCAAATGACAGACAATGGACCGCGGAAACAAAAAGCTCGCCTCCCAAAATTTTGTGGCAAGCATAATTTTTCAGCCATACGTGATGCTGTTGTTGTCTCTCTCTCTTTGTGTGTGTGTTGCACGTTTCTGGTTTTGGCAACTTTCCTAGCCGCCCGCCCCCTGCACATCTGTAACGCGTTCGACATGCACCACGCTACAAATTAAAACTACATATGTATGTATTTTTTGTAGTGCAAAACCCCTCGCAAAAGTTTCACTTTAAACTATTTTTAAGCGAATAAAACTATTTTTTTTTGTTTTCGCTACTTTTTCGAGCGTTAAAAGCAATCGTTTTATTGTGTGCTGTGTTTTTTCACTTCCATACACATACGAACACATGTACATACATATGTATACTGTATTCGACTTGGCACGTTTTTCTCGCCAAAAAAAAAAACACTGTACGTGTATGCAGGGCAAAAAACATAAATATTCATATTTGTTCGACTACATGCACAATTTTATCTAAAATATTAAAAGCTTTCAATGAAATTCAATTTTTGTGTAAATATTTTTATGCTTTCAGGCTGCAGGGAAACGCAGAGAGACTCTCTAGAAGAGAAATATGTTTTCTAGATTTGTAAATAAGTTTGTGACGGGAGTGATGGAAAAACAAATGCGAGCACCATAAAAACTGAATCAGCATTAAGATCAATGAGGTAAGAGTCTTTACTTGATAGTTGATAAATACATATACATATAATAAATAGTTCCAGAAAATGCAGTCTATTGTTAATAATGCTATGGAGGGGGTTCATGGACACCACTACTGGAATATTATAGAACCCAGTACATATAGCACACCCTTTCATAGTCACATACTAAATCAAAAATTTCCCTTTAAGGGCATCCAAGTCTTCGGTCTTCTGCGCTTTCCTTCTGCCATTTATTTTTATTAACATTTTGTGAATTTTTGATTAGAAACTTTGGCAACAGCTGTCCTTTGTCCCCTAATGCCTTGATTAATATTGTAAGCTCTCGCGCCTGCCATTCAGCCAGCCGTGTATTGACGGCTCGTCAAATATCACGTTTTATGTGAGAACAAAAAAATACAACTTCTTGCTCCCCATCGTGGGCTAGGGTGGGGGGGGAGGGTGCCTTGCCACAAGGTGGCCTGGCATTTGATTAAGTTCTGTTTGCCGATTTCTGGCATCTGTTGCTGCATGATAATGAACCGCATTCATAAACGACTTCATTTCACTCTCCATCTACCTCGATGGGGCTCTGGCGTCACATTCTTACCACACGGAAGTAATTAAAGAACAATTTTCAGGAATTGTGGCTAAGCAAACATCAATGGAGCGAGTGAGCGACTGAGCGAGTGAGTGAGCGAAAGGAGGCGATGAAGAGCCCTTTAAGTACTTCATCCAATCGCTTCATCAAACACACTTGTTGTTCATGCATGTCACACAAAAGCTTTTTGCTTTTGCCTTTGCTTTTGCCTTTGCCCTTGCCTTGCTCCTGCGAAACCAGGCTCCTACGGCTCCTTCGTGTACATGTCTGTATTCTGTACTGTACATGTCTGAGTCTGAGCGTGTGAGTGCCGTGTGCAAGTGTGAAAGTGTCCAAGTAACGGGTCGGAGCCGGGGGCGTGGGCGGAGGGAAACTTTTGTAATATCCCCCCCCACACACAAAACTTCTGTTGGGTCTGAGTTCTCTCACTCTCGTTCGAGTGTTCTTGTTCGAGTTCTCGTTCTCGTTCTCATTCTCATTCTCGTTTGCGCCGTTCAATGGCATCAACTGCTCGAAATGGCTTATCGAACTTTTCTGTGTGTGTCTCGTGGAGAGGTGCTTGGTGCGATGCTGCCTGCCAGGACCTGTCAACTGCTTCATTATTAATTGGGCAAACCATTCGCTTATTCGTACTTGGGAATAACAAAGCAAATTGTGCGCGCAGTCTTTGCTTTCCGCTTTTTTAAATCTTTTCCACAAAAAACTAACCGAATAATAAAAAGTTCTTTTTAATTGTTACGTATACGGTGTAGGATGTACCGTAGGAGTAAAGTTGTAGATTAATTCCAAGTAGCACTTGGGCTTCATTACGAGCCGGGGACTGGCGCCGTGTGCTCCTTCGTATCCTGTGTCCCCATGGAACTTTAAATCCTCAAACAAAGCTTTGGGATTTGCGCGACCGAGCCACAGCCACAGCCACAGCCAGTGCCAGTGCCAGACCTAGAGGCAGACCTGGAGGCAGGCCAGAGGCCGAGATCCGTAAAGTCCTCACTTGCGTTAGGTGGGTGTAAAAAGTACTAGGACCCCGGCAGCAGCAGCCATCGCCATCCACACACATATTTCATGAGAATAATTATTAAAATTGCTTTGGCTAAAGTTCTCTGCAGCTCTGTGTGAAAAAAGTTTAGTCTGAAAGCGGCAAAAGAGCCTGGAGACGACCCCCATGTGGCGTTCAGATTGCGTGACTCTCGCCCATAGAGATGGGCACGTGAGAGCATAATAAACTGCCACGACTTGCCCGGTACACAGTCTTTAATTTGATTTAAAATTAAGTAATACACTAAACTAGATATATATTAAACCTTTGGGTTGGAAACAAAACACACAGGGAAGATTAAATCTGAACTCTAGATCGTAGAATTAATGTGGTTTAATTTACACAATTTATTTATAAGTTTGTAACCAACCTCCGAACTAAAAGAAGGCACTTAAAATGCCACCAAACCGTAGACTATTTATATAAAAAATATTGTGAACCTTTTCTGGAAATATTCGACCATTTTATGGCCGCACGCGCTGTGCCTCACGTTGTTGTCTCTAATTTGAAAAGATTTCACTTTAAGCACGCCAACATCCACGACCCGGAAAACGTAATCTTGTGCAACATGCCGGAGCCGGAGCTGGGGCCGGAGCACACACACACACACACACACACACACACAAACACACTGACACACAACCCGATTTGGACTCACCTGAGACTGCCCACCGGCGCCGAGGCATAGGGTATGCCGAGGAATGCCTCCACCAGCGGCGTGGAGCGCACCACAATCCCTCGCAGTAGGCCATATTTGGTCTTCACCGTATTGCTGCCGCCATGCAGGCATTCGCAGCAGTCCGGCCAGAGGCTGCCGAGCAAAAGGAGCATCAGCAGTATGCCTGGTGTCAGCTGGTGACGCCAACACGACGCCTGTGGATGTCGTTTATGCGGATGCGAATGCGAATGGGTATGTGGATGTGGATTTGGATGTGAATGTGTATGAGAGTGTCTTTTATATTGGGGTGAAGCCGCTGCTGCTACAGCTGATGCTCCTCCTGACGTTGCTGACATTGCTGACGTTGCTGATTGCCATGGCTGGTGCTGGTGCTGGTGCTGCTGCTGATGCTGATGCTTTTGATTGTGTTCGTCGTCGGTTGTGGAAATCTCTAGAAATCTTTTTAATGTTATCAGTCTTATAATGCAAATTCCCATTGCCACGATACGGGCATCCGTTCCCGTTCCAATTCCCGTTCCCATTCCCATTTCCATTCTCGTTGCTGTTTCCGTTTCCGTTACTGCTTTACTTTTTGCTTTGGCTGCTGGCAATGCCACTGCCACTGCCACTGCCACTTCCACTGCCACTGCCACTTCCGTTTCTTTATCCGCTTCCGCTGCCATTTGCTGCACCATTGATGCGCAAATAGTTTTAATGTAACTCATCAAGGAACCGAAGAAAAAGTAACCATAAATATGTAGAAAACGCGATTGAATTATCTTAGTTTGTCTTAGTTTGCTGCTAGTCCTAGTCCTTCTAGTCGTCGTCTCGTCCTTGTCGTATTCCTTCTCGTTGCCATCAAAATCAATTGGCCATGCCCGCTTCCTGTTGGGGGACCGGGACCGGGACTGAGACTGGGACTGAGACTGTAGCTGGTGGCAAGCAGCCGCTTGTGGGACATCCAGGACATCCATGGCTGCGTTCGCTTCATTTTGACAGCAGTTGTGCGCATGTTGAGCTTGTGATTCACGTACACCGCTGACATGGTTAGACCCTAATGCTTTGATTTCAAATATTATACACTGAACGTGTTGGCCTTTGCTCCTCTATTAGAAATGCAATTTCAGTCGCCAACTTCTGCCACTCCCGTCGCCGTCGACTTGCTGCTGCCGATGCTGCTGCTGCTGTGTCCGGAAGTATCTGGAAATGTGAGAAAAGCAAATTTTCAAAACATTAACTTTAGCTGACTAAAAATGACCTGCAATTGAGAGTCGACTCTGAGTATAGTATAGTATAGTATAGTATAGTATAGATATGTGTGTCGTGTCCTCTGTGTGCTGTCTGCTGTGTGCTGTGTGCTGTGTAGTCATTTTATGAGATTGCTGATTGCTGTGCAGACCTTTACGCCGTCAGCTTCGGGTCTTAACTGTGCAACGCATCGGAGCGTGGCATCCTTAAATAGCCTTGGTCAATGCATCCGGCCAAGCAGCAACAGCAGCAACAGCAGCAGCTACACCAGCAGCACCACCAAAATGGGGGCCTTGCTTGGCGCCCACTTAATGTCTGCCGCCACCTGAGGACAGGACATGCTCTGTGGTAATAAAGGGGGGGGATGGGGTTGGGTTCTGGGGACTGCGACTGGGGATGAATGCTACTGGTACTGGTGCTGGTGCAGGTGCAGGTGCAAAGCGTTTTCCTTTGCCATCGTTTGACCTCCTCACCTCCTGCTGCTGGTGCTGCCTGCCTGCCTGCCACTGATGCTCCCAGGGCCTTTGTGTGTGTGTGTACAAGATGATGATGGACGTGTTGGATCGCTGTGAACTAGTTCAGGTGTGCTCTTGTAAAAGGTGCAAATACAGCACTGAGGCGTTGCATCGATTCAAACTATTTTTAAAGAGTGTTGCAATTAAGTGAAGATGGTGAGACATTCGACATTATTATTACCACAAAATGGCAGTGCAGATGTGGATAATATTTGAGGGTTAACTGTGATCTAGTTCTGGGCATGTAGTTCATGTGAACCATTAACGAAAGGAAGTGAATTTTAATTAAAATTTGTAATTTTTTTCAATGTGTTGTTCAGCACTTCCTAATTAATGGAGTGAAACATCAAGGCACATTTTGGCAATCGCCAATTAATGATACGCTGCATGTACTTTGTTATTGGATTCGCGCAACCCCGAACTTCGGTCGCAAGGACCTTTTTTTTTAAGCCGTCTGCAGAATAAATCTCGTAGCAATGCGAGCAATGCGTTCGGTGTGGGTGGTGGGGTGGTGGGTCGTGGCCAGCGCTCTTCTAAAATTAATATTCCCATATTTGCATTTTCATAACCATACAAAAACCCTTTCCATTACCATTTTCCACACATTACAATGTTAATCCCTAATGCGTGCTTCCCCACACCACCCCCCACCCCTCTGCCACTGCCATGGAAAAAATGAGGTGAAGAGCTTTTATTTGGGTTAAGATAAAAATGTGTAAATCTGTCAACCTTTTAGGTGTTAATTTAATGTACTCCACCGTTGCGTTGGGTGGAAACACACACACAGAAAGATGTAGCGAAGGGATGGGGAAGGGAGGGGAATGGGAAGGGGAAGCCTGCTCTATCCCTAACAAAAATGTTATGGACTGTCGTAAGCTCTTGTGGGTCTCATTAACAAATGTTTCCTTCGTTGTTATGCTGGTCTCCGACACTGGTCTCTGGTCGCTCGTCGCTCGTCTCTCGTCCTGGCCAAAACCAAAAACCAGTATGAGAGTGCTCTCTAAAGCGGCAATATATCTTGTGGGTTCCGGACAGAGACAGAGTGAGAGACAGAGAACCGAGAGACAGAGAGAGTGAGATAGTGCTCTTTAAATCCGTATATTTTATAAGGCTAAACAATTGGAAGGAATAAAAGAATGAAATGCTGCAGACCAAACCGAAGCAGCCCAAGCTGGCAGACCGTCAGACAGACAGACAGGCAGACAGACAGACAGACAGACAGACTCATCTGCAGATGAGACGAGTTGAGCTAAACAAACATACATTTCACTAAATTGCAGCCATAAAACTAAAGTTTAACTATGGAAACAGCACAGCATAGCAGACGAATGAACGGAACGGATGAACAGATGGATGGATGGGGGATGCCCATGGGCAGCTTAACATTTTTCCCTTCTGCAAGGGAAAGAGTGTGCCTGCCTCAGTGTTTCTCCCTTTGTGTGTTTGTTGACAACCGAAAATGTCGGCACGTTTTTAACGTTGAAAAAATTGTTCTTCGTATCTTTACTTGTGACTTTACTTTACTTTTTCCTTCCTTTACTTGAGTCCTACATCTTCTCTCTTTCGGTCTCTGTCTCTGTGTGAGTCATGGCCCCCAAAACAGAATGTTGGGATTTTCATATAAATTTCCACTTTTCAATTAACTAAAAGCTGAAAAATGCCATTTTTCGGCAAAAGTACGGCAGGCAGGATAGATTTATATCTGTACAAATTGTTGAACGATTTTTGCAGCAAAACGCAACGCTTTGGTTTCCTTTTCCTGTATGAAAAAAATATTTACATTTTTGCCTTTTATTTTTGTTCATTGGGAAAATGTCTTTCATGTCTCGATGCGTTTTCTTCGGGCCTTTTATGTCGTTTTGCTACTTTCTTTATTTCTGTAGAGCGCTACATAAATGGGAAATCTGTAAAGACCGATAAAATTGCATATTTTTGCATGAAAGGCGTTGCCCTAAAGGGGTGTAAAAAAGAAACGTCGGTGCTAACGATGGGGAGGGGCGACATGCAGACATTTATCCAGGCACCCAAGCACCCAAGAGGCGGGAGGAGGTGCTGCACATGCACTCACACATGTTGGTCGGGTGGGGGGCAAGGGTTGTATGGCGGTGGTTGGGAAATGGCAGTGCAAACAGGAAATGTTACGGTCTCGACTTACTCAAGAAACTGCCACACAGCCACAACCCTCCTCCAACGCCCCCCCCCTCTTGAATGCCAAGAAAAATGATGGAAAAAAATAAACAGACGAAGAAGGTGGAAACACGCTGTCAAAGCCCCGGCCAGAGAGCCGACTAGTTGTTGCCCAGCTCTGGGAATTTGCTGAAATACCAGAGACGGTTTTCTGTGCTCTCTGTGCTGCCCCAAAAAAATAAATTCAAGGCATCCTAGTGAGCATTCTACTCGGGTTCGGTTCTTTTCGTTTAAAAAAAGGTGCACAAATCTTTTAAAGCTAGTACTCGGATCAGGGTCTCCCTGGAGTTTCCATTTCTTTTTTACTGAGCAACGAGTGCTCGAAAAATGATGGAACTGATGGCAAAAAATAAGCAGACAAAGCCCTATCAGCGTTGACTGGTTCTGAAAATACCTGAAATACCAACAAGAGAGAGAGAGAGAGAGCATTTTACTGGGACGCCAAAGGTATGCTCGAAATTCTTTTGGACATTCTTTGGCACTCTTTAAAAGCTGCGCTTGAACACCATTTTATGCGACTGAAATCTTTAAACTCAATGCAGATCAGACTGCACCGCATGCAATACCAATTTCTCACAATGTAACGAGCATTAAGAAGTGGCACGAGCTACCCACAAGATACGAACGAGGGTGGTCCTGCCGCCTTGTCATTGCCATTCGTTCGGCGAAAGTTTCTGCATTAAACTCGAAATAAAAGTTGCAGGAAGACGCATTAAAAATTGTTGCATTTTACAATTGTGGAGGAATTGCAATTGTGCAATGGCAATGGCAATGGAAATTGTGATTGTGATTGTGATTGTGCTGCTGACTGCCATTGGTATGGCTGAAATGTGCTGGAATCCAGGAAAAACGATATTGCTGCCTCTGCTGCTGCTGCTGACGATGATGATGGGATGGGATAATGTTGGATGCTTACTGCTGGAGCGACTTTTAATAAGTTTCACAAATGAATCTCAGTTAAATTCATTTCTTTAAATTTTTTGTGCAACAACGACAGCTGACAAATTCATAGGAAATTCTAAGGAGAATAGAAATGCCAGAGCGAGCAAAGCAATATCTTTGGTTTAGTCAAGCATTCAATTGATTTTCTTTAACATGAGCAGACGGAGAACTTCAGGAAATAAGCTCAAAAGGACGAGCGTGCAGGCAACCATCAATTGCTTCTTCGAAACGGAAAAAAAGGAAGAAATTTATGAAAATAAATAAAAATTGCTTTACCCATCTCCGTCTCACATCTACTACCAGTACGCCGGAATAAGTTTTTATTGCTCAGAGTTTTCTCTGTTCTTTTTTTTGTTTTGTTTTGTTTTGTTTTAAAAAAACATTTTTCCATTTTTCATTTCCATTTTTGGGGGCTACTACACAAGCAAAATGTTGATAACAATCTGCAGACTGTTAGTGGAATAAATGCGGCACTTTCAACAACTTTTCAATGTCTGATGTGTTCTCCCATGTTCCTCCTCCACAGCCACAGAGGTCAAAAGAGTTGTGCCTTTTGAGATGTGTATCGTATTTGGAGTGCTAAGCGACTGACTTTCCAAAGTTATCTAAATTTTGTGGGTAACCAGAAGGAGTGGGGATGAGATAGATGTGAGGTATTCAATGGAATCGTCAAGAAAATAGGAGACTTAACACAGTTCCATTAGCATAAAATTTACTATGGCTATGAATGATTTCTTTTCTGGCTTATTGCTAGAAATGTATCCGTTCGCTTATGGGAAATTTATTTTATTCAACGGGCGTATATTATTTATCGGTTTGGCATCGAATTATTTCTGCACTGGGAAAAACTATTCACTTCCCGAAATTAATCATTTAAGTTATGTGAAATTAACGTAAATGTACAGATCACAGTGGAAATGATCGATTAATGGGGCAACTTTGAAAAGTAATTAAAACGTTTTAACGAATTATGTCCCCCCCATTGGTTCCCAAATCAAATAAAGTCCTCGTTAAATCAAACAAATTGAAGCCAATTATGGAACTGAATCAGGAACCCCCCCAACAGTCGAGCAGTAATCAGGCAACAAATAAACGCAGATATCAAATTGACATAAACGATTTAATTATCGTTGTTAAGTCAGTTATGAAATTGAAAAATGGTTAAATTATCAAAGAAAAAAAACCGAAATGCAACGAAGATTATAAGACATTCGAACATTTGAGCCGATTAAAGGCAATATTTTCTACAATTTAACATCTCCTTTGTGGAATTTCAATTCCGTATATAAATAGATACGTATCTTGTAT